CCAGTCCTTTCCTTTCTTACAAAGTCGCCGAAGATAGGCATATTTCAGCAGCAAAGCGCGTGCGTCATAAGAGTCATTCGTGACTATCCACTGGCAGGACGATTGATCACCAGTCAGAATTAACATGGGTTAAACGGAGAACCCCCTGCTAGTCGTCGAGGTGTTTGCACTGCACAGGCTCGTTTCGACAGGGTCCAAAGGCTGCATTTGGTGAATCTTACGGCTGCGGTGTACGAGGAGTCAACTGGAGTCATTTCTTTTATATTCCATGTAATATTAGGCGAGCTGCGAAAAATTTCCTAAAAAAAAAAAAAAAGAAAAGAAAAGCCCCTGTTAAAATCCCGCATTTTTGATTTTGAGAGCAAAAAAATGTGGAGATGTCGATATCCATTGCTTTTTTCCTCTGTGCAGTGCTGCTGGCAAGGTGGGAGTTCACTGGCCATTGAAATTAGAAACGCCCGGGTCCCCGTGGGGCAAGCTGAATGCTGAACAGTGTTCTGCTAGACTCAGTAAGTGTTCGCGTGCGAAAGCATGGGGGAGACAGGCCGTATTTCTTCCACAGCTAACAAAGATTAACAATAGCAAAAGTCATATGCAATACTCCTGGTTAACCTCCAGTTATCAAAAACCGAGACCCACGCAGTTGAATAAGGGGGGCACACTTTTGATAAGTTAATGATGATGAGAGAAAGTCCCTCGCCCCCAATTCAACTATTCGCAGCTCAAAAAACCCAGCAGTCGATCAGGATCGATCATCAAATGAGATGTTGGTATCGATAGGAAACAGGAAAAAGAAAAAGAAACTCTCTAGTTTTTCTCCACATTCTCCACACATGGGTCCATGTTCCCGTTTTTTAATGAAACGATCAGAGTTATTCAACTGTGTGTTGTGAGCTCTCTGTACCCAACACATTGCCTTCTAGCGATATTCTAGAGAGAAGAAGATGCAATATCCATAGCTGCATCCATGCATGATGCGCATGGGATTTTCTCTGCATATCTTTGAGACGGAACATCCCTGATGTCATCAGGGATGAGGGCTCGGAGGGCGGATTCGATCTGTTCCTGTCAGATCTCACGATTCACGAACAGGGTAACTTACTGGACCCTATATATTTAAAGCGCACAGCTCGAGAGCGCCTGGCAAGTTACAATGCAGATATGTCCAGGATGGAGGTCAGAAACTGACTGACTGGTGGTTAAAATTGGGCTATTATTCCCGCACATTGGACATGGAACAACCCAGTGGGCGAGGTCTACAATTGACGAAACTTTTGAGATAATTATTTTCAAAGCCAATAAGAAGGGAACGAAGGGAGGAATCCATCCCTCTTCTGCTCCAGCCAGCTGTCCAGGTGTTCCCTTCTCATTTCCTATTTCAACAAACCTAAAAATATATCTTGGCTAGAAAAAAATGCCTCAGATTTACTTAGTCACGACATTATCTACGAAATGCCATAGCCTACCTGTTTTCTTATGCCTCATGAAATCAGAAACTAGTAGGGTGAGTAGTTGCGCTTGAATCACGTACGGTATTTGTTCACGGACAACAGCATTTAAAGGCGGATTCCTACCTACTAGTAGTACTTCCTGGGTCATTTTTTAAAAATATATAAATATAAATAAAATAAATTTTATTACATTTGCCTGTTTAACCTTCTCTATTCTTTGGTAACAACACCCTGTTTCCAAATTAAGACATGGAAGGTTTTCTGTGTTTTATGAATCAATGAGAATCACACAATCTCTCACACACACACACACACTCTCTCTCTCTTTGTGTGTGTGCCTCTCCACATTCAACCCCTTAAATTCCCCGCGAATTCAGTATGTAATCGTTTTTGGCCCACTTTAATCGTTAGACCTTTTATCCAGGGGAGTTTAAAAGTTTACATAGATATATTTGACTCAGGGATTCTTGCAGAACAAAGTTTTCTAGAAGGTTTTTCCGGTGCCCCCTAAGTTGGGGTTAAAATCAAAACATCCCATGGGTGGATTGGATGTGAATGGAATATGAGAGGCTAATTTGGTTGTGGACCATTCTTGGCCGGTTGCATCTAAAGATTGATTGACTGAAAACCATTTTCGTTTTCAGGCGAGATGAGCCTGTGATAGTTATCGTTTCAAATCGTGTAGGCCTCTGATGTACTCTTCAAAATCAAATCATGCTAAAGGAGGTGAATAATTCTGTCTAGCCGTAGTATCCATGTATTCAAATCGGTCCTGCGGGGCAGGGTTCTCTCTCTTCTTTGGCGTTTGCGTATCGGCTTCATAGAGACTGATATCGGGGCGTTGTCTTGCAATATCGGGGCCCCTGTTTTTCTTTGTCTCATGGAGAAGCGGACTGTCTCAAGGGACCATTCCCTGGTTTGTTGAGGTGCCAAATGCCCGCCTTTTGGTTTTTGAAGAATTCAAACCAGATGTTTCGTTGCCGAATAACAACTGGTGGGGATGGGATGGGGTCTTGCAGCACGAGTACCGGTAAAGGACGTCCACGTCAAGAGAAAAATTGATGAGGTTGCTCAAGCGCAACGCAAGCTTGGTTGTTGCAAGAGAAGAGGCGCTTATTAGATCCACCAGAGCAGCCACAAATGTGCTTACTCATCACATAACCCGCCAATCACAGTCCATGAGGCTGATCCTCTGTCCCACGATTGCCAGGACAACCACGCTTGTTTACTCGTGGCCGCGATGTCGTCGATGTCTTGATTCATCGTCGCCAGATCAAGCTCCATCGAGTCTCCAATTAGTTAGCGGAACTGCGGTGTATCGTATTCCGGACGAGAGATCGCGAAGAGCTCTCTTCCAACGGAAGTTCCTGGAATTTTTTTTTTCTTTTTTTTTTTTTTTTTTCTTTTTTTCCTCTCATCCCTACATCGCTTTGTTTACACAAAGAGTTAACGGCCGCCCATTGTCTTCTCCTATATCTAAGACGACCGCATTTTCTTTCAACAGGACAAAGCCCCGTTGCTTGATAACTGCGACCAACGTACCAACCCAACCTCCTAAATGGAGACCCTCCTGGCCCACTCCTTCGACTACCTGTCATCCTACGATCAGGGCAAAATTCGCAAAGGACTCAGACAAGTCGAAGGGCTACTGGCGCAAATATGTCTGTCGCGATCCAAAGTCACCACCACCGCTATCGACAAGCGCCGCTCAGAAGTGCCATTGGGCGCAAATCCAACACCTGCGAAGCCCCTAAGTGAATTGAGTGAAGACCCTGCTTTCAGAGAATTCTTCAAGTTACAAGAGGGCTTCCAATGGAATGGTAAGCGACAAAGAACCCTTAGGCCCCAATTATCAATCGCGAGGAATGGAAATGAAACAGAGTTGCTAACATGCGACAAACAACTTCCCAGTCGCCATGCGTTTAATATCGTGTCTTGAACATCTCCTCGGCCGCGGCAGCAATGGCACAAACGACCTCCTCATCATCTCAACCCTAGATCTAATCCAAGGCACCCTCCTCCTCCACCCACCCTCCCGCTCCCTCTTCGCCCGCGAGATATACATGAACCTCCTCCTCGACCTCCTCGAACCCGCCAACTGCCCCGCCATCCAATCCTCCACCCTCCTCACTCTTGTAACAGCCCTCCTCGATAACCCAGCCAACACCCGCACTTTCGAACTCCTCGACGGCCTCCTCACCGTAACCTCCCTGTTCAAAATGCGCACCACCTCGCGTGAGGTAAAACTCAAACTTGTCGAGTTCCTGTATTTCTACCTCATGCCTGAGACGCCGTCGCTGGCCTCTGCGAATTCCACGAGTGCGCCGAATACGGCTATCCTCGGCCTCCATCGCAGCCCAAGTAAGCTTGCTGGTGCGTTTTCGCGGAGCTTGCATGGGCCCGGTGACGGTGGGAGGGATGCACGTGGAGGAGACACGAAGACGACAGAGGAAAAGCAGGCGTTGTTGGGAAGGTATCTGAGTAATGTGGAGGATTTGGTTGAGGATTTAAAGGAGACGGCTCCGTTTGGAGGCACGGTTTATTAGCTCCTTTCTTTTTCTTTTTTTTTTTTTTTTTTTTTTTTTTTTTTTTTTTTTTTGTATCTCCTCCATGTTTGCGAATGATATGTAATGGATGCGCTGATGTCCCTTTGCCCTGTGTTTCCCCGATTACCATATTTTCGCGTGTGGGCTTTCTAGAATCGTTTCTTTTCCTTTTGATTTTGCTGAATTCTTGTATTCTTCCTGCTTTGCCGTAGCGTTACCTGCTTGTTCGCATGGCGTTCGTGGCGACTCCTATCTCTCTTAATTCTCTTTCCGTGTATTACTCTCAACAGCAGATTCGACACAATCCTTCGACTACATGTATTACTATTCTTATCATACCCTCACCCTTTGCTATCCTGTCACTCTCTCGTGTCTGTTTCCTTTCCGTTCAGGCCACCCATACTTAATTTATCCCTTTCGACTTTGAGTGTGAGGGTGAACTTTGCTTCTTGTTTACCTGGTATTGTTAGTACACTTTGCGCTAGACACCCCATTAACAGTCTTTGTTTGTCCTCCCACTATATGGATATGTATATACGTATTTTTATGTACACATATATATATAAAAGATCTACTTGGGTATGACACCGTGGGATTTTAAAGCCGTGGTTGATATTATTTTTGTCGCAAGCAAGCTACTGCTACTCGGTCATCAAGTGGGCATCGAGATGCTCGCGGCAGAACAAGTTCTTATGCGACGCCACAGATCTGCGGGAATGACTGTTTCCCCCCTCCCCGCGGGATGAATCGCGCAGTGATAATGTGGGGTTCATGTAGCACATGGCTGGTAGTATCATATTGGCCTCTCAAGCTGGTGTGGTGCAATGCATTGAAAATGAGGAGTTAGCGGTAGTGTATATGTGGGTTAGGAAGTGAGATGAGTTATGACTCGAAGCCACAAATCCTCTGCATGAGGATAAGTCGGTATACGAGCTTTCCCTATTAACGTTACGTTACGAACAACTTAAAAGAGGAAGGAGATTTATAACAGTTAAATAGCTTGATTACTCCATACTTATTCCATTTATTCTTCTTACTCCCCGTAACTAAAAACTGCTTAAAGGCAAGACAGTTCTTACCGACAATACACAGAAGTTGGTCCCTATTCGACATCCCCGTCAGTATAACACAACTTTACAATCCAGAACCAGGCAATGACCAATACTTCGATTTCCATACCCCCGATAGCTACGGCTGCGAAAGGGAAACAGATTCAGTATATGGATACGATCGATGCGTATGATCGGTGGGCTGAGGTGAGAACCCCCCCTTTTTCTTTCTATTCATCGGACTATGTTTCTCTGTTCTAGCTTCGTGCATTCCAGCTTTATCGTTAGCATATGGGGAATGGGATAAAACTTGCATAGCAGGCAGGGCTTTTCGTGTCCAGCGAGATTTCGAAGGCCAGGCAAAAGAAAACATACACACAAAAAATAAAAAAAGAAGAAAAAAAGTCTATTCGTTCTTTCGCTATGCATATTTATAGATCCTCTATAGTTTTTACAGTACATATCCCAGCCCGAACAAATGGAAAAGGCACAATTAATATACACAATACATTGAAGCAGACACATAAAACACATAGCTTTCTAATCCCCTCTCCCCCTGAAACACACAAAGGGATCAAGGCAAGAAGAAAGGTCTACGACACAGATGGAAACTTCCTCCAAGCCCTAGACACGCTCGAGATGCAATCACTCCTCCCGAGATTCCATTCGCTGCTCGAAACAAATAAGAACGGGAATAATGATGACGTTGGACCCAAACTCATCGATCTTGGCTGTGGCACGGGTCGGAACACCGTCCCGCTCACCCGGACCGCCAGAGCCACGGCCATGATCGTGGGGTTGGAACCGTCGAGCAAGATGCTTCAGACTGCTCGGGACAGGGTATCCAAATTTCTTGGAACCAAGAGTACGGAGAGCTTCGCATCCACAGCGGTAGAAGCAACCGAGGAACAAGGTGTACAGTCGATATAATGAAGAGCGTGTGAGTTTCCATCTTTATAACTTGCTTGACTTGGACGCTACAGGAGCTGGAGGAGGAGGGGTGTTGTCAGCCGCCATCGGGAATGCGGGCGGCGTCATATCAACTCTTGTGATGGAACATGTACCGCTGGACCAATTCTTCGGTGCCGCAGCTGGAATGCTGAAGAGAGGTGGCGTGCTGCTGGTGACAAATATGCATTCGGAAATGGGGTCGATTAGTCAGGCAGGATTTGTGGACCCGAACACTGGGGTTAAGATTCGCCCGACGAGCTATACACATACAGTTGAGGAGATGGTTGAGGCTGCAGAGAAGGTTGGATTTGAGGTTTTGGGTGACATTAAGGAGGTGAGAATTGATGAGGACTTGGCGGGGAAGTTGGGTAAGAGGGCGAGGAAGTGGATAGGGGTGTTGGTGTGGTATGGGGGAAATTTTAGGAAGAAGTGAATAGCTATGTATGTAGTTTTGTGGTGAACAAGAGAGTTGGATTGTAGAAGAGTGTTAAGGGAAGGAGGGCGAATATAACTAGTATGATACTTTTCATGCGTGCTTAAAGAGTTGAGGGGCAATAGCGGTTGGAAGTTGCCAATATTCTCCTATTGATATCGTAGTGACATCATCGGGTATAGGTAAGAGATGTCAGTCCAACACAAACAATGGAACTAAACGTGATTGGCGACGATGCTCTAAAAATATGCATCCAATAGCCGTTGTCGATGTTGTACAAGATTGGTATGCCTTCTGAGGTATCGTCCAAGCGGGTTCTGTTTCCAATTCAGGTGATCGTCCAGTAATAAATGAGTATAGGCGAATACGCTGGCATCGAATAGACCGGGATCCTGTCTTCCAAAAAAGTAGGCATCCTCTCCTAGTAAAGAAGACAGCGCTTGGAATGCGCTTTTGGCTTCCGCCTCGAGATCGTCCACGTCTATGAAGGAAGATGATTTGAGGAGTTCGTTTCGGGCAGCTTGCTGAAGCTGGTGGGCTAATACAGCGCGAACGAGAGGATTTGATGTCGATGGATCTACATATAGCTTTCGTCCCATGTTGTTAAAGTTTTGGCTGTCTACGTAGAATGTATACAACTGTTTGGGGCTCTGATTAACTCCTAGTTCTCCGAACAGCATTCAGAAACTATCGAAGACTAGAATTGACGTACCCACGCATTTCGTATCCTATGATCTAGAAGAGACGAATACACATCAAATCGCATGGTTAACTGTTGTTCCTCCTCAACATGGGATTGCTCGATAGCCCACTTTTGGAGCTTATTTGAAGGGATTGGCGCCATAGGTTCCCCTGGAGCCGCGACGGAACCAGACCCGGGTAGAAGGAAGGGAAGCGCGCCGGTTGGGGAGGCATGATTATTGGAGGAAACAATCTCAAAAGGAATCCTGACAAATTTGAGATATGCCTGTAAAGTGTTCCGGATTATAATGTCAGCTACATACATGAAGAGGGTGAAGGTTCAACACCACGGGATTCGACAGAGCTGGACTAACCTGCCACTTCAGACACTGCGGGTTAAATGATGGAGTCCCCTTTTCCGCCCCTCTGGCTGTAGTAAATATATACAGAGTATGCTTGCCCGCGTGGCTTGCGATACGTCGTGGTAGCTCATGCGCCGGGTAGGTTTTCCAAGGAAATTTGTCAAAGATATGTTTTATCGGGACAGGGATGGAGGGAAATCGGGTTGAAGAATGCGGCGAGGTTTGGGCCTGGTGGCCAGTCGCGAGATGCTCATCCTCTGGCATGATCCGAATGGCATCCAAAACAGGCCAATTGAGCCCTGTACTTTGTTGCGTAGTTCTGGGGACGATAACTATCAATGACTGCGCCGCAGTCCTTCGTCTTGATAGTTTTTGCGTATAATAAACCTTAGCAGCAGTCAAACCGCTTACATCATCTGCCAAGCAGTAGAGACAAAGTTTGGAAATGTCGCCATGCGAATTTCAGCCGACTTCGAGCCGGACTAACCGCATCGGGAATCCGGAATCTTACAGGGCTGATACGGTGTAATGTATCCCATCCCATCCCTCCCATCCCATCCCATGCCATTTGTAGGCATTCCATCTCATGCTCACTACCGTCTGAAGACCTTACATCAAGCATTGTGATTGACAGCTCTTTCTCGTTCGTTCCCCTGAAGCTAAGCTACAGTCCAGTCTAGTCGAGTCTACTTCACTACACGCTCACTTTATTCCGGCACTCAACCTCGATCTGCCTTGTAGAACTACCTGATCTCAATCTTCCTCTCGCTCTTCCATCTCCTCCAGACCGACGACTTTCCTCTTGTCTCCAGTTGCTTTTTCCCTTTCCTATCTAATTACTACTAGCTGGTGTACCGCATGGGGCCCTTTAAATTCGACCGGGGGATTGTGTTGCAGCTAGTAATATCTGTCCCGTCAAAGATAGCGGTCTCACTGTTGTGGTATCATTCCTCCAAATTGCCTCCAACGTTCTGACGAAAAGGGTGGAATAAAATATAAAAAAAAGCAAATATAGCCCTTGCTTCCAAATTCGCCTGCACAGCTAGCGGGGTTGGGGCGGGGCTGGGCCTAAAACATTTGTTGTTTCGCTCTTCCAAAGCTTCGCACATTCTTGTCGGGGATCATCTCATTGCTCTGGAAACAGCGTTGGATAGACCAAAGCTTGGATCTTGAAGAAACTTGTCTCCCGAGTGCCAACCGTATTTATGCCACTAGACGAACAGGGAGCTAAGTGGTCGTGGTAAGTTGCTTTATCTTCCACTGCTTGGATCATCGATTTACATTGCCGTTTAATTTAAAGGTCAATTTGCTGACTCGACTGACTGGTAGTGAGCCATGCGTCCGCGGCCACCGATCATCAAAATGTCAACATTTCGACCGCCTCATGATGAAAGTGCCCAAGGCTGGGCGTCCACTTGCAAAATGCCCGCATCCTAAAGGCACATGTAGTTGCCAGAAGTTATATGCATTCATGGTCAGAATTCCAAAGGGTAAGGCTCAAGCGCGGTAATCGGGTTTACAATGGCAGTGATGGTCCTAATTTTTTTTGTCCATGGACAGGCTCAACATGTTTATGCCGGCCTCTTTATCAAGTTCCCATGATGGTGACGGAGGCTGGACCATCTGCACAGCCGACCCCTGGCGCTCCTGCCCAAATTCCTCCCACGACATCAGGTCGAAATCGTATTCAAAAACGCGCAAGACGTCAGAGTAGTCTCCAGAAAGCCCCAGAGTTAGTCACAAAGAGTTCAAACGGAACCGATGTCCCGTCGCCTGGGTACAAAGCAGAGGATCAAGGGCCAAGCCCAATTGTATCGAATATACAATCCCCATACAACGAGCGGTGTTTGGAGTCTATCCCTCCTCCAGCTGCATTTCCCCAACATCAGAATCCAAACAGTGGCTTAAACGGCCAGGAGACTTATCCAACCCTCCAATCTTTGCCTCATAAGGGTAGAATAGAGGTTCAGCCCGCCATCAGCGGTGGGTGCAGTGGCTCCCAACCAACGAGTGAACCGTCTACCAAGCCGCCCAAAGTATCCTGTTGTACTAAAAACTCGAAGGCATGGAAATATAATGATGCTACTCCTCAACTCAAGCGAGAAGACGTCACACCTTCCGAACGACCAACCAACCAGAACTCCGTTCACTTCGTACCTCAGTATCCAACTACCGAGCAACAGTCATTCCCAACGATAGAGGTAGAAAAACGTGACCACGATCAAAATAATACCTCACCTCATTTACCGCATACTAATCCGTTTGCCAACTCCCAATTGCACGAGGCCTCTTCCGCCCCTGTGACGGGCTATTCGTCGCCGAATCCCATGAGCCCCTACGATTCATTAACCCATCCCATGGGTGGATTTCCTTCTTCGGGAATGCACCCTTTTGAATTTCAAACAAACCAAATTTCAAATGATTCTCAGCCACATAACTGTGATTGCGGAGATGACTGTCAGTGTTTGGGTTGCGCCTCCCATCCCTACAACAACACCACCCGACAACATATCCAGCAAATGGGTTACATGATAACATCCGGAGAAGCTGATCGGAGTCCTGAACCAAATAATTCTCCAACGCTCAACAGCCACGTGGCGCATGGAAGCCTAGGCTACAATAATGATTGGCCACCAAGTAGCCTCCCATTCCACAGTCCCGGCCAAATTCAATGGAACTTTCCACAATCTGGTCCTCCTTTTGACAATCCCGGATCTTCTGTTGTCGCTCCAGCTATCCACGACCCTAATCAGAACCAATTGTTGATGCAGCCCGCGGCGTATTACGAGTTAGAGTACTCTGTCGGTCTATTGGACCCTTGCACGAACATGACGGGAACCTGTCAATGTGGAGCCAACTGTAGTTGTGTCGGTTGCTTAACCCACAATGGCCATGATGGAATTCCACTCGAGCTTCCTCAAACCCAGGATAACCAAACAGAACAAGGACTTCCAATCATGGATGCCACAACCCCTATTTCCCCCATTTACAATCCTAGTCATTCTGACCAACCACCCGTCTACACGAACCACTACAATTTCGCACAGCCTCCTCAGAGCCCTGTACCTATAATGCCGCTTCCGGTATAGCCATTAAGCACAGTATTTCCCATCCGCACCTCTTGCTCATGATTCATCTTTCGTCCTCTCTACTCTTATCACAAACTCGAAACGATACGTCATTAACGATATCAAAGATACCCCACTTATCATGACAACTGGAGAGGCCTGTCATCTTGTTTCCGGCATTTCCCAGTATTTTGCTTATTTCCTACTACGCATTTTCTGGCCCCCTTCTTCCGATTCTGCTTTTACCTATATACGTAACAGGAGCGACAGGTATCGTTCTGGCGTGTATGCCCCTCATGGTAGAACACATATTTTTCGTAAGTTTCACATTTATCCCATAAGTTTCACATTTATCCCCTTTGTTCATTTGTTTATTTTTTGTAATTCTTCCCCCTTGCTCGGGACTACAATACCATACATACACACAGATACGATATATACCTTATGTACTATGAAGTTGTCTTGTCGGTGGCTCAGCATCATTTCAATCGGAGAAAGTATATGATTGGACCGGACATCTTCACTCTTCGGGATTCGTTTTGCAAATTCTTTAACAAGGCGAAAATGTTCATAAACCAATGTTGCAACTCTTTTGTTTGTTTATATATATATAGATAGATAGATAGATAGATATGGTTTTTGGGCCCTTAGAGCACCCCGCGCGGCAGGTCTTCGGTTAAAGCTGATCCTCCCTGCATCCTTGATAAACAAATTAAAAATAAATAAATAAATAAATAAAACCAAATGGACATGTGTTAACGAACGGGACATCGTACTATATTAAGCTCTACTGTAGATGTATTTGCTACGAAATTTTTGAAAAGGCTACAAGACTCTAGTTAAGGGTTAGAGAGCAATGTAACAATTAAAGATAGGAGGGATTAAAAGGGAGATTCTTGCTTTATTGATTCTATTTTATATAGACAGCAAGCTCTGTGATGCAGCAGATTCGAACAACATCCCGAGCAAATTCTAGCAATCAGCAAATGTTTGTTATCTCTCGCATCGGATTCTCGCAAGCTGCAACACCTCGGTCGGCCCAAAAGAGAAAAGGGCCGCTAACAAGAGGTAAACTTAAGAGTAATAAGCTGCGGACGGGAAAGTCGATAACGCAAGAGAGGAATCAAACACGAGACAAGGACAGAAAACACTGGTGAAATTTCCAAAGCCCACACCATAGATGTGGTCTGATGTGTAAAAAGAAAGTACCTTTAGAGTACTTGAAGTGGTTGTGGTAGTATAGTTTTAACGTAAATTAGTGGAGGTATATTATTACATTTCCCTCGCGCCCGGCTCTCTTTTATACATTTGGGCTCTGTCTGTTCCATGGCGCAACTTTTGTCTTTCCCGCTTCTAGGAACACTTCTCCCCCCTCAATTCTTCACCCTTTACGATCTCGATTGGCGGAAGGCATTTGTGTTATAGAGGGGTTGGTCGCCCCGTCGGAATGATGCTGTGTAGATGTATGTAGTTAGCACGGGTGCTTCTCACATTTGTTCTAATGGGAGAGGGCGGTGAGCTGGCTGTATGGTCCCGGGTGCCGATTCGGATGAAACTATATTCATTCTATCACGCAGATGGGCCTTGATATGACAGCAGAACCCTTCCGTTGGTCATGTAAAACAGGCGTGTATATATAATCCGGGGGAATTGAATTTACCATCTGCTTCCTCCCAAGCCCGTCCCGCACCGAATCCTAGACCAACCCACGCTGGCCAGGCTCTCCGCTTGAATAAGAGGACTGAGAAAATGACACCGAATGAGAGACCGAGGGAGGAGCGGATGATCATGGAGGATATGGCGCGGTCCCACTATGATTTTTGATTCTATTGTGTTAGCGACTCGGTTCCGGGAGTTGGGTATGTAGTTTGTTCGTTCTGGATGAGGTCACATATATTGACGGGGGGTGAATGCGTTGTGGGTATTTTTGGGAACTAATATCCCGCCGTTATTGTATCTCTCTATCCGTACCTTATCGTTCAATAGCGCTTCGCTGAGCGGCTTGGTTGATCGGGGTACTACGGAGCCGGTTTCTTTGGAGTCCGTCATGTTTTCTAAGCCTTTTGTTAGTCAATTGCTCGCATTCAATTCGGAAGTTAAATTGGACTTACTGGTACGTATCTAGGAATCAATTGGGCGACAGGCGCAGTGGATGGGCTAACGGCCTGGTAATAGTTATATCGGAAGTTTACATCTGTTTGTTTCTTTTCCCGGAGGAAGGCCCGGATTAATTGCTTGGCGATGCGTCCGGAACGGAAAAATATGAGAGCGGCGTGGGCAGCAATAAAATAAAATCGGGTTTATGTAGAGGAAAAAGATGGTGAAGGTATTATTATTATACAACACAATCACAACCCTGAGAGGGGGATTATATTTTTTTGTTATGGCTCCGGTTCTGGAGGTGAGAGATTCCCGTCTCATGAATAAATTGAGCCATTTCTCCTTTGCGTTCAAATGCACCTGAAGTAAACCTAGCGCTAACATTGTTCCTTTGCTAGTCTCCGCCTTCCGCGCATCAGGCTCTTCTTGAGCTTGAGAAAGGCACCAGCGGCCCAGCAAGTCAGCTGCAGGAAGCTGCGCGCATAATTGGGGTGGATTTATCTTCTTCATATAGTCGTGAAAAGCTAGACATCAGAGTGGTTCCGGATGCGGAGAAGGAAAATCAGAAGCATTCCGCACCCAAGGAGGAATGGGTTCTTCGCTGGCTCATGAAGAAATTGAAGGGATCTTCACAACAACACGAACAGTTGCAGTCAAAGTACTATAGACTAGACACCAAAACGTGGATTCTTCTTCAACAACTTTTTGATCGTATACCCACGAAGCCTTTGGCGTTTGTTCTCAATGAGAACAAGTTTTTGCTAATATTGAAGGATGTGTTGGGTGCTATTTCGGATGCCTCGAACTCCTGCCCCGAGCGTCCTGCGTTACAGGAATCCTTACATTCTGAATCCAGTGTGACGGTACAAGAATCTCCTGTTTCGGGACCCTCGAAAAGGGGCCAAAAGCGGAAGAGGGCGGAGAATGGCTTGGATTCAGTGGTACCGGTTGGGGGCTTTGCGGGGTCATGGGTTGATACGTTTTGTACCGTTTTGGACTCTGTGAAGGCTCTTGTTTCGCTACCAGATCAGGTTTCCGGGGTTAGATCAACTGCCAATTCACAGCTGAAACTCGTCCTGAGAGGGGAGCCCCAGATAGCTGCCACGATTCTTGGACAGTCATTAGAATTGGCACGGAAAGTCGTAGAAGAGCGGGATAGGGGGTGTGTGGAGTTAGATGCGCAACTAATGCCCGCGTTGCCTTCTGTTTTGGAGATTTGGAGACTGAGTTCGGAACGGCTTGGTGACGCCACCAACTTGTCTAGCGATGTAAGTTGCCTGAAGTTTTTTTCTCCCTTCTTTGTGGGTATGCTGACTTACTCTCAGACACAGGATCCTTTTTCATCACATTGTCTATCGGAAGCACTACATCTACTTATGGCTCTGAGAGAAATTAGAACTGAATCGCCTGAGAAAACGAATGTGATACAAAACTTGGAACGCATTGTCGTTCTGCAATTCGTCCTTCCACTTCGCCAGTCATTCTTCTCCACCTACTCAACTGAAACCATAAATTCGAATCATAGTCCTGATTCCACCCAAATCAAGCGCGTACTTAAAGATATACATTCCCGCTGGAAGAAGTCTAACCACAGCTCGAATATCAAGTTGCTGCCCACGTTACTGGATATTGCTGTTCGATCTGTGCCTCGGGACACGTTCAGGAGACAAGTGTATGAAGCGCCCTGGCTAGAGACGCTTTTTGTGGCACTCTCAACTATCGCCGGCTGCCCACCAGTTGATGGCATGTCATGGAGCACACCTCATAGAGACATCCCGATTCTCGAGCGTCTCTTGCAAGTGATCCTCGAAAGGGAAGTAAGCCTTTCTATTAACACAGTCAGTCGATATGCGATACGATTTTCTGGGCTTGTGGAAAATGAGGCATACCAGGCTACCGAGTGGTCATTAATATCCAAAATTATACGGACGGGTGTTGATGTGTTCCTCCCCAACTCCGGAATTGATGGCACGGAAAACTTGCTCAGCAACCTTATCGGTCGAATCACATCTTTTTCGCTAGTTTCAAGCATTATGCCAAATGAGACCTATGGCGTCATTAAGAACGACGTTGTTATACCTTTGCTCAAAGGGTTTGCGGGTGCAAGGGCTATTGGTTCATTCCTCAATATCTGGTCCGATCAATTAACTTGGATTGAATCTACTCGTTTAGGCGGGGCAGATATACTCTACTTTTTTGTTTGGGAGGATGACGACCTTGCTGCTGCATTTAGACCTTTGATAACGGATCTATTCTCTGAGAATCAGACTAAAGATCGTCTGCAAACTATTTTAACACAGCACTCATTCGACGACGAAGCGAAGATCTCTGAGTACTATGCAGACATCGTATTGCTTGACGCTATCTTGAAACCACAATTACGAGAAGGCGACGCTATGTTAGAAGGCGAATCCTTGGCACAAGCCTTCGGTATAATATCCAACTTAATCTTGTCGAGATGGAAGCTAGACTGGGGATGGCGGCTATGGCGTCTTTCCCAGCGTTTTGTTAATCGGCTTTCCTCGTACACAGATGATAGTTCTATGGACCTTAGCAGAGCCCTGTTACCTAAAGCAGTTGACCTGTTGCAGAGCTTCCATAATCAGGGGTCCACCACCAATATATCTACGAATGATTGTCTTGAAGCATTCGAGGCTTTTAAACTTGTGGTACTGGTTGCAGGCAGGGCAGACAGCGCCAAACACAGCCAGTATTTGAATGAAATAATCCCGCGAATTGCACCCGCGTTTAATCAGGTTGTGAAATCTGCAGGACCAGCATGGGACGGTCGAGTGGACACTATGACCTCTCCCGAAGCTGTTTGTGTTGGTTATCTTGTTGTTTTACAGGCAACGCCGTTGGCTGTTTCCCGCCTAACATCCGAGAACCGAGCCCTGCTATTTAACGGCCTTCTCACGTCAGTTGAACGCTCCGAGCTTTATACTTCGACACCGCTTTCGAGGCAAGAGACAGTGGGTTCGAGCCTCGAAAGTCAGTTGGTCGAAATATGGCAGTCGATGACCTCTAACGAATGGCTACTTGAGACGCCTGCAGCGGTTTACGATCTTGTCAATACAATTTTGCATCATCTCAAAGAGAAGAACAGCCCCCGGCATCTCTCAATTGCGAGCCTCCTGAGCGTCCCAACTCGGTTGATCCCACGCCACCAGAGGGGAATGCTCTTGGATTTCCTCCAACAAACGATTGTTACAGGGCAATTAAGCTCTGGGCCATTGTGTACTGATATTCTAACCTTGATGACAAGGCTGGCAGATTTACCTAAGTCCTCAGCCCAGATTACCAGCGATTGGGAAGAACCATGGAAACTTTCAAATGCTATTTCCCTCTCAATGGGGGATTCGTCGTCGACAGTGCTCCCATTTCAACCATTCCGCCAACTCCACAAAGTAATCATAGATCGGGTGTTAGTCTCGTCCGATGCTCAACGACATCTGTATTTCCAGAAAACGTTTGACAAAGCATCCTCAATGGTACAAAAATACGATAACGCCAACTTCAATAACATGGAGTTTTCTATGCTTGTGTTATCTCTAGGAACACTTCGCACACATCATGAGCACTTAGGCGGTAACCTTAAAGTTGAAACTTTGAATGCGCTGCGCGAGAAAGTGTTAAACATTCTCATTTCTGATTTACGGTCTATCGAGAAAAACATGGAAAAGGACAGGGAAATGCTGGATGTGAACACGTTAACCGGCATTTTGAATGCTCTGGAAGATTTTGAAGACATGATGAAGACAAATAAAGAGGCGCAAAAGGCCATACGTAAAGTTGAGAAGCGATTGACTACGGTTAGCGATGATATCCACACCAAAAGACTTGCCAAACGCCGGCTCGTGTCGTCCCAGCAGCCTGGTAAAGACCTTGAGCATGTACTGATGCAGTCTCTTTCGTTATTCCCCATTGATCAGTTATATGGCGAGGAACAACAGATGCTTTTGCGAGACATCCGCCACAAATTGTCCGCTCTATCAGAGAAGAAGCTCGTCCGTCTTGTACGCCAAATTCGCGAGTCAGGCTTCGCAGGCCAAAATACTGCTCATCGACTTCTGCTTACAGGCGTTGCCATTTCTTGCTTTGAGCCCGTTGAGGACCCAGATACCCAAGCATCACAGGAGCTGTCTGCCCTCTTCACTGCGTTATTACAATGCCTTATCGAAACCACAGCAATTGAACCATTTTCTCTTGCAACAGAGTGCATAGAAATGCTCCTCCGTAACCGGTCGCGGTCCATCACACAATGGAACATCGACAACACCCTAGGCACAATTGCAATCGTGATATCTACCCAAGGCCCCAAAATAGCAGGGAAGTATGCAGGGGTTATTTACAGTCGCATCTGTCACCTTCTCGGCCTCGTTTTTGGCCAATACCGCCAAAAGCTCAGTGGAAGATTCCATCTTGTCCTACCAGTCATGCAACCCCTCCTTCGCCTCCTCTTCACTCTCAGTTCGAGACCGCAAAGATCATCTCGCTCCCAATTGACCCCGCCACCATGGGCAGACAGTCATAATGCCAGTTCCCTTCTCCACAAGCCGTCTCATGCAACCCAATTCACCCGCCTCCTAACTACCCTATGCGACCCAACGGTGTCCGCGGTACAACGGGTCCAGCGATCAGATAGCGGACTAACAGATAATACAAAAAAGGTAAAGAGTCTAGCGGGGCAGCATTTGCAGTATTTAGTTATGGAGTATGCCATTTGTCAGCTGCGAGGTCAACTGGCGCCGGAGATGAAGGCTGCGTTGATACCGGGCTTTTACTCTGTTTTGGACGCGATGTCGAAGGAGACGATGAGGGGTATGAATGCGGCGATGGACTCGTCGAGTCGGGCAGTGTTTAAGAGTTTATATGAAGATTACGTGAGGTTTGGGAAGTGGAATCATGGGTGATTTGGTTGGGTTGTGTGACATTATTGTGGGTATATGGTATATATATATGTAAACCTTTTATCTGGAATGAAACGAATTTCGAAACTTCATGTGCGTAAAATGCTTGGTGTATACAGCTGCTTCAATAATGAGACTAGACCAGATGGATCAATCCATTAGCTCGGGTTAACCACCTTGATATACACACATATATATATATATATATATATATGTATGATAGCACATTTTATCCGTCCAGCAACTACAGAGCAGCGACAGCATCTTGGCTAGTTACCCAGTTGACCTACTTGGTTGGGCCCAACATTATCCGGTAGTTAACTTAGCGCGAATTAACTCAGTTCCCACTTCCGTGGACTTTCTTCTCCATCTCAACCGCAAGAGTCAACTGTTTGTATTCCTCCAAAGAACTCGGATTCACTCAAAGCCTCGTTAACCCCGCCACCCTGGAAGATGGTGTAATCAGCAGTTACTCTGTATTGCCCTCAGAATGGCCGGTAGCTAGCCAAGAAAGATAAGCTAGGGTTCTCCATATTTATTAGACATTGGAGCTGCTGATAGGAAGGGGAGGTGATGCGATGTCGCAAGGAGTCGCCCTCCAACTTCGTGAGCTTCCCAGTAGCCTGTTCTCTATGGCCCATCGAGGGGCGAACGCATGCGACCGGGTTGTTGCACCCACCACAATAATAAAGCCAGTATCGGGAACCAACAACGGACGAGAGTTGGAAAACTTGGCCGGCTGTCCCTGTGATCGGTGATGGCGGTTCTTGGATACCCTCCACGGCGATGATCAAATCAGATACCGGGAAAAGAACCCTATCTCGATTACTCTGTGTAGATCCACCGTTGGGGGAACGGTTTCCAAAAGTTTGCGCAAGTAGCTCGACGACGACAGTGGACGGCGACGGGGGAAGATGACCGGGTCCACCAACATGATAACGAGCGATATTGATCGCGGACAAGTCCAGTCCTCTGCTAGTGTCATTGGGTAACAGTAAGCCATGTTTCTGCTTGACTTCCGGGATCTTGGTTCAACTGGGTTCTAACGGGAAGACAACTGACGTCTGTAGTGCAGATGTCATACTAGGAGCTGCCATCTTGGGCGGAGAATCTCTCCCGGGCAAGATCACATCGAGCGTGGGGAAAACCTCTCCTCCCCCGTATAAATACTTCCAGGGCAGCAGATGAATCTCTCACCTTGTCTCCCCCTCTCTTCATCTCTGCTATGTCATCGCCGTCTCAGACGAACTACAATCAATCAGCATAGACGACTTGATCCCGATCGACAGCTTCCTCCTTCTTGCAGCGTGTGCACTCCGCCCGGGGAACTGCGACCGCGGCCAGAGTATAGAGTATATATCTTGTCCATTCTGATACATTTCCTTGTTTGATATGTGCCTTCTTTCACCAACCTCGGATCAAATATGGATGTTCTATCAAATTCAAAAATTGCGCATTATGTCTCCAAGCTGGAGGTTAGATATGAGGCTGGCTTGTCTACCGGACAGCTCATGCTGGTGAACGATGATTTGAAACCAGGTACGTGAGCTTAGCTACTATTGCTCGACCAAGCAAGACGTCGGGACTCTACCGTTTTCTAATGACACTAACCCTTACTGACGCTCCCATGATGTAGTTAAACCGGAGCATCGACGATGGGGTCCTTGGAACTATGTTCGCTTCTGGATCGCGGACTCCTTCAATATCGTGGGTCAAAACAAACGCGAATCATTTTCATGAGAAATCTACTGTGAGAACTCGCAGAGTATGCTGAACCGATTTTCTAATCCCAGAACACATGGATGATCTCGTCCGCGATGATCGTCGAAGGTTTGTCGTGGTGGCAGTCCTGGATTTGCGTGTGGTTTGGATACTTCATTGCTGCTGTGTTTCTGTGCCTGAGTGCGCGAATCGGTGCAGTGTATCACATATCTTTCCCAGTGGGTATCAGGGCGTCGTTTGGGGTATGGGGCTCCATGTGGCCTGTCTTTAACCGGGCAGCCATGGCATGTATCTGGTATGGTGTGCAGTCGTGGATTGGAGGTATGTAATCCCATGTTTTAATGCGTAGAGGGCGTTGACATCCTAGATTTTTTGCCGGAGACTGATATAAATCCTCTATGCACGTCCTTGGATAAGGCCAATGTGTTACGCTGATGATTAGATCCATATGGTCTAGCTATAAGGACTTGCCAAATAGCATGCCAGCTAGTTCGGGAACAACCACGAGAGACTTCTTGAGCTTCTTTCTGTTTTCACTCTGCAGTCTTCCCGCCATCTGGTTCCCAGTGCATAAGATCCGCCATCTCTTCACCATCAAATCTTACTACGCGCCAATGGCTGGCATCGTTTTCCTTGCTTGGTCCGTCCACCGTGCAAGTGGACTCGGCCCTGTTGTTGACCAACAGCATACTGTCCAAGGCAGCAAATTGGCCTGGGCAGTGATAAAGGGAGTAATGTCTTCAATCGCCAACTTCGCTACGCTTATCGTCAACTCGCTCGACTTTTCAAGGGTTGCTAGGAAGCCAAAGGATGCCTTGTACTCTCAACTATTCACGATACCCATCAGTTTTGCAATCACATCATTCATCGGGATTATCGTGTCATCCTCGTCAGGTGTGATTTATGAAGAGCCTATTTGGAACCCACTTGATATTTTAGGTAGATTTCTCGACGGCGCGAGCAAAGGGGAAAGGTTTGGGGTCTTTATCATCTCCAGTGCCTTTGCTCTAGCACAGCTAGGAACAAATATTGCGGCCAACTCGATATCGGCGGGAACCGATATGACCGCCCTCTTCCCCCGGTTCCTCAGTATTCGCCGGGGCGGGTATATCTGCGCAACCGTTGGTTTCGCTATGTGTCCCGTACGTGTTTCCACCACACCATCCGCACTGCCTACCATTACTCCACTCCTTACTAACAAATATGCCCTTGTTCTACAGTGGCATCTCCTCTCCAGCTCGAACAGCTTTACCACATACCTTTCCGCCTACTCCGTCTTTCTTTCCTCCATTGCAGGCCCAATGATTTGCGACTACTATCTTGTTCGCAAGGGTTACATCGACGTAAAAGAACTCTACAGCGCCCGCAAGCGTAGTCCCTATTACTATGTCTTTGGCTTCTCCTGGCACGCTTACGCGTCCTACTTCTCCGGGATTCTCATCAACATCGTCGGCTTCGTCGGTGCTGTTGGCATCACAGTACCCGTTGGAGCCACCTATTTCTACAATCTAAATTTCTTCTGCGGCTTCTTCATTTCCTTTGCGATGTATTATATCCTCACGAGGATTTGGCCAATCCCAGCGACGAGCAAGACATGGAATGAGAGGGATATCGATGTCACGAATCTGTCTGTGGCGTATAACCAAGGAGAAGCGCTTAGTATTGATGAGGAGTCCCAGTCAAGATCTCCGTCGTCGCCTGTGGATGACGATCTGGATATCGATGTGAAAAGTGGACGAGGCCGGGTTGATGTGAAAGGGTTTGGGGGGAATTTCTAATGAACGGGATAGAGGTGTGGGAACTATGAATAATGAGGTGTTTTCTTAAGTAATTCCACTTGGGGGATGGATACCTGCAGTTTTTTCTTCAGTTGTATTGTTTATTTCTTTCTGATTTTTTTTCCTCTTCTCTTTTATCTGCTCCTTTAATTTAATGTCGACAGCACCCCAGACAAATTGACCTATATAGACTAAACGTCTTTTTAAAATTGCATTGAATCTTCTTTGTTTTGAAGAACATTATGCTACCTCAGACTTACTTTGAAAAACTGATTGTTTAATAATAATACCTATATTGATCTCAAGATGCATACCTAGGTAAACTATATCACTCATGTAACTGTTCATTTCACCCGACTTACCATTCGATCACCACACCACCATCATATCCACCCCAGCAAACAACAATGTCACCCTACAACCCTTTACTCCATCATAGATGCTCTTCCAGCACCTCAAAGAGAACTCGCTCAAAGTGGCTAGTCAAGGATCTCCCTCAATCCTCCCAAACCGCTGGAATGCAGCTTGACTACACACCAATTCCATCTCGTAAACACATCCTCATAAATAACCCTCCACCATCCCAGGGCACGAGGAGTGAGACGGCAGCAGACTCGAATTTAAAGTCAAATTTGTGAGAGGAACAGAGAGATGCTGAAAATTGGCGTTGTAGATGTGACTGACATGTACATGTAGTGTACATGGACAGTACATCAGCTGTCCGCCCCCATCTCGCAATATTACGGGATTCATGCTTGATTCGTCGCGCTTCCGCACAGGATTCTGCACATCAACGTATGTACCTTGGTAGATATCAATGTCGAATTTGGCCTGAAGAAGCTTACCGATGGATAGAGTGGTGACTACTCCGTGCATGTGAAGGGATGCACTGTTCAAGGGAGCCGCTAGGATATGGGATCCTGGCTATCTGCGTTTCGGCACCACCTCTCCACCTTAAAATAATGAAGCAAAAGATGGTGGGTCCTCCATCTGCGGCTCAGCACCAGCTCTGGTATGGTAATGGTGAAGGGAGGATCCTCCTGCAACAGGCAGCGCTGCTGGACGGCTTTGCTGTGGCTGTGGGCGCAATTCGCCTGCGAGGCGAGTTAGAAGCGAGGTAAAACTTTTCGTGAAGCAGGGATTTCAACGTCGTCCGTCTAAGCGTTAGCGCACAGGGTGTGAGATTGCAGTTGTCAGGAAGTCATGTTGAGTTTGGGACGGTGAGTTCGTAGAGAGGTGCTAGGAGCTACTCCGTATAGTTAGTAGAGATCGGGGAGAAAATCGAGGCTGAGCTGGGAGTCGAGTTTCATGAATACTTCTATGGCATGAATAATGGTTGCCTATTTAATTCTGTTGTTGAATTCCAATGATATTCGCATCCGGATGGAGAGGGATTGGTTGATTGATTGACTGATATTGAAACCGGAGGAGCACAAGCTAACGCGTTATCTCCGGCCAAAGAGCCGCACTAGTTACTTTTCTCAACGCGCGCGCTGCCTAACAATCAATATGCTGGAGTGTTTCGACATGGAGAGCTCTCATAAGTTACTGAGATCATCGAATATCTGTTTGCCAATCTGTGAAATCTGTTAGTTTGTCGTTGTGCAATATTTATGAAGATGACTCACCATCGAATTGACTTGGCTGCCTTGAATTTCGACTGCACAGTATGCTTATTTGCATCACTCTCTACAAGCTCAACGGCTCTTGATCGGACATAAATACTTAAATGGCTAGACTAGGATTCAAAATCCACGTTTTCCAAATTAAGTGTGTGTGGCTTGACTTCTGGAGGTTTCATTCGCAGCCAGTTAGTTCATTTGCGGACGCCGACAATGCATCTGTGTGACCGTCACCAGGGTTGCCATGGCCTTTGTCCGCCTGGCAGTTTGAGCATCAGCATCATCATCTCTTCCATAGGTCTATCACCGCTCGTCGGCGTCCATATCCATACTAGTTTTCAACTCCTGTCGACTGGCAAAACTGGTTCTCCACGAGGTCCTGTTCAATCTCGACTCTGTAATCCGGTGGTCCGACGCTGATCGCGTTGACCTGGTCGACATAAAAAGCTGTTCAAGCGCCCTCGAAATATCCCCCTTTCCTTCCCCCCTTCCCTGGGATCCAACTCGATGTTGAACACTTTCAAATTCCGACAGGTTTGGAGGTCTCGTCGGATCGCTTATCACAACCCACTTTTACCCAATCCCGTTTGCCGGAAGCCTACTGCTAGCTTGACCCATCTACGAAGAACCCACACAAGCCAACCGATGCCGATGACTAAAAAGATGGCCACCGCCGCCCTTCCTCAAGCTCTGCAATCGATTACTGCTACGAAAATCACCGAGCTCAAAAAGCAGCGGGCTCTGTTCGAAACTCGCAAGGCGGAGCTCCTCAACGAAGCCAATCAACAGCCGGACCTGCGTGAGAAGGTAAGGATTCTGCTCGAAGGAGTAACGAAGATCCAAGGGTTTCCCAGTGATGGCTTGGATACAACGGACAAAGATGATGCAGGACTTGATTGGAACGACTCCCCCTGGGAACCGACATCTAGGAGTCGGTATCGGAACATTAGACGGTTCATATTCCAAAGTAAATATGACTCGTCGATATCGAGCGAGATGCTATCAACGTGGGAACTGGAGCTGAAGCGAGAGCTGGATCTGCGGAGCGTTAGACATGAACACGCTTTGTTCTTCAGTCAGCTAGTTACTGAGTGGCTCGCGAATCCAAACGACCCTGGTGCGGACGAGGGAATTGAAGGCTCGCTCGAACCTGTTGGGAGGGAGGAGATGCACGAGCAGCGGGCCCAATGGGAGGCATTGGTGTTTGAGCCGGCTCAAACGGACACCGCTGCTGTTGAATGTTACCTTGAACAGCTCTTCATGCAAACCAGACTATCCCAGCAGGCTCTCAAAGATCTGCGGAATTCAGTGAAGACTTTTTCGAAGGATATGCTTGCAGATCAGAAGGCCTTCACTCCGAGCACCCTAAAATGGGTTACGAATGGGGTAATTTCTAGTGATATCTTCTCCCCTGATAAGGTCAGCATTCTCAAAGGCTTTCTCGAAAATGAGGACGTCGCTCAAGAAGTTTCAGACGTATTGAACATGCGTCTTGCTCAACTCGATACGTGGAAATGGGGTAGCGAAGCTATCCCAATTGAGATGCGACGACAATTGAATGGCAAATACCGCGTGTACATGGATGAAGAAGTTCTTGATGCACTCTTCTTACAATACATTGGAGTAAAATGGGGGGTGGAGTTCAAGAGAATATTTGGAACGTTTTTTAATTCACATGCTTGGAAGCGGAATACACCCCCTATTCCCAAGCGCGATCTAGAGAGGCGGCAATACTTTCTCCACGAGGATCCCAAAGCAGAGGGCGGTCCTCAAGAGAATCTATATAAGACTAGAAGAGACACTTTCGAGGAATCTTACTTCATGAGCCAGCTCCCGTCTAATGAAATGCAGACGACTACGTATAATTCCGAAGAGAGCGACCTTGCTGCTTCTAGTTCACCCCTTGACCGAAAACATTCCTTGCTTCACCTCCTCATTACAGAAGCCCGCGTAGCCACTACGTTGCATGGGCAAGTAACAGTATTAAGGTCTGACTTCAAATGGTTTGGGCCGTCTCTCCCGCATTCAACTTTGCTTACTGTGATGAAGTTCTTCCATGTTCCTCAGGTCTGGCTCGATTTCTTTCAGAGATTTCTGGAAGCACCGCTGAAATTCGTGGAAGACGGGCCTGACGCTCCGGCCCGCATCAGAAGACGAGGTGTTCCAATGTCTCACGCTTTAAGCGACGTCCTTGGAGAGTCGCTGCTATTCTGCATGGATTACTCCGTTTCAAAATCCGCAGACGGCGCCTTCCTTTATCGCCTTCATGACGACTTCTGGTTCTGGGGCCCGGAGAAATTATGTGTTTGTGCTTGGACGGCCATGACTGAATTCAGCAAGGTCATGGGAATTGAGTTCAATGAGGAGAAAACAGGGACGGCCCGACTATTTGGAAAGAAGCCCCCATCTTTACGTCAGGAAACGAGCTCCTCTGAAAGCGAAGATGAGGACGGGGATCATGCTGATGACATGTCCATCTCTTCCTCGAGGTCGAGTATTGATTACGATGCCCTTCCTGTGGGTGATGTGCGCTGGGGATTTCTCAAGCTTGACGAGGAGGCCGGACGATTCATCATCGACCAATCGCAGGTAGATGAGCACATCAAGGAGCTCAAACACCAGCTGGACGCCTGCAAAAGCATTTTTAGCTGGATTAAAGCGTGGAACAGCTATTTTGCTCGCTTCTTCGTTAACAATTTTGGAAAGCCTGCCATGTGTTTTGGGCGCGAGCACGTCGAAATGGCAGTATCCACCCTGCAACGTATCGAGCATGATCTCTTCACGTCACCCAGCAACAAATACTCTTCTTCTTCCGCCCCCGTCCGCAACGCGGTAGATTATCTCAGACTCGTGATTGCCCAGCGATTCAACGTTCATAATATCCCCAGTGGCGTTTTCTATTTCCCCGTGGAGCTCGGAGGTTTGGACCTCAGTAACCCACTGATTCCCTTCCTCGCCATTCGCGAAAATATGAGAAAGACACCGGAAAGGATTCTGGAGAAAGTCTTCATCGAACAAGAAAAAGAATATTCTGCCGCGAAGGAACGTTTCGAAAAACATGGACCCGACCACACTGGCAACTTTGTTCTAAACACCTATCGTCGCCGTCATGGTGGCCGCGACGGCTCCTCCTCGCCATCATCGTACCAGGCACCCGAAAAGTTTATGTCGCTGGAAGAATTCAACCGACACATCGAAGCAACCAGCAAACACCTGGTGTGGGCGTACCAGGAACTGCTCCTTTGCCAGGATCAGATTTCTGTCAATCGGACGCCAGAGCTGATGAGCGAGCAGTCTCGATTGGGGAATTCGCAAGACCAGAAGCTACCTCCCATTTCTTCCGATTGGTATCATATGAATATGTACTGGAAGTGGGTTGCGGAGTTGTATTGCAAAGAGATGGCAGAGCGATATGGCGGGCTGGCTGTTGTGGAAAAGGGTGTTGTGCCGTTGGGCGTGCTGAAGGTATTGAGGGAAGGAAAGGTGAAGTGGCAGGGCTGAAATTTTTGCCTATTTTGTGCGTTTCACCTTTGAAGAGGGAGGGGTTCATTGATGTGCTAAGAGATTGGTTTTGATGATATTGGGGAAAGTTTATTGTATGATATGGTGATAAAGTTTGGTAAGATAGGTTCGCTTCCTCTACTCCATTATATGAACTCAAATTCTTATTTTTGTACAAAGGGTCAATGACAGTATCAAAACTCTTCTCGTCAAGAGAAAGTACATGAATGGTGTACGTAGATTGGAAAAAAATATAATAATCAAAAGCAACAACCAAAGATTTTAATCATATGGAAGAACTCGTCATGTCTGAGTTTGCTACCAATTTAGCTAGCAAATATATTGAAAAACTCTGACCCGCTTTAATTGCGGGCAAGCTTCTTCAAAGTCAAATAGCGACCATGGTCCTCGCAAAAGGAGAGCATGTTGTTGCTGGAAGGGTAATTTCGCTTCCTGTCGAATCATACAGGCAAAGAATGGACACACTTTTTTCTCAGGGGATTGGTTGTCCGCCATAAATCGGATAATATCCGTTGCAAAACCTCCGCAAACTTCGTCTTCGCTTGATCCTTCAGCGCCGAAATGCCGTAAATCTCTGCAGCAGCGTACACTTTGGCGAAGAAGAGCATCGGTGAGATGAGCCCGTGATAAATATTAGCAGAATCAAACCCATGCATGAAACAGATTATGGCTTCGATCGTTCGTGGCTCATCTCCTACTTTATCACATCTTCTGCAGTTTCCTGGTGATTCCGACACCGTCACCAGCCAAAACTCAGGGGCAGTAAAGAGCAACTGGTTGTGGGGGGGAACGCACTTTCAACTCTGTGTTAAACATGCGGGAGAAGAACTCGGATTGACCGCAGATGACGAGTTTGTGAACCCTGGATTCTTCGTCCGCTACTTGTATGGTGAAATCCGTAAACTTTGAGGAAATGAAAGAGTGTGTCTGTCATATTGTCCATCTTGCCCTTGAATGGAATGATTGCAGTCTCCATAACTCATAACTCTGAATGCTGGGTAAGGAGCATAATGGCGCGATTATGTGGGTGTCGAGAATGATAGCTTGACTTCATTATATCATTTCTGATAACATAACGTGATATTGTTTCAGTTCGCGTATGCTGCTAATGCGGGCTTTTTTACGGAAAAGCGGCTGATATGCGACTCTTTAAACAGCAGGCTTCTGGATCAAGGTATCTCCATGAGGAACGAATTAACGGACTGCAAAGTTGAGCGTGAGGGATTCACATCGTCCTTTGACGATATTATCCAGGCGAGACGCTGTCGAATGTATTCTTTGTTAATCAGAGTATCCCGTCGGGCTCCTTCAAAGTTCCCTACGTAATTCTATTAGAGCTACAATACAAACTAGTGAAACCATGTAGGCACCTACCTTTTTCATCGTGAAACAAGCAAATTATCATGAGAATTGTCCCAGCGGACAAGTCCTTGCCATTATCACACGTCACGAGCAACGACTGTGAAGGATTACGAGACAAATGTAAAGAAACAAACTGCTCAACCTTGCTAAAAACCTTTCTTAGGTGCCGACTCCCAAGCTTCCCTGAAGGGCATCCGAGATTCAGCGTTCTTCGATCTTCCTCGGTTGCAGTCCCGGTTAATGATGTATCTGTATCCCCTTCTGCCTCTGGATCATTGCAGTTAATCCGTAAATCGAACAGGTTTTCCTTAATCTTTCTTCTACCGGTTGCCTCGGAGCCACACTTTCGGTCACTCCTTCCGATATAGATATTATTTGTGGGCTTGATTAATGCAGCATCTTCTTCGCCCATCTCGCGATGATGTTTCTCAGTTAATTCCTGGATCAACCGGGGCAAATCTCCCTCGTCAGTAGCAAACAGAGCAGATTTATTTTCCCAAAAGATTTCCGGAGTAAGGCCATAGGACCATGCCTCGCTATCATCTCCAGCTCCCTGGATATAGCCACCCTCAGACATCTCCGCACCATGGACGCGTTTCGAGGCCGAGCACAGAACCACGAGATGGAAATCATCCATTTCTTCCTCAGGGTATTCAGGCCAAAAGAATTCTCTCGTGGCCCAGGCAAGCCGTATTGGCTTACCGAGGCGTGTTCTCAGCTCTTGCATGTTGAGTTTGAGGGACTTCAATTGATGTTAGTGGACATTGTTTCCGCATCGAAAGCGAGATATAAGATTCGACATTGGGATTTACATTTAGTGAAACAACAAAGGCATCTATTCTCTTTTCAATCTGCGACTCTTCGGATGCACCCAGGAAATTTTGCGGGAACTGGACGTCGTGAAATGCCTTATCGTCGGGGAACAATGCCCTGTTCATAACAGCGGCCCATATGGGAACTGTTTTGGACAATGCATCAGGCATAGCTAGGTAGAGGAAATATCGTATTAGCTATATGGGCCCAGGAAGGGAAGCGGTACTTCTGCTATTTTGAAGCGTGTATGTCTACTCGTCTCATAGGGTAGTTATACATACATTTCCCTCTCCTGGTAGAATCCACGATAACACATCTAATGAACCAAAAGTTAAGAAATCAAATCATTTAAATTCGGGTTAGAATGTAGAAAGAGGTAGATTGAACATCTATTGGGCTGAGTTTACCCTCGATTCTTCTTCAAAATATCCAGTAACTGCAAATTTAGCCTGCGCAGACTGAAATCCCACTGACCCTCGTGGCCATCGGTACTCTTGAAATATGCACTTCCGGCCTTCCTGTCTGGGGGGATATACCAGCTACCACATCTTTCATTGGCGACTAGCGGCAGTTCATAGTAGTCCGCAACGTTTTGGGAAAATTCTGCATCTGCCTCGATTGAGCGAAGTCTGTTGGTGATTGACAGTGCAGATTTGCGAAGTGAGGAAAGGACTTGGGAGATGCTTTGGTGGATAGAAGATGGAAAATGGAGGGAGGATATGGAAGTGGGATAGGAATTTGAGTTGGCCATGTTAAGGACTTGTATATAGATTCTTATTCATAGATGTTGTTTGGCTGAGCAATTTGATATCGCTGATTTTTTTTTTCTGTTTTTCTGTTTTTCTGTTTGGTTAGTTAACTAGTTAGTTAGTTAGTGAACTCAGAGGCGACCAATCAAATGGCTGTGTTTCTATTCAACCTTTTTTGCCGCAAAGCGAAGCGAATAATATATATCTAGAAAAGTCCATCCCAATTTCCTTCGAGATTGGATGATTGATAACCTATTATGTTCAAAGGACATTATGTCCCCTCATTAAAAAGATAACTAATAGAACGATGAAATCACAGCATGATAAGAGTCAAACTCTTGCCACCCCGCCCATACAAACACAAGTAAAGCTATCATTTCTCTCCTATAATAAATCGACCAACAACGTAATTTCTTGCTTAAATGCTTTGATTTCTCCAGTAATAATACAGTGATACGGCAACTGAATTTCCCCTGTCTACTCTCGCTTTTCTTGCAAAATATCCAACACCTCCCTGACACTGCAGAAATCAGCCAATTTCCCAAATGCTTTCCGATTGCCGAAGTTAGCGGGACATTTAAGGTTATTTGCTCGGCTAGTTAACTAGGACCGGCAAACCGACGCCTATCCCGAAGTCTCGTCCCGAGGTTTTCCTTCTTTGGGCATTAGAAGATCGGTTTCTATTGTTTTTCACCATAGTTTCTATTTCCTCAAGAGAGTTTATTTGGGCTGTAGTTACTATTGCGTTGCAAGTAGAGCTCCCGAGCAAAATGGAGTTATGGTCGTTTTCCGCTGTATTGATCTAGTCAAAACGTGGTGCAGTTAGGTGTATTGGTGTGGAGCCTTCTAACAACTGACAGTAAGGTGATGGATGGAGCTCTCTGACTTACATCAAGTTATTGATATGTGCCAACGGCACGAGCTAGTTGGGGTACAGGCGGCTTGTGATATCTGTTCCTGGGAGCAAGATCAGTAGATTCTTCTAGTTGAGGTAGAGCTCGAGAAAATTGAATCTGCATGGATAAAAAAGTTGGGAAAGTGCATTCTGTTCCGTTTCAGCTGTTCTAGGTGCCATGAACATAATGATCCCTCTGGAGTTGTGTTTGTACTCGCATGCATGTGTGCATATGTGCATGTTCTGTAGATTTGCTCTCTCCCTTTAAAATCAGTATTCAGCCTTGCCCAAGAAGCCTTCTCCTGCTCCTCCCTCCATACCCTAACCCAAAGCTATATCAAGATCGTTAGTAGCATGAATGATCGCAAGTATTTGATACTCGGTCATAAAATCACGGCATTTAAGGTCATCCTATCCTTGCCACTCCCTCAGGTGTCATCTGAAGGAAAACTTCACAGCGCCCAACCTTAGCAGTCTCTTAAAGAAAGGATCTTTATCAACCTTCATACATGTAGTACATGTATGTACATGTGGCTCACCTTTCATGAGTCCATGTACTACTGCCGACGCGCCCGTTAGCAAACAAAAATATGTACGCTTAAGGAAAGCGAAGCCTACCTTAAAACCTGCCAGACGAAGTTCCCGGACCTTCCTGTTAACTTTCCAGAGCGCTTGCCTTCGTATCTGTTAACGGCAACCGCGGCCGAGATTTCCAAGATCTCCGATCTTGATTCGCTCATCCTTCCCGTTATGGAAAGAATAATAAGCTTCCGAACGTCTGTTAAGGTAATTCATGCAAACTTAAGCGCAAGGTATATTTTCCCAGAGTTTAACCATGAGAGAGGTCTTGGGGAAGTATAAGCTCAGGAGCTAGCTACATGGGGGAGAGTAATCTAGATGAAACTGCAGGATATATACCACAACGCCTGTGAGTTCGGGTATATTATGACAGCTTAATCCAGTCTACCTTTATCCAATGTCTGGTTCCTGTCTGTAGAAGTATGTATATGTAGCGCTTTTGGGCGTACCATACATCCCAACCTTAGACTGGATATTGAGGTCACTTTTGTAGAAATCCTAAAAGTAAAATCATATGTATTCTCAAGTTTATCATAATCCGCTTTTCGTTTCTCACCTTTTCCCTTCCATTTTCATCTTCCTAAACATCGATCTGTTATATTATATTACTCTCCAGGGTGAACCGAAACGAATGAAATAAAACGCTGCCGATTAATCAACTCACATCATTGCCTGCTTCGCATCGCAGTTATCAACTCCCATTATGAAACCAAGCCATCCTGTCTGCAAGAAGGAGAAAAAATCATCTCGCAAGTTCAGTCTCCGTCCGCTCCGCGAGATAGTTTCTCGATGGCTCCGTATGGAATCTCCAAAGCCCGACGACGAAGAGCACTCCACCCATGGTCTTCAGTCGACGTGCAGTCAGTGCAAATACTCGTCCTTCGACGGGGATAAATTCTGTCTAAAAATGTACCAACACTGTATCACGCCTGGAGAGGTGGAAAATTCCAAGAAGTCCATCCTCCACCGCTTGCCGCCTGAGATCGTCTCTCTAGTTATAAAACACCTCAAGGAGTTCGAAGTGGAATGTTTGAGATATGTCTGCAGACTCTTTTATCATAACTATACCAGCTCGAGGGTACTCACAATGCAAGGCAAGCTCGAACTCGCATGCCTCCTAGAGCGAGGGACTTGGTCCAGAAGACTTGCTTGCCGGGTATGTCCCAGTAAGAGACAGGACAAATCAATGTTCTTCCCGATAGATTGGGATAAGAACCCACATCACCGCAAGTGCAACAGACATCGGGGTGGCCTGTTGCAATTCTGCCCTTATGCCAGTGTCAATTTTGATGATATGGTACATATCACCAAGAACAAGAGACGGTATTTTCAGTTTCCCAAGTGCTCGCATGACGCATTTGATCTTGCTCTTGCGTTACAGGGGCGGACCTGTCTTCTTGAAGACGAGGCATGGACCATCGTCCGCTGGCGCAAGTACAGAGTGCTCACCACAACTACCCTTGTCGCGATCTATCACGCCGCCATAATTCCCTCCAAAATGGACGCTAATAAAGCTTTCAAGGCTTTGGATATACCTCTCTGCCCCCATGTTCACCTAGGCGACCAATGGGTCATACAAAAGTATAGGCCCAACCTTGTGGCTCGTCACATGCGTCGGGAAACCACTAAGGGGAAGTGTCATTGTTTATATTGTACAGGTTTCATGTGCCGTTTCTGCGACTCCAGGTTCAGATTTCGAGTGCATTTCCGAAAAGAACCCGTGGCAGGCGCCTGTCTCGGAGTGTCAATCATGCGAAATTTGGGTAAATTGAAAGACCCCAATGACCCATATTGGCTGTCACAGCTTTCGATCCCCAACTTGCCGGATTTCAGAACCCAATGGTCCGATCGTATTGCTACATTGCACCTGAACTTCACTCTTGGTGTTCCTCACGGTGATATCGAAAGAGCTATGCTTTCTAGGACATTGGAAAACAATGCTGAAAATGTTTTGAGCGAGCGGGAAGGTTGGACAACCGCCCCCCTTGGTAATTCGAGGGCAGATATGAGGACTTTGCATAAGCCGTTGTGGAAGCCTCGGTTGAGCAGACGGGATAGGAAGTATTGGCGCTGGTAAGGAACGCATGTTTCCCCATTTCCGCTATTGAAAGCCTGTTTTGGCTATATGCTAATCAATTTCCACTTAAACAGGGAAGGGTATGGGCCCGATGGACATCTTGTTGACAAGGAATTCTCAGGAAAATGTGGAACAAGAGACTCCATGAATTTAAGATAAATTTCCGTGATCCAGCACCGAATTTCGGCGTCTTCGAAGTTAGTATATAATGAATTGATATATATTAAAATGATACAATAAATGTGCAATTTCCTAACAAACCTCAAATCTCGCAATCATTCGTTTTGGCAATGTATACAACTTATCTCAGGGCAGTTCAGCTAGCGGGAGCGAGGGGCCCTCCCAGAGTGGAGAAGCGTCCTCTATGTATTTTAGCTTTTTTCCTTTTTAGAGAGAAGCGCACGGAACATGGAAGCGTTAATAACAGAGAATTCCTAGATGATCGTCCAGCTCTCCGTAACCAAAATCGCATGGCTCTATCCAAATTTAAAGCGGCTCTGGGCATTTCGTTCTTAAGTAGCGATAGTAGATGTTCTCTTCTCATCAGTATATGGCGCAGTTGGCGGTGATTCCAGGAGAGCGGCACGAACGATAGATCGAATATGCAAAAAAAATCTTCGTAGCAAGACTGGTCTGCTCGTATACCTCCCTCCTGCTAAGCTGAGGCCCCGGGGGTAAGTTCGAGGAACCAAACGAACACAGAAACATATCTGGATCCATGGCTACATTCCTCGTTTTCTCAGCCAGACTTCTCTGCCAATGTATGTATGATTCCTTTCCAGTTAGGTGGTAGCAGAAATCTTGATAGGAATGGTTGGCGGTCAAAAAATCAATTGATAGATATGAATAGCTTATCTTGCATGTCCAGACTGTGGGCACACAATGACTGCTCAAAGTAGCTCTCGAAGTCTTGGTTAGGATCTTTCTGTCTGACTAAAGTCTAGTAAGCCTATGCTCATTTAACCAGGCCAGGGAGATTTAACTGCCCTGGAGTCATGTAGCGAAGGGGAAAAGCTGTCTCTCTGGAGCATAGTTGAGGAGTCCTCGAGTAGCTAAACAGATAGAGTGATCGGGTAGGAGAAGGAAATGATCACAAAACGTAGCTGCGAATTGGGGTGTCGCTTTTTTAATTCTTCAATAGGAGAGCGATCTAAGTCACGTGATAACCTCTGACAACCTTGGAACTCCCGACATCCTGTTCGTGCCTTGGAAGTTACCTGACCACCACAGGGACCTCTCTCATTCCCAATTGGTCGTGGTGGTTGCTTTATGGTACATGAGCAATCCGTGATGAAATAAATAATGGGTGATGATACCTGGAAAATCATCGAGCGCAAGGGTTTGGGAGATTTTAACAACGTAGCAGCGCGGACGACAGTGCTCCTGCCCATGTACCCCGACCGAGTGTTGGGCACCTGTCCGTAAATGACGTATGGCGGGGCAATTTATTATGCGAAGCCTCACAGATTGCGGAGCCTTTCGGACTCAACCGCAACTTGTTCAATTGCAACAGATACATGTTTTTCGAGAAAGAGTGAGAACGACTATATTCCTGCTGATAACTTGAGAACTGATTCGCCTCCAGTAGGAGGAGCTGCTGGATAACTGGAACCGAAGGAGTTGCTGTTGGTGGCCACTTCGAGACATTTATGTGACTTTTTCTACCCCCAGTGGCCGTCCTCAAAAATTGTAATATAATCCCATGTTGGGTAGCAGTCGCATTTCTGGAATTCATACACATTTACATATGCATGCGCTTTGTCCCCCCGTCCGTTTAGGGGTACCGTGCTTCCTGCTGTGTCGTCTTATGCTTGTATTGTCGGCCTTGAGTAAACAGGTGAGAAAGAAGAAAAATAGGAGGTGACGGGCCTAGACCGAGTCCCAAATTATCGCCGAATGCGGCCTGAGATGAACAAAATTTCCCCCTTTTCCTCATGAGGCCATATCAAACCGTTATCAGCGCCCGTTGCAAGTGACTTTTGTTGACTCCTTTTTACCATCCCCCATCCCCCATGCCGAAATGTCCATCTTCCCCTTTCTCATAAAAAAGGAGTAGCTGTATGAGATGGGAAAAGGAGCAGAAGAAAATGAGGGGTCGTGAAACTCGGTCCTTCTGTCCCGCCGCTAGGTGGATCCAACAAGTCACCGATAGTAGGTTGTGCCTAGTAGCATTTGACTCCCTGCATCCTTGGATATGGCTTATGATAAGTGTCCTCACTGGAGGGGGCGGCTACGAATCGTAATGTACTGTACCAGGAGTTGCCGGTAGTGGCGTTAGATTGGGCCGGAACCAGGTCAAAATAGCTCGTTCATTTTTTTTGATGGACCAGCTAGTGGAGGGGCTGTTCTTTTTCTCTCTCTTTATTTTCCCCTTATCTTTTTCTTTGTTGACACTGGAAACAGCTCTCAATTGCTCCAAGGTGAGTTTTCGTGTCTTGTAATGATATGCTGTGACCCAGCACACAAAGTCAGCAAATGTAGCAGACAGAATTCAGGAAGATGTATGTAGTATCATCGCAGTCCTACCCCGTACCCAAGAAATGATACTTGAATAAATATTCGCCCCTCATCACATTAATAGCTTCCGCTTTGGTCCACCTGGCTGCTCTCCTCAGTTTCCTGCACCTTGTTGAAGGTACAGAATGTGACGTTGGTGGTGGCACGAATTCCAGGCCAAAAGTAAGAGATCCACAAGCCACGGTGGACGAACTCGAAAGTGAATTCTTGCCTGAGGAGTGAAAGAAGAGACCCCAGTAAATAATGACGGTCGGTCCTGAGTGAGATAGATAGGCTTGGTTGCTCCATAATTACTACTAGTTTCCTTCCTCACTGCTGTTCAATTCGCTGTTGTTTGTCTGCGGCTGCTCTCCTGATGTTTGTTGCTCTTTCTTGGTGTTGCTTGCTCCCTAGTATAAATATCTCCACCCCCCACCACAACCTCCATTCCCCATCCCCTCCTTCGACTCCTTAGATACCAAACAAACCACCACTACGTTCACCACCTACGTCTAAGTTTCCTTTTCCAATAGAGGACCTCCGTTTATAAGTAAAACTACCTCCACTACCGCTACAATGCCTAAGGTAAACCCTTTCCTACCAATTGGTGTTCAATCCTAACCCCCTCTCTCCATCACACTATGCAATGCATGATGATAGAACCGTCGCCCTTAGTTTCGAAATTTTATGGAGACCAGTATGAGCTGTCTATTGATGCTAACTATGGATCGTTCTTTAGATCACAACCATTCTGTTTGACTGCGACAACACGCTTGTTCTCTCGGAGGAACTCGCTTTCGAAGCATGCGCAGACATCGCCAACGAGATCCTCGAAAAGCATGGCATTCCTGACCGCTACACCGGTTCCCAGCTCATCACCGACTTTGTTGGCCAGAACTTCCGCGGCATGATGCAGACCCTGAAGGCCAAATTCAACTTCAACCTCTCGCAAGACGAGCTCGAAGCCTACGTCAAGGAGGAGGAGAACCGCGTCATCGCGAAGCTAGAGGCCAAGGCACAGCCTTGCGAAGGTGCCACGGAGGAATTAGTCAAACTACACGCTTCAAAGAAATACGATCTGGCTGTCGTTTCGTCCTCTGCTCTCCGACGCGTGAGGGCTTCTATCAAGAAAGTCGACCAGGAACGTTTCTTCAACCCAGACCACGTCTTCAGCGCGGCCACTTCCCTCCCCGTCCCAACCACCAAGCCTGACCCTGCGATTTACCTACATTCTCTCAAAATCCTCAATAAGACTCCTGGCGAGTGCGTTGCCATCGAGGACAGCAAAAGTGGTGCGCTGAGTGCCATTCGCTCTGAAATCCCCGTCATTGCCTACGTAGGCTGCTACCACGGAAAGGAGAAGCAGGAGGAAGTTGCGAAGACCCTGCTTGATCTGGGTGCAAAGGTCGTGATGAGACATTGGTCTGAACTCGAAAAGTGCATCGCGGAGATCGACGCGTTGTGAACCAGGGCAAGGAAATCTCAAATCACCCATTGGCTACCCTGTTTCATTCCGCATCGCCCAATTTCATCTCTGCCATAGCATCACTTTTATCCTTTTCTGTTTTTATGTCTCAGCAATGAATTTACGAGGGAATAACGGGAACACCTGAAAGCATTGGTCGTCTGGAGCGAAATTTGCGCGCTTTTTTAATGTTCTATTTCTTCAAGTTTCTTTCTTCTTTATCATGCATTTGATTCCCTTCCTACGAAATTATCCCCCTATCTGCCCTGTTCCTCAGGCTGTTGAACAACAGCTACACGCTAAACGGACCACATATTTGCTCCCGAGAGACGACGTCTAGCTGTTTTATTCTTGTATCCCCCGAAAAGATCTGGGCCCCTTCTGCTAACCCAAAAAAAAAAATACATTTCACGGAATACTCCCGGGCCACTCGCCCTTGGCACCATAGATAGGTAGACAGACACAATGCATAGGCCATGATGATAGTGATACCAAAATAATAAAAAAAGAAATCTTTTTTTTTCTTTACGTCATTCTTCGGGCTCCTTTTGTTATGTTGAATTCCTAAACATTTAATTTCGCTCGTTGTATTCCACCATTTCTTTTCAATTACTCATTGCCATTGAACGTCGGTTAGGTTAGAGCCACTTGTTGACATACATAATATGCTTTACACGGATGCACATGGCGTAGCAATATTTTCCTTCACAGAGTTTATTATTCATAGTTAACCCGGGCAAGAGCAAGGATGGAACGAGGAAGAAATTTTCTCCTCAAGAATGAAAGGAATATGGAAATGAATGCGGAAGCTTAGCAGCTAGAACGGGGGGATTTTCGAGATTTGGTAGGTCTATTAATAGGGCATCGGCCTGTTACATATAATTATATCAATTTTTAGATATTGACATCGGTCAGGGGTATCATGCTCTTGAGTGCTCAAACCTATACTAGGTACCTAAGGCAGCTTTTAAAGAAAATATTACCCCATACTCCCTCAGATTGACTCCAAATTTATATCACCCAGGGGCGCTATGTAAGCGGTGAAGGCCAGAAAGAACGAAAGAAAAAAAGAAAAAGAAAATAGAGCCGAAATATTAGAAAGAAAGGGTACATGTTTGTTCAATTCATCCCGCCCTCCCAACATCAATCCCAAACCTCTCACTAACATGCTCCCCCCTTTCATCCGTCCACTTCCACTTCCACCACCCCAACCCAAACAACAGCCCCTGCCTCTCAAGCATACTCCCCAACTGAGTATCCCCCATCCTCTCAGCCCCAGCCGGCAATAATCTACCACCGCCACCGCCACCGCCACCGCCACCACCACTCTCACACAGCTCACTGCCAGCCAACAGACTCATCGTCCCAGCGATAGAACACGGGTTATGAGGGAGGGTTTCGCGGAGCCGCATCCTGAGCACGGCTAGAGATCCTAGGACGATCATTATGGCCAGCATGAGCTGGAGAGCGAGTTTGGGGCCCGGATTGAGTTTTAGACGTGGTGTTGTGCTGTGGAGCGTGCCTGTAAAGTTTTGTGGAGGGGTGAGAGCGGAACCATCATCTACATCGTCATCGTCATCGTCGTCGTCGTCAATAGATTGCCGCCGTGGTTTTGTTTCAAGGGTACTACTTCTGCTGATGGGTTTGCGCAAGGTAAGGTTGATCACCTGCGCCATGTAGTTTCTGTAGTAGTTATTAACGAGGTCGAAGAGCTTATTCGCGTTTGCCGCGCCCATTAATGACTCAGGAGAGACGCGACCATGTGATCCGTATATGATATCATTGAAGATGCTGTCGTATGTCTCTGGGGTGGAGGGCTTCCCGCCCTTCAACGTACTTCTACTGCGAGTATCCAGAAGCTCCTGCACGCGGAAGGAAAATGAAGAAAACCCATCCGTGCCGTTAGTCAGTAACTTTAGTGGTCCCGTGTCATTATATTTGGGCGGATGTGCCGCGTCAATAAACCCTGAACTTGGATCTCGAGCGAAGGTAACCTCGGTGGGGATTTCTTGGATTTCCTGGTTGCAGATGGCAACCGTTAGATTGGCTGGTGACGTGTGGTTGGCGCGCATATAGCCAAATACGATGCCGATGGATGGGCAACCAGAGGGATTATCTGGCCGTTCCCATAGATGTACATGATGAGCAGGGTCTTGCGGTAGGAGATACAGGTCGAATAGAGAACCAATGTAGCCTCCGTCTGCTGAAGGGTCGTTGACTTCCGGATTTGTAAGATTAAACTCGATTGAAGTTACATTTTCAGGGAGACTAGCAAGACATCTAGGCGGCAGCTTTGGGCGCACGCTTGTGGTGGTAATTATTCGGTTGCTCTTTGGGTCCGAACCGTTTCCATGATAACTTTTCAGGGAGATATCGTCTGCGGTGAGAAGTTCGCAATTCAGCGACGGCCTTAGTGATGGAAGAGTGAATATATAAGTAATCGGATTCTGGGACGCGTCTTTGTCCCGATCCAGGATCTCAGAGCGAGTATTCGGTGGGTAAACGTGTATTTTTGGCAATACAAGTTCATTCCACGTCCACGGCGGGGTGGTCAGGTTGTGATACTGAAGGAGCCGAAAGACTAAACCGGCATTCCAAGCATTGGAGCTGTAGTTTTGCATTGTCATATCCCAAGTGTCCGCTCTGGACGCAACCGCACGCTGCGACTGGATGACTGATGTGTCTATATTCCACAAGCCGGAAACAATCATAACTAAGAAGCTTGCGACAAAAGCCGCATTGATTGAGGAAATAGCACCGAGATGGTGTCCTCGAACTGCTTCCCAAAGAGCAACCGGGGGAATTTTCCCAAGCAAATGTGTTAGGATGCTCCGCCTAGCTGTCACGTTGCCTTTGCGAAGAGCTTCAAACGGTGTGAACATAGCAATAGTAAAGTCCAGGTTATTATATAAAGTTGCAATGCCGACAGCCAAAAGAGCACAAAGGTACTGTGGAAGGTATTTCCATGCTTCCGTACGCACGGTCATCAATCCTTGATTACGATTTGATGACTGTTGCATGATCTCAAGCGCCGCAATGGCGAGCATCGGCATCCCATACGTGAGGACGAACATAGGCTTCCTCGCCGCCAGCGGCTTCCAAAATCCGCTCCTTTCGACAGCGTGTTCGTCAACAGAAGTGATGCTTTCACGCAAGCGGTAACGAGCGGTGATCCTGAACGATCGGTAAGTTGACGTTCTGAATGTATAATTTCGAAGCTTGTCTCTGATCCCACGATCTGAAAGGTGACCTGCATCCTGGAGAAGTGGTTGAAGATCATTGCTTCCGATAAGAATCGTGGCTTGTGCTGCAATAGAGCCCGGGTCTCGCGGGGTAATTGCAGCTGGCCCCGTGAACAGTATAATGGCTGTCAAGACCGACAAACTGGCGAAACTTGCCACCATTATCCACAGTGAAATAATCCCAAAGTGCAGGCGGTCCTCAATATAGACAACTCTTCCTGTACTGTCCTTAGATGTTGGGATGACTAGATTTTGTTGTGCAAATTGGGTGGCAATCCCAGTGTAAACTCTTTGGAATGCTTTGTTCATGGTTTCGCCGTCAAGAAATTTCTCCAACGTCAGTTCCCCCTTCGAGGTTTTGATCATTAACTGAAATAGTGTATTAACACCTTCATTTGAAGACGCTGTCTCAGGCGCGGGATTGACAGGACGGAAAACATGAGCCCCTGCTCTTAGAGATTGTAAAATTGCCCCGTTCAGCGCAGAACTTGTTACTCTCTCTAAATTTGTTATACTCAGACGTTCCTCGGGGCTTTGAAGTTCAATGTGAGGAGGTGCCCCTGAATCATAATTCCTATAAGTCATGTTCCCTCTCACGATAGTATATTGTGGTTTGCACAAAATAGTAGTTACCCGCTTCACATCCCTAGACCAATTTGTGACATTCAGAGCCGGAGTAGAGCTCGGTGCAAAAGTTTGAGAGTAATGGATGTCCGAAATGGTGAATAGCCAACGAAAATCACCATTTTCGTTATCAAACGGCACAGATGGTGGACGCTGTCCGCCTGTCTTGGTGCAATTGACCTGTTGCATCTCGGCAACCAGTTCACGTGGCTCGCATAGTTCTGTTCTTGGATTCTTCATACGCACATAGACTTTTGTATAATTGTTGAACCCGAGGTGGCAAGTGGCCGACTCTATACCCAGGTGAATGATGCCGCCAGTAGTCACGTTCGAAAACTCATTGAGTGCAGCCGTCGGCTGAACTATGGTTTCACTCAGCTCACAGCTTGGGAGGGGAACTAGGACGTCGACATCAGTAGACATGCTTGTCACACGCCTCGTTGCTGGATGATTTTTGTGCAAATCAAATGTCTGAAAAACAAGGCCATCCTTTGACCCAGTGGGATCAGGCACTCCACCTTCTGATACACCAAAAAAAGCATAAATTGAATTTGCCGTGGCAGAGCGTAAGAATTCTTGCTCACTCGCAAGTGCCTTTGCGGCCCAATCTTCTCCGTCGAGGTTTGTCGTCATAGAGAGCGGATAAGATGGGTCTATCAGAGTAGTCGGTGCCGATACGAAAAGCCCGGTAGAAAAAACCAGAGCCACCTTTAGCAGGACAAATCCAAGGGCAGAAGCGGCAATGGAATGATGACCTGATTTTATCGCTTTCAAGAATGAGTTCACTTGAAAATCTGACACATAATCGAGGACCATACTTTTCCCTGCGCTTGCCAGGCCCTTACGCATCTCATGCCAGGGGTATGCCGCCTTGCAGTGACAGTCCACTTGGCGCCAAAGACCAACCACAATAATCATAACCGCAACAGGGGAAAATCTCCAAACATAGCGGTTAGAAGTTGGGACAATTTCCAGCCCATTATCACGCACCACGAAGAGCCACAGGACGAGAAGCGCAATCCAAAGCACGGCGAACAGAATGATGAAACCAAACAGCGTCGGTTTTCTAAGCCAAAAAGGGGTCCAGAGAGATGTGTCGTTCCCATAACGAGACACAATAGGGCTAGCCGGTCGTTTCGAGAATTTTTTTGGAGACGCCAACCGGTTCGAGAGTAGCAGAGTGTCATCATCAGTCGCTGCAGTCGCGGGCGCTGGCATGGGCATGGGTGTGGGTGTGGGTGTGGATGACGTTGTGGGTGACCCCGGGGGGGTGGGAATGGGCGTGGGCACGAAATTCTCCAACTCTTCGCTGCGATGGGTTTCTTCCTGGCCAAAGGTAGCCTCCCACAAATCAACATCACCATCAAACTGCCAGGGATGTGAAATCCGCAGTTGGGTTAGCTCGTGAGCCTCCATCTTTTGTTCAAAATGCTCTTCAGGGGATCGCTTCCCATCGAGATGCATTTCGCCCCAAGGGTTGGATCCGGCGCCCGTTTTCTTTGAATGCTGGGCCGCCATCAACCAGAGCGCTCACACCACAAATGTGGCGAGTTGAGCGAAAGATACTGGTCGTTGTTTCTGAGATGCGCAATCCAAGGTGAGGGGTCATGATGAGTTTGCGAGAGAAGCCCTAGGCTTGTCTGTGGAGGCTATGTTGCGACACGCCGTAGATTTCGGGATTTGAAAGAGGATGGAGCTTCAAGAAATGACATAAACACCAGATTAAAGATGACTTTTTGGGGGGGGAACAGTCACAGCAAGCCTGGCGCACAATCGGGTGAAGGTTTCTTTCAGTTGACGGCGCCTTGTGGAGAGCTGTTTCGCAACCAACGGGTGGTTGACTAATATATTCGACACAAGGCTGAGAGGTCCTGGGAGGCTGGGAATTATTTATTTAGCCAAATTTAGGTTTTCTCAAATCAGAGCCGCATGGGCAACCCTGAGCCTCTCCGCCATTCACGTTCGTCCAAGCAGCCAATCCCTCCATGCGGGTGTGCGAATATTGCCCAGGTGAGTTACTCAATCATCAGCGGGGGGCGTTGGCCAATGAGACGGCGTGGAAGAGTAACGGTGGCTGAATTTCAAGTGATCCCACGTAAGGCGGTAGTTACATTGTTTGTCGGCTACATTGCGCCGGGGATCTTTCTGCGCTGTTTCTCATATCGAGAAACGTGGGTGAACAGCACAACACCACTTCTGCTGTTTCCTCCAGCATAAACTTTCGTGAAGCCAGGAGACGCGACGCAGCTGGCCATTCAATATTAGTATAATACTCCGAAGTAATTAGTTGTGTATGGAGTACAAGCGCAAGAGAACGATGGTTGCATCAGGATGGCGGCGAGAATAAAAAAAGCCATTGAAGAATCTGTACTCCGTACTAATTACTGGAAGGAGGGCGGCTAACAATCGGGGGCCAGCCAGCATTGGGCGGCTCTGATTGGCCTCCCGGCACCGTTGGGCTCCCTAGCGCGGGAAGTACCTGGCGCCTGGGCGTTTTGGCGCAACATCGACCAACCTCCAATTCTTTGGACTCCAGCTCCTGTTCCAACAGGGGCGACCAGTTTACTAACGTACTCCGGAAATTAAAAACCAAGGCGTGGCCGCTTGCCAACAGCAGTAACTGACAATGCCACCCGAATCTATCCCTGTCAGGTTATCCAAAGAAAGCCTTCTGTCGAGGGAGTCGCTGGTATGTGACAAAGCTTGCCTGCGGCACCATGTGAAATTGTAGATATAACAACTATACATCACTTACAAGTTTATATCTTTTTTGTTTCTCTCTTTGTATACATTTAAAGCCCTTGCTACCCCAATAGGACCCCAATAATACCAACAAAGTTTTTTTTCTTTCTATTTCTCTCTCTCTCTCTTTTTTTTTTTTTTTTCCCGAAATTTTCACCGATGTTCCTCTCCCGTTCGGGCAATATTTATACCCACCTTGTCGGATGCATGATTAAACGATTGCATAATTCAAAGTGTTTTTGGTACATACACTAACATGCCTTCTCCCTGCAGAATCCATCAGAGGCAAGGTGGATCAGGCTTATCAAGTCAACATACACGGATCCCGAGGGCGTGACGCGGACATGGGAGTCTGCCGAGAGACAGGTAAGAGGAATATATTGTGTTTGATGCATCTTTGGTACCGTTGCTATTATTTATTTTATTTTCCCCTTGATGTCTTGGTTTTCAATTCAATTGGAAAAAGAATTGAAAATCTTCTCTTCTTCTGTTCATGTGCTTCTCAATCGAGAGCATAAGAGGGGTTGGGTTGCCTCTAGAGAAGCATCATGGAGCGGATATATTCAACATAGTGTTAACAACCTTTCCACATTGAATTCTCAGACCAGGCCCGAAAACTGTCCAATCGACGGCGTTGGCATTTTCACCGTCCTGTCCAAACCCTCCGGCCCAGAGCTACTGCTGCAGAAACAGTATAGGCCTCCGGTTGATAAGGTGGTCATTGAAGTGCCTGCCGGCCTTATCGATGAGGGCGAGACGCCCGAACAATGCGCAGTAAGGGAACTTAGAGAGGAAACTGGGTATGTGGGCGTTGCAGAGGAGACAAGCCCGGTTATGTATAACGGTAGGTAAACTCGTTTCCCTATATAGACATATATGTACAGCCCCGGTTCAAAAATGTAGCAACATCCCACCTCGCCCTCCCCCCTGGCACCCCTTAAATCTGGCCCATCTTCCCGTCTAATATACCCTGGCCTCCGCCAATTTTTAGACCCCGGCTTCTGCAACACAAACCTAAACATGGTCCACGTCCGTGTCGACATGACTCTCCCGGAAAACCAAAACCCAACACCCCAGCTCGAAGACAACGAGTTCATCGAGTGCTTCAGCATTCCGCTGGCTACACTGTATGAGGAGCTGAAACGCCTGGAAGGCGAGGGGTATGCGATTGATGCCAGGGTGGGGACGCTGGCGGAGGGTATTGAGGTTGGGAAGAAGTTGGGATTGGGGTTGGGGATCTAAAGAAAGTGGGAAATTTGTTCATATTTTACCTTCTTTTTTTGTGCGTTGAAATGGCTTGTTCCAATGTCGGAGTTTTCCAATTTTGAGTTTTGGAGGGTATGTATATACTGACAGGTATGATGTTGGGCATTGCGTTTTCACTGCATGCGTGGATCGCAGTTTCAGAAGGATGATAGCCAGATGGGTCGGGGTATAGTACAAAGAATCAATATAGACGATAGATAGACAATGGGTATTCCATGTATTGTCCAAAGTCTCGTTACCGGGGAATTTCCCTCAGTACTATTATTTTCATTAGGCTGCTGCGTTATTCCTGAGTGAGAAATACTCCACAAAAATCAGCTAGATATGACATGTTAGATTGCATATACCTCGTTCCGTATGGATATAACGATATCCGTCAAAGGTCGCATCAAAAGTAAGCCTCCTCTATCCTTCCATGGATGATGCCTGCGAAAATCGTGTAAGGGGTGCCGTACCAGCCTATGTACACATCCTCCTCGTCGGAAGAACAACCCGCCGACCCACTGCTCACAGAACCCCCTCCTCCTTTAATCCCCGATATAACGCCCAAGCCGCCAACGTCTTCCCATCCCGCCATGCCTCCCTCCACACCGCCTCCAACTTGACAACCTTCAACGTAATTTTCTCCCCCTCTTTCCTCAGCCCCGTCAATTTCCCGTGAAGCTCCTCAATTTCCTTCCTAGCCATGCGTTTCTGGCATAGAAAGAGTGGTATGAATTCATCGCATCCTCCCGGTGAAGGGTATACACCTGTCTGCAACTTTTCTTCTCCGTTGCCATTGGTATCTTTTCTTCCTGAACCTTCACCTCCCCCTCTCGTTTCTTGTTTCTGGTCCCTTCTCGGTAAGCTATTCGCAAGTGCAGTTATGGCTATAAGTTCGTCCTGCAGTATAACTAAGCCGGTTTCTTCTTTTATTTCTTTAGCTGCCCCGCCGGCGAAAGTGCCGGTATCATCATCAAGCATCCCCGCGGGTATTTCGGGAAAGGCGAGGGAACCGGCCGGAATACGGGGCTGGATGGTTAGGATGGCGTGTTTGTCGGTTTCGGAGTTTTCAGGGACATCGTTTGGTTGGAGGATTAGCTGGATTGATGGGCAGATTTTGGCGGTTAGTTTTAAGAGAGAAGGATGCTAGTAGTGTAGCAGTGCAGTGCAGAGCAATCGAAATCTTTAAATCGCAATAGGTTTAATTTGTCACATGTGCAAGATTGCATGGCCGTATGCCGTGCATAAACCCATTGTGATAATGAAAACTTCAAGCGGAGTGTCAATGTTGTCAAGCACTCACCAATATCCCAACACTCCCACCTCTCAAAAACACACTTCCTGGCAACTTCTCGCCATGATCATTAGAAACATCAGCCTTGAGCTTCACGAACCCCAAACGATTGCCGCCGAAGAAGTCCACCGCCTGTATCTGTATGTGGCGCAAGGTATAGGGAGCTGCGTGGAATTCATGAGACGGATTAGCTTGTCTGGAAAGGGAGTGCTGTAATGTCGACAGCCAGATCTTGAAGGCTGGGAATGCAAGTAATTGGTCCTGCGAAAGATCGGGCGTGAGGGCAACGGGGATCTGCGGGGTGCTGTTTGGGATAATAAAAGTCGACATAATCCTCGAGCGGAAACTAGTTCGTATAAATAAGGGGTAATTCGTGATAAGCGCGTGGAAAGAGGAGGTACAAGGGTTAGACCGCATGAAGGTGAATCATCAAAATAATGTGTTCAAGGATGGCGGAGGATTATCCCAAAACTTGCAGCTCCATTGCGCGTGGATAGAGGACTGCCCAGATAAATACTCCCTCGTATGTACATGTACATGTACATGTACAATGCCCGCACGTACTATGTAGAGCGCAATCGAGAGGACCCCCCGGAAATCGCGAGTTGAGGATGGATGGGCAACTACCACCCCCTGTATTAGGGTTCGCACGCCCAAGCTTCAGAGTTCCCGATGACTTCAATTATATTTTGTCTCGTCGGGTTTCCATAGACTGGTTCTTAATTGACTTCCGGAGACTTCCATGTAGGAGCGTCCAAGGTTCCTTTGACGGAATGGAGCTCCCTTTTCATTTGTCGACAATACGCGGTAACTTGATGCCACATCCGGCCCTACTAACGACCGCTATCACTCGTTCCGATGACGTTGCGTTAACTTAACTAGTTACGTCTCGAAGGAAAAACTCTGGGCTTTCCCTTGGCGAAGTTTGTGGCCGAGCGACGCGCATCTGATTGGATGTCGCTAGCTAACTCCAGAGCTTCCAACTTCAAGCAGCGAAGCCCCCAATCAGTCGTAAACGAATTTGGCAACTTGCCAGCTTCGAAGTCATATCCGGTAGTTTGCTGATCCGTTCCACTATTCACCCGGAGATATTGTCTGTCGGTGATAATGCTGCAGATGAAGGCGCTGGCGCATCGCGGTGACATATGTAGGGTTTGAGGAGACAAATCTATTTCGTTCTCAAACCATGTGTAAGACTGATCTCTTTTCCGGGTCGGTTTTAGAGATCCAGCAATTGGTGGAACCCGGGTTTGCCAGTAATTTATGCTAGGCTAGCGGTTGGTTGCATGTTGATTCGGGGCGGGGGGGACGGGCAAATGACAAAGAGAGAGATGGGCAGGATGTAACAGAAGAAACAGGGCCAAAAGCCTGCTTTAGGATCCGGACCGGACCATGACCGACTTCCTTTCCTGTGTCTCGCCTCCGTGTTGGGCGCCAGCTGATGGGGCTGGCTTATTATTTATGGTTTATGGGTAGTTTAGCAGTTTAGCAGTCTCGTTGAACTATTTATTTATGAGAAGCGCGAGCTCGGATAATGCGTAACGATACGATACAATACGCCCCCCATAAGCCCGAGGCTTCTGGCCAGCCCCGGCTTGCTGGGTCAGGCGGGAAGGGGTTTTTATTAACGGCATCTCGCTCGCTGTTTGGTTTCCCTTTGCGGTCTCAACACACTGCCTCTTTTCTTCCTTGAGAGCCATTTGTAGACTTACCTCAATTCAACATATTTCCCCCAGACGGTATTCTCCAGCGTGGCCGCGGGGGTGTTGCCACATATTTTCCCACCCAGCCTTGGGTTGATCCCGTACCCGCAATATCCCTTGAATTTCGCTGTCATAAACTGGAGAAAAAAGAGGGTCAAGCCGCTTCCATTGCTGAGATTTGCATCTATCTCCATTTCCAGGTTCCAGGTTGGAAGCAACATATTGTAGCAAAATATCATTTCTGCTGCAGGGTTTTTAAGGTAAACTACCTTCATCCGAGAAGTCCGTAAGAAGAGAATAATAGCTGGTCAGATTTTGTTGACAATTACCTCCTTTCAAGGCTTCGAGAACCACCACACCACCACCGAACTTCCCAACTACGAGCGGGTGACGAGCATGAGTCCATAAAAAGCATAAAATGTCAAATTGTCCTCCAGATCCTTTGCTTCCAAAATGCATGCATAAAAATGCCAGTGGTTGCCAACTGCCCTGCCCCCATTTCTGTTGCCTCTGCGCGGGCGTGAGATTCTTCCCGCTCTCCCATCCATGCCCGCCGCCTTATCCCTCCCGAGACGGCGTCTCCAGCGAATCTCAGCGATATCCTAGATACTGCTTGAACTGCAAGGGTTAGTTGCCTCCTCTTCTGCTGAAGTGCTTCCTCACGTTTCTTTTATGTTGTATATCCCCTTTGTTTCTTCCAGTTTCGATTGTGTTTTGATTTTGACGCTCTGAGTAGCGTCGCTGTTCTTTCACTTCCTTGCTTCGCTGGCTGTCACTAAATCGATACACGTTAATAAATTTTATTTTAGTTTCTTCTCGTTTTTAGTTTTTGTCATTTGCTCTTCTTGCCTTACTCACCCTCTCCTCCTGCCTTTTTCTACCTGCTTATTTCATTCGAGTGCCGTATAGAATATTGGGCATCGCAAGCAGGTTGTTCATCCTCTGCTGTCCCTGTTCCAGTGTCTGGGGCTTGTATGCAGCCGCATCAGCCTCATCCGCATTGTGGATTGCCTGTGGACCATCACCGCACTGCACCCCTATATAATTATCAGCCACCCCAGAACCTGCAGTTGAATCGAGATATCGGCGTTTCGGATCACTCCAGTAACAGTCAAAGTTCAACGGCAGCAGCAGTCACCGCGCCATCTCAACGCTTCCCTACCCACTCATCTTTACAGCAGAGTCAAAACCGACATCCACACAGAGACGAATTCCATCAACAGACCTCCTGGATTCCAAGGCACGTTGCATCTAATTCCTCCACGTTTGGTCAAGCTATACCCAACCCATCAATATCCCATCATCGGGTGTATATGCCTGTAAATCAAGCTGGCATGGCCGGGAGGCAAGCCTACACATCTCCAGGTGCCGCGATGCCAGCAAATCTACAGGCGTCTGTAGCTTCAGAATCCGCGTCGTACTCCTTGTTCAGCAACCAGCAATCTCAAGGCCAAACACCTGATCAAGTGGCACCAAATAGCTTTTGGGAACCTAACGGGAATTACTATGTTAATGGTCGTATGTGATCTGTATCAGCATCTAAATGCATTTTTTTTTTTCATTGCCATGAGTGCTAATACCTGTCTAGCTGATGTGCAAAACCCCTCTAGAGACATGTCTCTTAGTTACAACTATGCACCCGCTGAGCCCTCGCCAATCTACTACTCAACCTCACTACCTTCCGATCCTGTAACTAGACCTTTTGCCACAGTGGAATCCCGCCAACAAGGCAACCTAGAACAGAACAATGACACTCAAGTAAATAGTCAAAATCAAGGACTATATAATCCAATTTGTGTGTTGTTCCAAAAGCCAGTATGACCACCAACTTTAATGAATACAAGCTAACAGCTTATTATAGCTCTGAACCATGATGGGCCTGTTTGGGGGTCTGATTTGAGTCTTTTTCCATCAGCGAGACCTCATCTATTCCCCAGAGTATCAAACAGTTCAACGCTACCAAATAATGATAACCCTTTAAATTCACTATCTTTCCAATACCTCCCTGATGATTACCACAATGCACAGGTTAACTCACGCGGTTCAACTAATATCGAGTGTCTGAATGGCAATGGCCCTGTCCCTATTTTGCCTCATAATAACACGGCTTCTTCATATCCCGTCGGTCCTTTCCCCACAGAGAATCAGGCCAACGCGTCCAATTCTTCACGAAGGCATCCTTTGCAGGGAACATTCACAAATCCCAGGAGCCCTCCTAGTGTTGGTAGTGCAAATCCGAATACCACCACCACAAGCCGTCGACGCCCCAGGCGTACCAACAATAGCGGAATGCCGCAGCCCGGCTCAATGCCGCGAGAGAGACAACCACACCGACACAATCACCACCCGATAAGTATAGGCATTCCGGGGAGTGCCCCTACTGCTCGTGATCAGAGTTACGTAAATGGGCAACTGGCTCGACTCCTATACGCCGGCGCCCTTGTGCGTTACCCCAATGACACTGATGGGTTTCTCTCCGCAGATGAAAGAGAGCGTAGGAGAAGAATTCTAGAGTCCCTTAGGGGAAATAACCGAGAACCCAGCCCTCCAGTCAAAGGGCTTGATAGCGCGGAGGATGGACGCCCAGAGCCCAAAGAAACAGAAGAACTCACAATTAACTTGGAATGCAAAGCCTGCATGAGCCAACTTATTGACACTGTGGTGCTTCCCTGTGGGCACGCGGTTCTTTGTCGTTGGTGTGCTGATCAACATATGCCATCAAGCAGAATGGACAAAACAAAACCACGTTCCGCTGCCACTTGTCCTGTGTGCCGCCAAAATGTGAGGCAAAAGGTAACTATTTTACCCATTCAACCGCTAATGAACGCATTCATTTGGTTTTCATTGAGAAATGCTAACTAGGTTGGAAGATTCGGATATATCTCTCGTAAATCTCTCGTAAATATCAAGCACGGACGGTAATCAAACAGCAATCTTACTTGGAATCCACGAATTCTCATGTGATTTCCCTCCCTCCCTCCCCGGGTCTCGCCAACTCTTCTCACTTGTTCTTCATTTTTTTCGGTGGTTTTCTCTGCTTTTAATATTTTGCGGCCAGTTTGTCTCAGCATAGCGCGGCGTTTGTTGGCGGTACCACGTTTTGAAAACTTCACATAATTTGCATGTTTTCTCTTCCTATCATTTACCACATCCTTCAATAGCAGCTCTTTTTCTTCTTCCTGCTACATTTAAATAGTATACGCTTTCCGCAAATTCCATGATATCATCCTAATCTCTTCTATCTTCCCTATCTTTTCGAAGATCTCCTAAGTTCATATTACGTGTATTACATCATTTGCATCAATCTTTTGACACCGTTAAATGCAGTTAATGCAATCCGTTTGCGCCCCATGACATTCTCCCGCCCAGCTCATTGCTCTTGTTGATTTTGCTCTTTACCAATGATTCTCCGTCTATGCTTTCTTACTTTCTTCATTAAGGGAAACATTTTCAAGTGTTTGTATAGCAAGGGATATTCGCGTATACATTACAGGAGAGAGGCGGTGCATTGGCATCCTTATTTCAACCTCCTTCTTACAATTTATGCTGGTCACTGCCAATACATTTACCAGCGTATATAAGATGTGTTTATAAGTGATACGCGGGAGAGCATGAAACCCTTTTCTTAGTGGCCGGGGTAGGTAGAGGGTTACTGAAGAATAAAATATCGATGGCTAAAATATCTCACCCCGTTGTTTCCATGGATAGTAGTGATAAACACATAGCTTTCTTGCGGACACGACCATTGATACAGTTGCTTCAGCTCCGGATAGAGCGGATTTAACCTTTCAATCCCTGCTACATTGCTTTTTCCTCCGCGGCGCACGCGGCGCACGCGGCTACGAGATTCAGCCTTCTCTACGGAGTAACTACTTACTTAATATTTAATAATATTAGATGGAAACGGCTCGTGGGTTTCCACGAGGTCACGGGAGGTTTGAAACCCGGAGGCGCTACTAACAGCGTGATAGTGATCAACGTGTGATATCTAACTCGATGTATTGGTAATTTGGTATATTTCTTCTGCTGCTCTTGCTCTTGCTTTTCCATAAGGCAACCGATGATGAATAACTCCCACACATCCCAACCCCCTGAACCCCAATCCATCCGCCCGAGGGCGTACCGGTGATACGTAATGGCTGCAGGCTAAAGATTGAGAAGGGAGACATGGCGCGTAATAGGTGTGAGAAGGCCCCCAGAAGCAGTTCAGATACGGATTTGTAGCCGTGGAGGTCGTTCCAGTTATGGCCTCCAATTCGTGACAAATTTTGAGCCCATCCAACCAGTTAGCTTCCAGGCTGCATGACTGGCAGCCAGTTCACGAGTTATCATGGATGTCAGGGGCCTAGTAACAACAGCCTTGTCTCCAGTATCACGTTGTTCGTTATCACTTTTGCATCTGCCCTCATCTCGAATTTGAAGCCCCTTGTAAGGAGCCCGGGTGTCAAGCGCGCATTATATCAGGGTTTTCTTGATTTCACGAACAGATTTCAGGGGCGTGATAGCCCCTATGGCCGCGAGTTTGGATTGGGGACAAAGGGTTTGTTGATTCAATTTCATATGCGACTGGCTCGGCAACAGGGCGATGGGAGAAATTACAACCCCCCCCATGTGGCGCGCGCCCCTTGCAATCACCAACCCTTTTCACGAGCCAAAATACGACGAGAAAAACGAATCGGGAGGGAAGTTGTTGTTCTGATGATTAAGATGCATGGCGACAGATTTGGTAATAAAGCGGGCCTTTTGCAGAGAAGCGAAATAAGGTTTGTTCAAAGAAGCTTCTCTTTCTTTCAATGTTAGACTAACCCTTGACAAAGAAGGAAGATGGTGGTGGGATGGATGACAGTGGCTAGGGATGGCGGGTTTATTAGCTCATGGTATGAGAAATAAATGTAGGCATATTTTAGGCTTAGGCATAGGAAGAGAATCCGACGCTTGACAACGGGCCTGATGCGTGGTGTGGTGTGGGACTCGTTGTTTCTTCTGCATTATTCCATTATAATATTAACCTTGCAGGAGGTAAAGTCGTCGTGCATGTCTGCGGATTTCTTCAGCCACTATTAATTGAATAATGGTCAATTAGTTAGACTTCATTTGCTCCTTTTCCGTTTCTCCGTGTTCGCCCCTCGGCAAAAATGAGATAATTTTGAGACCGTCTAGGAACCTTGAAACAGATAAAAGTTTGTCTAGTTAATCGGGCGAGGCAGCCACGGTGTTCCATTTTAATTAGAGAACTATTTATGCCCCGGGGGTAGGCAGAAAGAAATATATGTATGCCAACCAAAAAATTCCTTGGGGTTAAACTCAGGGATAGGCTTGTCTTCGCCTCGCGATTGGCTGACCTCGCATATCCCGCTAGAGCAATGGGCAATCAAGGTGGTTTATCTCTAATAAAAAATAAATATGAGGGATCTATAAGGCTGAATTCTACATCAAGGAACCTTGGTAGAAACCGTTAGGTATTAGAAAGGTTTCTCCTTGCACCACTTTAGGCTGTAAAGCGCGCTCGACAAGACATTGATCGAAAACAATTCTAAAAAGTGTCTCATGGATACATGACCCGAAGCTCGAACCATCTGGATCAACGCTAATACTGTTGTGCGACACAGGTAATTCGTCGACAAACTATTGGATAATAGTGAAACTAAGCACTATTGTCACAGTTCCTCCAGCAGCCTTATCTTGGACACAAGTGCGGTTCCGCGTCAGAGACGTAAGGTCGGAAGGATACGAGCGCTCATGTTCGTTCCTTGAAACTGTATGTGGTAGCCGGGTTGGGTGTTTTGAGGGCCTCCCGGGGGGCCAAACACATCCAATTCTATCGACAAGGTTTGGAAGTGGTAATTTGAAATGTTCGGCAGATACAACCAGATGGAGAATACGTCATATGGCGCAGACAGAATCGGCGCACCCGGAGATAGATCAACACCGCGTTAATAAATATGCAGAAAGGGCGCGCGAATGGCTTTCGAGAGGGGCCTTATTCATCGCCTTAACAGGGATGGTTTCTTCGATCAAGCTCCATTGTGATTAATTGGTGAGTAGGGCTGGTAGGCGGCGGGTAATGACGGCAAGTGATGATCAGTACCGCTGTCGCCCGTTGTTCTGGTGGCAGAGACACGCGTCTCAAATAGAACACATAGCAAGTCACTCAGGAGACCGGTTAGAGCCTATGTATGTGTTGTACACACATGCGAGGAGCTAGGGTATGGAACAATACGATCGCAAATGCCCAGAGCATAAAACTTAGATTAGAGAGCGTAGCACAATTCTGTCGCGGAAAGGGAATTGCTATTACAGAACGAAATCCCGACAGATCGGTAAAAGGAGACAAGGCTGCATAAATATATTACATCCAACAAAGAAATATTATTTTCCAGACAGATTTTGTCCTTCAATTCCGCCTTCAGATTGGTTTCTTCCGCAATATTGGCTGTTAATCTTCCTCGGGTTTTGCACACAAAGAATCACGGGGTATTTTTTCAAGGATGAGAATTTGGATTGCGCCTCAAAATTGGCATACCAGCACAACGAGCCTTGGGGAGACGCATAGGAAGTCGGGTATCGGGACTAGCCATATCTCCCTTGCTCGGATCGCAAGTTGCATTCTGTAAAACTGTGGCCAGTGTGGCATCTTACCAGTGAGTATCCTTTAGGAACGAGCGTCTGCTCAGCCCCTGAAGGGGAAGCAGTCTGAGTACAACCTAACAGAGACTTATGAAGAAAACTTCACGAAGCCGCAACGAAAGAATGACAGCTGAGAGGTTGAAAATAAAGTCCGCTGCGGCTGAGTGAGATCAGGGGAGATATTTGACGATTGGCTTGGCTGGCTAATTGGACAAACACGGCGGGAATAGCAAGTCAATATTAATTCTCCCTCTTCGTTGCACGACCGTTCCTGCATAATTTTGTCAACCTTTCCGGTTACTAATAACCATATGTAATGATATTATTTCACTCTTCTTGTGTTGCGGAATAGTATGTCGAGGTGCAGCCACCATTTTGGAAACGTTATGTATGACAATGGGCTGGAGCCATTCCAGTTGCCGGCTGATTCGGGTTTTCGATTCTCCAGCCACACCCAATACGCTAGACTGGAACTTCCCATTATTGATATTGTAGCGGAAGTGGCATCGAGAATCGAACAGCGGAGGCTGCCATCCTGCCGGCCGTTACTCCGTAGCGTTCGTAATCTGTAGCCTGAATGGAATTGCTTGCCAGGTTTTTCCGGAGCGAAAGATTTCTGGAACCGGGAAAAGACAGTCACCATATAGCAACGGGATAGCCTGAGAGGCATCCATCACTCAAGCATCGAATCCAGCATCGAACTAAAGTTTCACCGCTTGCCTGCATAGCTTAAGAGCCTAGACAACATGATGCCAACATATTTTGCTGCATGAATGGAATTCTGGTTTGCGGGCACGCGACCAATCCATTTCATTTTTCTCGTCATTTATTCCATAACTCTGCTAGTTGTCATGTATTGAAATGCGACACGACTCAAAGAACAGAGTAGTTTGATTATGACACCAGCATCGTGTTATACAGTTAGCCAAAGCCAAAAGCAAGGGCACTACTACCTGTGTTCGATTCGGGTCACGAGCATGAATTTCCTGCACCTTCTTCGTACCACCATCAAACACCGGAATGGAACCAAGAATCTGTTTAGAAACAGTGCACAAATAGACATTGGGCATGTTAGAAGGGCCGATATATGCAGAATCACGCCTCGCCAAAAGTTTGAAAACTTTTCCAAAAACCAAACTGGCCTGTATTCCCCCCAAACTGAAACCTTTGACAAGGCACTGTATATATTATGTTGCTGTAGATTATCCCTTCTAGCAACGAAAACGGATATGCTTTGCTTGATTAACTCTCTTTGTCTCAATTTTTGTCAAATTGTTCCCTCCACAGAATGGCGGTGTAAGGGCTTATGATGAACAGTGCGAAAGGTGAGTACAGCACATACCGATCATCAGCATGGATGAATTTGTATGTGTCAGAAAAGCATCCCTAAGGGTGAGTTTCTCCCACACAATGACATAATTCAAAGCGCCGTAAATTGCGTCGCTTGGGTCGCAGGATGCAGCTCAACTGACCTATTCATTCACCTTGGGTCGACATGACAATGTTTCCTAATCAACAACATTCACCATTGACCCGGCGCGTTGGTGGCTTCGAAGAGGCATATTACTCTCCATTAAGTGAGAATCAAACAAGGAATATAGGAATGTGCATGTCCTCTACTTCAGTAATCTTGACCTCAGCTCCTTCCCGCCTCGAAATCAAGGCGTTAGGGGCTTTTGTGCGGTTTGTTCACTGCAGTTACTTTTAGCTTTGCGGGGAGGAAACCGATTCGTCCCCGCAGAGGTGAAATTAAGCTAGCGGCTAGGTATGCACTAAGTGGGTCCATTACCGAAACTTAAATTACCGGAACCATTAAACCTGATTTAATTCCCACTAACCACACAGAACTGCCTGCGTATCAATCTCGAATGAAGAGAGCATGGGTTTTGACGTCGTCCGGCTTTCATTATTGTTAATGGGCGAAATCAAAACTATCATGTTTGCCTACGTTGTCATGAGAAGAAAATATGTAGAACTCCCAGAACGAATGTCTGCATTTTAGTCACTCACGTTGTATAAAATGACTTTTGTCTATCCTGAGCTTCAGCGAGAATGACGCAAGAATATCCAATTGGAGTACGGAGTACATATTACGCAAACCCCGATAATATATTTCACTACAACCTTGAACACTAATGCGCTGATAAAGCCTACATTAGCTAGTTAGCTAGCCCCAATGAAAATAAAGAAATTTCAACCTTCAGGCACATTCATATATCCGGCAATCATGAGTGTAAAAAGCGAAGTACTCTGACTACTCCAGCCGTTTAAAACGGAAGTTACTGAAGAGCTGCTGAGATATACCATATTCCTCGCTCAAGTCTACGCAATTATATTACTAATCATACAAAGCCTATATATCTTGACACTAACATCTCGGATCATTAGTCTATATGATGAAGTCAAGCAAGTTAATTGGATAACCAGAAAAGGGCTATCTAACAGAGTTGATATTCAGCGTACTAATATCCAAGGCCGCTGTGTGTCAAAGCTAGCGGTGGAATATGATAATAATGCTCACGAGGAGGTATTTGACCTTTCTCTTCTTTCTTCTTTCTTTTCTTTTTATTTTACTTTTTAAAAATCTTTTTGCAAGTCGGAAGCGATTAGTTTCAGCACTAACTAGCGCACCAAGAGCCGATTCGGTTTGCGCTTAAGTTTGTCTAGAGCGGCTACGCAGGAAGGTCTGTGGCAATCTCGTATAATTTGCTTGGTTTGGAACGTTCATGTACAGTATCTGTACGGAGTACATACATACGCTCCAAATTATGTCTGAAACAAAAATGGCTGTTAACCTATAACCAACTACTATTTAGTGGGAGTTTGCCTTAATTTAATATTTCAATAATATTGTGTTGCAAGCTGCGGTCGTAAGTAAAATGAAAAGAGCTGCTAACTAACAGTGAGCTCTACCGGAGGGCGCCCCGATATCTTGGGGGTCTATGTTCTAATTAGGCAATTGGGATGTATGTAACTATGTAGGTAGTCCACGGTACGTGGGTACCAGATGGTGTTTACCAAGAGATGTGTCCCATTCCCCTACTACACCGCCAATTTGCTCTGCTGACAAAAGAACTTAGCCCCCAAATGAAACGGCATCTCAAAAAATAATGCTTGTAAATATTTCCAAAATCTGTTGGAAATATAGTTCCGTCTGCGGCTCAGTTGACAAGTTGCATTGATGCGACCCCGACGCATGAAGTGTTGCTGTCTACGCGGAGTACGCGGAAAAAAAATTGAATCAAAACGTTTAGTTGCATTTTGTGCCCTCTTGGAACTGGAGGCTGTCACTCCTATATCCAGAAACGGAAGGGGCTGAAGGTAACTGCCAGGCTGACATCAGCGATAACGCCCCGAGGAGATGAGAATTTACCCCAGGCGAGGCAAAACCCTCCTGACACGCATTTATGGCGGTGGAGCAAAGTCGTGTAGTGTAGCCTTCCGAGCCTTGATATTATCATTCCTTTGTAATGCATTCCTCAAATGCAACCCTGACTGGAGTAGTTTCCTACATCCGCTACAACACATAAGATAACTTCTTCGAATGGCATTGACGTCATTCTATCCCCATGGACGGAGCTAACCTAACCACAAAAGGAGAATCCGCCATCAGCTCGTCAGCACCAATTAAGAGCTCGCGGGTGTCGATATTGCAAATCGCCAGCGCAAAACCCACTGTATTAGGAGTATGGGACGACCAAAAACAAAGTTCCCAGCCATGAAACCTCGGTAAAAATCTCAATCTGTCGCCTGGGTTATCGTTATTAAGCCTCAGCTGATGGGCGTTGTATGCAACCGCGCGGGGGCCAACTATATCAAGTCGTGTCTGCATCAGAGGAACGGAGGAGCTAAGTGTGGGTAATCCACACTCCTACCAGGCCGCATTTTCAAGGCGTGAAGATCGTCCGATTCGATGCTAGAGAGTCACAGGAAGGATTCATTGGAGGAAATTCCCGTATCAAACTGGAAATTTCCACTCCCTAAGCGAAGTCTGCTGTAGAGAGGCCCAACAGACGGGGCGAGATCAAGGCCATGGAGCTTTGCCGAATATTTGTAACTCCAATTTTATGTCTGCTAATTTGGAGCCTATTGCTAAGTTCAATCATCCTGTTGCTCTCAACGCCCATTCTTTTGGTTGCTGATGGTCGACCCGAGAAAATTAAGCCATCGATCCCCTCCTCAAATGCTTTCTAGCCACTGGGGCGGATTTTGAAAGTCCCGAGGACAGATCAGGCAACAGGCTATTCCGCATTCTTACGTCAGGCATAGGATAAGGGTAATCAGCCATGATGACGCTTCTCCATTTTGAAGGGCTTCCAAGAACAAAGCGTTCAGTTTCCAAAAAAGGGGATTGGATGGCGGGGATATTCGTCGGATGGAGCGCGTCATCGAATCCGCACCTAGCAAAAACGGAAATGATGCCAGCAGGGACAGAAGTGGTCCATCATGCGAACCAATTATATATTGCAATTCCCCTTAGCCGTTCAAAGACAACAGAAGGCTGGTTGCGCTCAAAATAACAACTCTTCAACCGTGCTCGTCTTAAATCGCAGATGTACTCCCCAGCTGAGCATCCATCTGCACTTCATAGCCTTGGATTTCCCCGCCAGAGTCATGCGATCACCTTCGAAAGAGGGGGGGTTGGCCGATGATTCAGGCCCTTGCCTGGTTATAAGAGTCTAGGGCAAATAGGCAGAGGAGAGGATATCTGGCATGCGACTTGGAACACTGCCATCGTAATTCTTGCAAGGTGTGCTCTGAAACCTTGAGGTAGCAAATCACCCATTGCAACTGACCAATCCCCATGGCCAGCACGATGGGAATGGAAAACAATGCGCAATTTCCACGATGGCTGGCCTAATTAAGCCAATCAACTTTGCTTTGGCATCAGCTCCTACCTATATTTTCGTGGCATCTTCGGTGGTTTTCCGAAAAATTGTTTCGTTTTCATCTCCGGGTGGACTGAATAATAGATTCCTGCCTTGTTGGTTTGATATAGCACCTGAGGCTCAACGATCAGGTAGAAAAGGCACAAGCCACGCCAGGCCCACGTTAGGAAGTGCGGGGTAATGTCACCGGGCATACTGCGTATAGTTATGTTATGCAGAAGAGAGGGGCTCGAGATGAGATTGGCGCGCAGACCGCGTGCTGCTGTATTCATGCAGACTGGGAAATGCAGATGCATGCCAAAGGTGAGAGACGCAATGTGGAGCTAGCAGCACCACCACCACAGTAGAACTTTAAGGGCACGGAGGGAAACTGAACAATCTGGGCTGCCTGCCTGAGGCCACAAAAATGGCCGGCTAGGAGTAGGGGCGCCAACACCTAAGAAAGCAAGCAAACTCATCGCCACTAACTTAAACGCCCAGGATGAACTGTCACGGGAGGAAGCTCTTTGCGCCCTTTAGCCTTGCGATTTCTCTCACTATCGTAAATACAGTTGTCGACTGTACATTCAAAATTTTGTTCCCGGCGGGCGAACAGCTTGGGTTGAGCATTATTAGTTGTTTAAGGCTAAGTTACATCAGACTCAAATGACCCAAAAGAGGAATTTAGGGCAAAATGGAACTTCTCACAATAATTTTCTCCAGTGCTCGGTAAGGAATAACAGCTTTCGCAAGGTCAAGCATTTGCTCAATGTACAATGTACATACATTATTACAAGGCCCGGTCGTTCGGGGTTAATGTCTACAAGCCGCATGGACATGAGCCTATTCTCCCCCTGTGTTAATTTGAAGATATGCAAAGCCTCAGACTACGGTGTTGTTTCCTAGCGTGGGGGAAGTCGTAGGAAACAACCATGAGATGAGGGTTAAAAAGCAAAAAAACAAAAGAAAATAAAGAAAGAAAACTCGATCTCCAGGCTCCCGCAGCGCGCTTAAACGTTGGTTGGTGCCAACGGAAAAGACCATACAACTGAATATCCGCAATGCGACGGATGCAACCCAGCGCAGCGGTGGCAGGCTCCAGCGATGAGGTCAGTAGACATTTCGAAGAGCCGCGTCAACGGACCGTTAAATACCGGCAGGCTATGGCTAGTTAAAGGTTCCAGAAGACAGTAGCAAATTTCTGGATAAATGAATGCCCACTACGAAAGAGGGCTCACGGTGTCTAGTTGAGGTTGAGCGGGACAGAAACAAAGCTATAACTACTCATTTCCTAAGTCAGAAAATTTGACTGTAGATATAGACAGCGATCAACATATAACTATATATTATATATTGCTAAATTTGGAAATCAGCATGGCTTCATTCAACCAGAGCAGGCAGGATAATTAAATCATTATCAAAGTACACTGCCAAGAACTGACAGCATTTTCGAAGACGCTAAATCCAGTGCGCCGCAAAGACATTTTTTAGCTCTCCAGCCTTGCAGAATCCCACGGGTCGGCCGCAACCTGGGCGATGGCACAGTATTGGCTACAGCGTTCGCAAATAGTTCGCCCTTAGCTTGAGGCATCTGCCTGCCCAGCCGGTGCAGGGGTGGATGGGCACTAATCCGGCCTAGTTGGACGCAGGTGCGAGGTTGCGCCCGTCATGGCAAGACGGATGTTGCAAATATTATGAAACCCCATCGACCTCGGGATATCCTGAGCTTCTGTCTGGGAGAGGTTTAGATAAAGGGCGACACCCGGGCGAGTGTTATTCTCGGCACTGGATATTTCCAGATGGAAGAGCCTCGAAAGTGTTTAAAAAGAGCCCGAACAACTTTCCAGATTTCTGTTTTTCCGAAGATGCATCATCCTTGAAAATCCCCTCCAAGGGCTCTGCCAAATTTATATTTATATACGTTCAACCAAATTTCTCACCACAGCCGAATTCAAATCCAACAATACTACCAAAGGCGCCAGTCAATTACAATCTCTGGGGCCCCTGCTATGGACAAACAACCAGACCGCGATTCTCACAGTAGTCGATCAAGGAATCAAGGAAGCAAGAAAAAAACAAGAGGAACAGCGACGAAGAAACGAGCAGCCAATGTAAAACTCGCTCCCAGGCCGCAGCCGCCCTTCGATGAAGAGGAATCGCCAATCAGAATGTGAGTGGATGGCGGGCGAAGATCCAGCCCAACAACAACCCCATGCGTGGTTTGTTTTCCGGTCCATGCTAACTTGGCCGCCTTTGCCAAATCTTACAGCGGGGTCTACTCCACCCAGCAGCAGCAGCAGCCTCAGTCGAACCGTCGTGAATTGGAACGCCCCAACCTCGACGTCCTCAGATCCCCAGCACCTTCCAACCCGCCAGATATCGCAGGCTGGGGAGGAAATGCTAAGAAGCGGCCCGCTGCTGCCGTTGAATGTGAAGACTCTCGAATCTCAGCGGGTTATTCATATGTCAATGCCTCTGGTGAAAATCAACCCGAGGGTGGCTCTCACCTCCAAGCTGGAAACAATGAACAACATCTGCCAACACACTATGTTGTAGATTTTACAATATCCGATCCGGATGCTCCAGCGACCCCGGGGGTGATCTCCGCTCCTGTTCAAAGTGACCGTGCTCCTGACCCAGTATCAAGCGTCCGTCCATCGCTATTTCCTGAAGAATGGGAGCCAGATCAAACTATCTCAGACGACGTGCAGGAAGTTTTGAGATTTAAATCTGCCTCATATGGGGTGGAGGAGGACCCCGAACCGCCAGAAACATCCACCATGCTTCGACAATGTCATGTTAAGAAGCTATCATACGAGACATTGGTGGGGGAAGTTAAAGATATATACAACGCTCTTTTGACAACTGAAATAAGATGCCTTGTAGAATGTGCGAAAATCGAACACATTACCAAGTTGAATGAAACACAGTGGGCCGATCTGGTTGAATGTCACAAAACCCTCCTTCATCACCATTATAATTTACTCATATGTACACAACATCCAATCAGCGGCAGAGAAATTTCTGCAATTCCTGTGACATGCAAAATGCCATCTCGCCTGCTGCACCAGGGCATCTACATCTTTCTAGAAATCATGAAAGCTCGACGTCCGGATAGTCATGATTATATGACTCCCTTCATCTACGATGCGTACGGCCTAATAGCGCTGCTTATAGAAACGGCCCCCAGATTCAAAAATGTGTGGCTTGAATGTCTTGGTGACCTGGCCAGCTATATGATGTGCCTTGAGGAGAGGGATTCAATTGAGAACAGGGCCTGGAAAGTAGTTTCATCGCAATGGTATCACAAGGCCCTCGACGAGAACCCGGGGAAAGGAAGTCTTTACCACCGACTTGGTAATCTTTCAACACCCAACATGGGTCGGCAATTGTTCTTTTACTCCAAGTCTCTTGTGGCAACCGAACCATACACAATGTCAAAGAACCGTGTTGAGTCTGCCTTTAAGATGGCTTTGGACTCAATTCAGAGTCGGGGTGTCACGACCCCAGACTTACCATCCTGGTTTGTGGGGTCGCATGCAATGCTTATTCGCAGTGGTTCAATTCACAGCTTCATTGTGTATGTGAAGGAGTATATTGTCAATTTTGCCGCCCAAGTTAAGCAACAGACTTTCAAATTCCGGGAAGCAGCAATCTGCATGGGAGTCCCCAACATCGCTGCAATGTTACAATATGGTGAGCAGGATGGCATTCTTACAAGGATGTTTATAGACTCTCAAAAGCTGAGCTCGGAGGTTAGGTTACAGAACGCTATACAGCACTGGCTCATGCTTCCTAAAAACCCTACTCAAAACACTCTGGACAAAGACTTTCCTTCTGATGCTGCAACTTTCTCTACTCCTTTGAAAAAACTTACTTACAGCACATATTTAAATTTTCATACACTCTCTTTTGTTCTTAAATATACCCGAAACGAAAATATTATTCCATATGTCCACCTCTCTCTTGCATTTATTTGGAGCCTGGCATTAGTTCCGGATTCCATGATGTATGTGGAGGGAGAAATTCCCTGGACAAAGATCACTATCTTTCTAAATATGTTGAACCGGGCATTTATCAGCGAATCCAGGCTTGAAAATGTCAACTTCCCGATCCCGACTGAAACAAAATTCCGACAATTACCAGAGGATTTCTTCTTTCGAAGCCAAATATGGTCGCAAACACTATATCCATCTGATTTCTTCGCGGGTGCTACCATCGACGACGACAGCCGTGGAAGAGACGTGCCCAGCACCAAATCGGCCCGCAACGAGCGCTGTCTATGGTATGGATATCGTCTAGCATCGGTAAGAGCCTCCTATTCAGTTTTATGCTCCTCAGCTCCGCCTACAAAGCTTGATCATTTTACACCTCAGCCTTCGTTATCTCTTATTTTCGTATTAACTTAGCTAATTACATTTGTTTAGTGCGGCCGTTGGATTCAGTTATTCGAGGAAAACGGCGTGAAGAAATTTAGACCTACAGATTATGCCAACCAACTCGAAGAGACAGCTATGCATCCTAAAGTGTTTAGTCGGCCTCAAAGGGCTGTCGCTACTTCCCTGCCTAGCTCTCTATCTAGCTCCCCGCCTAGCAAATCTAGGTTGACCCAGCCGCCTAGGAAAGGGAGAGGCCGTTGATACGCAAAAGGTCATCGTCGCGCCTTTCCAAGCTTGGTCAGACATCGCAGAACCCCTAAATGCACGATTAAGGGAAGGAAGGTCGTAAGAGAGGGATTTCAAAGCGGAATTAAGCCGGAGAAATTACCCTTTATCTAGGACGTATGAGTGAACCCCACTCTGTGTCCCCAGGGTTTAATGTCAACTACGGATTTGCAGGTGGCGCTCGGAAATTCTAGCTGCTGTTGGGGGGGGGGGTCTCCAGCTTCGTACGCCGGGGCATATTTCTTATATCTGTTTCACACGCAAAGCCGCATCCTATACGGACCGTTGCGCTTAATATTTACATTTAGCACATGTATGGCCGGCTTCAGCATCTAATTAATAAGGCGGGCGGTTATTTTCCCATGATGTCCGATGGTCATGGAGATTCACACTTTCGGTTCCTGTATTCGTTTTAATATATGAATAGTTTCAAACAGGACATAAGTTAACAAATACAATTTGATAATTTTAACTTCGCTCAAGGTAAATTACCTACTGCCAACACTCAATTTGTGCTACAGTTGGTAACTCATCCCCGTTGTTCGTTATCATTCTCAGCAACACGGACAAAATATGCTCTACGAGGTTACAACGCTTTTAGGGAAAGTTCTCTTTTGGCTTCTCAGTTCAGTGCCAAAACTTTTTTCCGTGGTAGATGTACCAATTGGGGGATCAAATCGGATGTAAAGGAGATATATCTCGCACAGACAGACACAAAAAGACAAAGTACATCATAGAAAAATTCTTCCCATTGCCAAAATCTCCCATGGATATTCCCACAATCACTCACGGTTTATGTTAAATACTTGACCCCCCTGACACGCCATTCCAATTGTTTGCCGTAAAATGCAGCACGAATAAACTTGATCACGCGCCCTAATTCCGGACAGAGAAGTGTGCTGAACACGAATAGTAACGCCGTCATCTCAACGCCTCTCCACACCTACAATCTATCCCTTATCCTATCATCGAGAGGCAAAGCCACTGCAAGGTCAGGCCTATTCATCTAGTCAATATGGCAAACCTATTGGCGCATGTATGTATCTACAAGCGTTCACGAATAATATAAGGAATATCTAGCCTCCTATTGTCATTTCGTCTGACGACAATTGTACATGTACATGTACATGCACATTACCAGGGCGGTGATCAAATCCGGTCAAAGAAAATGTCTTTCTGGCCCAGACGGACGGGTGCGGGAGGGTGCAGGAAGATTCATCAGACGTATCATTTGCACCACTTGGGCCGGGCTGCAATCTTTTTATTTCAGTTTAATACTTTCCTTCTCGAGAAGTTAGTGGTTAACACCGCCCAAAAAGGGGATACGGTGGACTTTTGCTTTTTGATCTCGTTTGGCGTCTTAAAGTCGCATGCGTTAACTACAAAGGGCAGAGTTCAGGCACCTTGATGTGTCGGTCCTACCCGGCGAAGGCTCTGCGCTGTGAATGCAGGGATTACTGGGGTGCCTCTCATCTGCGTTAGTGGGTCTCAATCATTGGCTAGATTTGTCGTTTGTTATTCACTTGGTCTGGAGGTTATGTCGTGCTCTCGGCCCAGCGAGGTTGAAAGACAGGCGGATGCGTGGTGGGTGGTGATGCGGAACAAAGGCTGAAGTGAGCATTGGCAACTCATTCTGCATGAGGCTTTATTCAAGTGGATTCAATGGTTAAATCAATGATATTGGCAGGCAGTCTGACAACCATTGACGTTAATATGTAGACAGAAACAGCTCAGGGGCTGCATTCCGTGGAAGCTGGATCCCGTGATGCAGTTGCAAATCAAGTTTCCGCGCCCGGGTTTAGTGAGCATTCGCATAGGACGGGCCTCAAGCAAAACACAGTTAAAAGCCAAAACAACCCGGAGCCGGCAACCACAATCCAAGTCGCATAAACCTGTAGTGTGGTCGGCATAGGCATCAACTTTCCGCTGTAGAGCTTTTGAGACAGCCTCACTGCAGGAGCTCGGGGCATGGATCTGCTCTAGTCAGTTAAATCCGCGTCATGTACGAGTCATAAAACACCCCGTTGAAACAAATGTCTAGGCACTGAAGCCTTGTGAGATTCGGGCAACATCCGATATAGATAAGAATTTCCTTGCGATATAGAAGCATCCATCTGTTCCGATAGTGAAGTGCGGATCACTTCGGAGGTCCCTCTTACGTGGTGCCATTTACGGCCACGCCCCTCCTCAACGCTGCGAAACCCTGCCAACCAAGAAATGATTACGAGGATCTCTCGCACCAGCTGAACCCCAAAAGGGTGCAGTTCTGACATTTTCAAATTCTCGTCCGAAAATGTGGATACGATGTAAATTTCCTTTTCGCCCATCACTGAGATGGCCTTGAATGCATAAACTGATTGGCATTCCTGGCAATACTTGTGGCAAAGTCGGCACATCCTCGCCTCGCCCATCACGTGATAGCCCTGGCTTGACTGGCTCACGAGGCTGCTCCATGAGATCCATGTGGAATAGGGGAGGGTTGCCTGATAAAAATCCTTCGTGTCTGGCTTGTATGTGGCGGGTCTCGAACGAAGCCACTGCGGCGGAATGGTGGAGAAATCCCTTAGTCCTATTGACTGTGCACTGGTATTGTTATGATCAGCCCCAATCATCACCACACAGGATCAAGTTATCTCGCGGCTCTTGGGTTTTTATTTATTGATGTATTGCCTGTGCTCTGCGTTATATCCACATTATTTGCCCGCCTGTTGCCTAGGAAAGAAGACAAAATGATTCAGATAAATGCCCTGATAACGAATCGAAGCAGAGCTGTGACGTGAGTCTGGAGGACGTATCTGACACCGCCGTGCGCTCGGGCTATTTGACAAGGGGAAAACCCCATAAATCAGCCTTCGAGCTGTGCCCCAGTTTCTTCCCAGAGGTGAGATAACCAAGGCGACCTCCCAGTGACACTAATGCACATCCCGGTGCTTGAAAAACGATCTCTCATATTTTTGAATTGTGATCATTGTTTGGCACGCCGAAACGTTCGAGGCACGAGTCGGAGCCACCAATAATGGGCCTTTAGACTCAGCCGTTCAATTGGAAGAAAACCACGAGCCTCCTGAGCTGATCCCTGTGATTAATTGGCTTCATCTGATATTTGCCTGGCGGCAAATATTGTGAGTAAATGTGATGTGAAACATTCATCAAGAGAGTAACTCTTGGCTCCACAAATAGGGAAGATAGGCCGCTGTGTGATAATGACAAAACACGGCTTCATATCTGAGTGTGGAAACGGCAGGTTGATTAAAAATGCTCTACTCGCTGTGAGTGTCGTCTAGAAGAGGAACTCTGTAAAGCCTAGACCTAGTCAATATTAGAACTGCAGAAGAGCATGCTAGGCGACATCTGTGCCCGGACGACCCCTTGTAAATGGATTCCCAGTTCTCGGCAACGAGTTGTCTAAAGAGCTCCTTGTTACATTGGTCCTTAACCTTCTAATGCTGCGCATGTGGAATGGCAATGCCAAGATCTATATGGTCCCTTAGGAAAATAATCGCGGAAAGTCGAAATCTGGTAGGCTCCGAGAAGTGATGAGACGAAGGATTGTAACGTTCATCCCAGTTTGCTTTCTATCAGGTTGACGAGAAAAGATGGAAAACTCATGTGGAAATTCAAGGATTGAACGTTGTAAATCTCAAACCGGTCCGCGCAGAAACAGTCACTTGTTTGGTCATCGGGGACAACCACTGAACAGGGCTGGAAGCACCGGATCTCGGGAGAAAAATTCGCAAGCAAACCAATTCGATGCGGGGCTTCTTGGGACAGGCACGTTATTGACAAATAATTTCGACTCCAAAACGGACAGTAATGAGTCAAATTTCGTCGCCTGAGGCGCCGATGCCTTGTCCGGCATAAATATTCACCTAATCCCTTGGGACGCAACGGTACTATCACACCCCTGAATTTTGGCATTCGCAGACGATTTGGAGGGGCTAGGTAAGGGAGAGAACTCTGTCATCACCCTCTTCAGAGCAAAAGCAACGTTATTCCTGCATTGTCCATAAGGGATTGCGATGCTGCTCAGCCAGCCTTGCCGTCGAGGTTGCTCTTGCGGTGCAGTGATTCGTGACAGGATCAATTCGCGATGTTATCGTTTTTCTGAGACAAAATCCAGCTATAGATGCCTAGCAATGCGTAATATGCCCTCCAGTAACATTGTTGCTGTGTGGAGCAGTTGCTGTGGTGGTGGAAAGACAGTTGAAGATGGCTGAGGGTAGTTGTGGTTGGCGATGAAGTTGGTCGACGCCGGATTCCTGGCCATTGGCTGCCAAATGACGCCAAGCAACGAGCGACGGGAAGCTTAAACCGTTCCTACCAAAGGACATGTGGCTGCTTGACAGCCTTCGAGAACCTCCATTCACAGATCGCAAATCCAAGACCAATCACTAATTTCTCGCCACTTTCTGTGCAGGCTCTTTGAATGAGGGAGAATTTGCGTTCTTTTCGTCTTGGTCTGTGACCAGGAAGACCCAACCATGGTGGACTTCCAAGCCCTGAGTGCGATATGCGCCCAATGCCTGGAGCTCGCCGGTAGCATTCCCCCTCTGCTGTGGTTCATATTTCTCCTATCGACATTTACCGGGCTCATTCTTCTTGTGGGTTTTATTTTAAAATTATTACATGACTTCCATATCACTCAATTGACCAAACGTCTTGCAGGGGTATACTCTTCTCTTCCTCGTAGCGCCAAATCCCCGCCCTCCGCTTCCGCAGGAGAAAAGATACAAAACTATTGCTGAAGATGGATCAATTACGGCGCCCCAACTACTGCCTTGCTGGCAAGATAGCCTACGAGGTCGTACATCTGGCGACGTAAAAGAAATGGAGAAGGCGGAGCTTTTTATGTCCGTCGTGGTGCCCGCATACAACGAAGAGGATAGGCTGGGAGGGATGCTGGAAGAGGCTGTGAATTATCTCGAGAAGACGTACGGGACTCTCGCGGAATGTCTGCAAGATGGAGCTTTGCGTAAGGAGGACATGAGGTCGGAAGGGACTCGTCGTCGTAGACTCGACGAAAGGACAAATGGGAGCATAAGTGTGCCATCACGGGGATGGGAAATACTCATTGTGTCGGATGGTTCCACAGATGGGACCGTGGAGACCGCGCTATCCTTTGCTAGAGACCATCAACTGTCGGTACACCCCAAGAGCCATGCAGGACCATGGACAACCATTTCAAGCGCGGAAGGAGTACATATCCCACCAGGGACAATCCGAGTAATCACCCTAGCGGAGAATAGAGGAAAAGGCGGGGCTGTCATTCATGGTATGAGGCATGTGCGCGGCCAGTATGTCATATTCGCCGATGCAGATGGTGCCAGTCGGTTCGACGACCTTGGGAAGCTACTATCAGCCTGTCAACGCATAGAAGATGGGTCGTCTCGAGGTCTTGCAATCGGATCCAGAGCACATCTAGTCGGCAGCGAAGCTGTGGTTAAGGTATGGTACACATATGCGCCTTAACACCAAGATCACAAGCGCATCACATAACTCTTCCGTCCTTGCACTCCACATTTACTAACAAATATACTCCTCACTAGCGATCTAAGCTTCGAAACTTCCTCATGCACTCCTTTCACCTAATCCTTCGCATCCTTACTCCACCCGCCACCGCTGCTATAAAAGACACCCAATGTGGCTTCAAGCTCTTCTCCCGCGCCTCTTTGCCATATATCATTCCCTACATGCACTCTGAAGGCTGGATTTTTGACGTGGAAATGCTCATGCTTGCTGAATTTGCAGGCATTCCTGTGGCTGAGGTGCCGGTGGGCTGGAGAGAGGTCAAGGGGAGCAAGCTGAATGTCATATGGGATAGTTTGGGCATGGCATGGGGTTTGGCTATCTTGCGGATGGCATGGGGGTTCGGCGTTTATCGGCGGACTTCAGACCATGGTATTTTTCGGTGACTATCAGCTGTCTTGTATTTTTTCTTTTTGTATTTTTGCACTGGTTGGCGCTTCTCACTACGTTTTCGTTCTGTATATACAGTTCCTGTATTTTCTCTCGGCATGTCCCTTAAGTGGACTACGATATACCCATAGATATATATGACGTTGGTTCTGCGTTCAACGTGGTATCAAATGGATGGTAACTGTTTCCACCATACATGCGATGTGTTAGCCATGAGTTCAAAAGATTGTAGCCCCTTGGAACATATTTGATCCATGTTGAATTACTCGCGGATGATGAGTTGATACACCATATCGACCCTTATAAAACACGGACTTTTTGTTCACTTCTTTTCTTCCTGTCCCCTTTCACCCTCCCTCCCCGGCCCCAATAATGACGTCCTTCTAATCGTTGGTGTTTGGCCTAGGGTTTCACTAAATATAATTGTGATTAAGCAAAACGCACATTACTGCTTTTGCTTTGATCAGTAGCGAATATGTGTATTTTCAATTGTCCTTGCTTTCCTAAGGGTTGTGGGGGCCATGTACGTCCCGGTCCGACGGTTATGCTGTTTCACATTTGTGAAGTGCAATTGTCTGTACTCCGTATATGAAATGGGAGCGTGTTGAATGATAATGCCATATCCCTAATTTGCCCGCCTGCATCGAGGAAGTGAACCCGATGGCAAGCTCCATTGGCCGAGTGCTGGGTGGTATACCTGTTACTTGGTAAATACATTTCTTCGATACGTTAAATAAGCTCTGATACTTGCTGGTCGAGATTCCACAACACTCTCATGCCACGGAAACACGAAAGAAGCGGGATCGCAGCGCTTTGAAGGGCGAGAGTGGAGAAAAATCTGAGAGAATCCCATAAATCAATAGTTTACTGCTTCATCGGCCTCCATCCGAGATATTCTACTGCTTGAAAGGAACCCGCAGTTGAGGTGAGACGCGACATAGACCAAAAAATGACGTCGCCTATAAACCAAGTTAGTTAGGTATTAACCGTGCCATGCTTACTCACTCTCTACACTAGTTAGTCAGGGCTAGCCAACAGCGCGACCCTTGACTTAGTTGAACTAGCATCATCTCATCTCTAAAAATTACCGACCTAGAAAACTAAGGCACAGACACACATATCTATCGCTGGACCAACGGTCACCGCTGGTATTTATTTATTTATTTTTTGGTTTCTATACGCTACGAGCTGGTCTGAGATTGACGTACCTCACTCATAGCGGTGTTTCGCGATGCGATTCTAATCTGGAGTGCGGCAATGTTTTGGCGACGTTGGCGCAGTCATCTCTTTGATATAGAGACCCCATAGCTTTTCATTCTGACGCCTTATCTGGTCAAACTTTCAGGGAAATATGATTTAGCAATATCCAAACTACGTGCACAAAAGTTTCCGACTCTTTTTTCCCGGTAGGCATGGCCCAGACTATTCCACAACGTTGTGGCGAAAGCCATGATTGTACGCACGAGGACCACAGGATGTTCCCCACGTCATCTCCGATGCGTCGCGCATCTTCGCCAACTGCCTATAACTTTCATCTGGAACGGTCTGATGGCTCCGCTACATTGTCGAGCAGAGTATCGAGAGACCAACCCAGCGTCAAATTTTTCGACTTCGTTGAACAATCTCAGTTAGCCCTCCAATCCCTACGGTTAAGCTTCGAGCGTGAACGAGCAGCGTTCGCAGAAGAGCGGAAGCTGTGGGAGAAGGAAAGATCTATTATGAGACACAGGATTGCGGAGTTGGAACAAGGACAAAGAAGAACTGCTAGAGTCGAGAGGACACGGATGGCCTCCCATCCCCACCGAAGCGAGCGGGCACATGATGTTCATCATGTATGGGAAGGATCAAGTCCGACTATGCAACCCACAAGAGTATTCTGGGATGAAAATGAAGAGCAGAGCCCCCAAGGCTTGAGGCACCCTAGCGGCCACAACCATGGAGTTGGATTACCCCCCTCGCTCGACGAGGCCCTGTCTCCTAGAGCCCGACCGGTCGATCGACAGAGCACAGTCGGAGTCCCCATTGAATTAGTTGATAGCAGCTTAGATGGGATTACTCTAAAATCTACCGCACTAGGCCCAGATATCCTCGCGAAGGCCTCTTCGGCCTCTCCCTCAGAAGTCATATCACCATCTCCAGACCAAACCATGGACTCCAAATTGGTAGAAACCAAGAAACCAGTGCCAATCGCGCGATCGGAATTAGGACCACCACAAGAGAACCTCGTGAGAGATGCAGGGCATACTCCAATGACAGTCATCGATCCGGGTGTGGCAACGAGCAATATATCCACTGAAGTTGGTACATTGACGACGGAATCTCCCCTCGCGCCGCGACAAACCCTTGAGCCAGGGGAGACCTACTCTCCTGAGGTCGACGAAGACCCGGCCCTCCAAGGGCCATTAGGGCTGAAAAATGACAAGAAACAGGACATCGAGTTTCTCGAGGCCCTGGACCAGAAATTATTGAATGAAGCGAGAAGGCTAGCTGGACCGGGCCCTACCTCCCATTCTGACGAGCTTGAAAACAATCTATCCGATGATGAACAACCGCTGTCAGAACCCGAACCAGAAACCGGCATCAAATTCAAACACAGCACTAATTTTGGTTCTGCATTTGGGACCTTATAATAATCTATATCCTATCATTTATTTTAACCTTCATATTTACTTTTAACAAGTGGGGAAAAAGGAACCTGTGTTACATATATCAAGCAATATATCCACTCATGAACATTATGGGGTTTGGATGCCCCTTTTTTGGTATTAAATATTTGGACTACGATGTTGATGGGCCATCTCAATATATACTTCTTAATTACCATCTCAACCTCTTCCCTATTCTTTCCTGGTGGCCTTAACTGTTTTGTTTTGGAGTCGGATCTTTCTCTCGAATAATCTCAATCTCACCCTTTCTTCTTACCTCATACCTGACTCCAACTCAGTTGTCGTAGCGATGGAACATACTACGCAGTACTCCATGCTTTTATACATATTTCATAAGGACTACTCAGATGGTCAGCTATTGCAGTTCCTGGCAGTCCTCACTCCTGTTACCCTTCCTGTGGTGTATACAAAAGCATCAACGGTGGGTTAACGGGGAACAGAAAACGAACGAATGCGCGTAGTTGCAAAAGGCCATGCCTAGAAGTCTTCCACATTATTTATCTAGCACATGCAATATAGAGAGTATATTTATATACGGACACCCACGTTTAATCAACATAGCATCATCCTAAATCAATACATTTATACACAGCTGCGTGAATTCTTCCTAGTGGGTCATTTTCTGTCTTGCGAGCCCGGGGTGAAAGTAATGTCCGTCAAATTCCCTTTTCTTGCCGCTACCCCTACCCACAGTTGCTTCAATGCGTCAGTTCATGTAGAGAGCATGAATAGTCCACTTGGAAATCCAGGAGCTCTGTAGAGATAAGTCCACGGGCTAGCATACGAAATTCCATCCATGGCCTTGTGCAGCTATGTACATGTACATCTACGGAGCTAAATGGCATGATTCTGCCCCAATACGAACCATGTGGCTAGGAAAGGAGAGAAAAAATGAGAGATACGGGGAAATGTCTAGATAAATTCAAATGTATTCTTGTGGTATTATTTGTAAGATTTCGTTGTTTTCTTGCCAACGGAATAGATCGCGCCGAACTCCTCCAGTCTCTCCAAAGTAAAAGGGGATCGTGTACATAAACTTAAGAGCATCATCAGAAAATTGAAGGAGAAAAGCACATGGGGAGATATTATCATAAATAAATCAAGAAAGATGAAATGCAAAATGAAAAAAAGTGCCCGTCGAACTCAAGCCAAAGCAGCGATTCCCCGCGAAAGGCAAGAAAGAGGAAAGTTGACGTCAGATGTGGAATGAAACCAAAACTGCATTGGCCATCCTGGGTTGGACGAAGCTCCTATGCCGCGAGCAGACAAACCCATCAATTCAACCATCAATTCATTCATTCATTCATTCCTCCGTCATGGCACAAGAGTGAACAGATGTATGGCAAAAAGTAGAGCGAGCCCCTGTAATCCGGGAATCTAAACCCCCATGGTGAAGTCATGTTCAATACCCGGCGTCACACTTGCAATAAACTTCAAGAAAACGACTAAGTACTGATCCACTCTTATAGCCACGCGCTGCTCTTCATACTCCTCACCACCCTCATGCTGCAACACTTCCCACTCATCTCCCGCATTACCACCCGCAGCCCCCGCCGCTTGCTGCAGCGGCTGCTGCTGTTCAGGTGAAATCGTCAGACGGGCCGTATCATCAACCAGACCCTCCAGCCCACTCTCAACTTTCGAAGGCACATTTCGCCTCGCGTCTTCTACAGAGGTAGCATTTTTCAGCTTCTGGCGGCGGAGTTTTAGAGCCGCGTCGGCGCGGTCGAGGAGGACTTTCATCACGCTTGCGTGGCGGCATGGGTGCACGCTGGCCATTTTTACGCCGCCGTCGAAAAAGGGGAAGTCTTCTAGTGTGACGGTTTTGTCTTTGTAGTCGCCAACGATGTCTTCCATCATGAGGTGTGGGGCGAGTGGCTCGGATGGGGAGATGTAGCCGGAAAGGTAGAGGCGCGGGGTTCGATAGTAGGGACTGTAGGTTATGTAGAGCGTGTAAGTGCGGAGGGGTCTGTGAGGTAAATGTCAATATATGAGTACAGTCCAATACTCATCCTAGTAGTAGAAAAAAGGAACTCACGTATCAGTCTCGGTTTTTCCAGCCGGTTCCCTGATAATAGCTTCTTCATCATCGTCGTCATCTTCCATATCCGGAATCTCCTCTTCATCTTCCTCCCTCTCCCCAATATTCCCCGCCTCATCCACCGTCCGCACATCCTTGATCCTTGCCTCGTGGCTATCTGACATCCCCCCTCCCGTTCTTAACCACCCATCATCGTCATCGCCACCACTCCCACCACCACCTCCAGCACCACCGCTCAAACCATCAGTAACCATAACATCTTCCCGACCAGCATCCCCAGCAAAGTTATCATCGAGCCGTCGATGGCATGGTACCCCGCGAGTAACTAGAAACTGCTTTCCAGGTGGTAGATGCGGCGCCCGCTTTGCTGGCGAAGCAGCGTCTTCCCACGACCAGGTGGGGAACTTATATACTAGGTAATCGCCTGCGAGGACGAATTCTTCGGGCGTTATTTGACCGGTGGAGCGAAAGGTGGAGGTGTGGGATATCGGGGCGAGGCGGTCCCTCCAGGTGCTCAGGGTGGAGCGGACGACGTTCATGTTCAATAGGTCTATTGGATTTTATTTTGTTTATCTGTGAATACTACTGGTTGGTTTTAACGACAGAAGAGCAAGAGAAATTCAATAGAAAGCAAATATTGGGGACAGGTATTAGTTTAGATAGCAAGATCGATAGCGGGATGTACCTCTTCTAGGTTGCAGTTGTGTTGATTGTCTGCAAGCTTCCAATATGACGGAGTGATGGAATCACGTGCACGCAGAGCAGGCGTCAAAGAGGGATGAGTAAGCGCGTCAGCGGAGGATGGTATTTCCATTCCAGGAGCAATCAGATACCCTACCTGTGGACGCGTTCCCCGAAATACTATGCGTAGATTGCACATGCAACCTCAAATGTTGACGGAAGCTGCATGAGGAATCAGGCGGCAGTTATCACCAGAAAATTCAGCCCTATGATAAAAATAGAAGCTCAGGAGACGTGAATGCGACACCTAGTGACCCCGTGACCATTCGTATTTACACAAAGCCATAATTTGAAACATATTCTGAGCCGGAGCACTTCTATGCACAGAGGAGCTTCTGTGAAGTTACTATGCTTGGAGAGACGAAAGTGTTTCGCCTTTGCCAGCTACCGTCAACGGCAAATCTGGCAGTGCAGAAGCATGTAAATGCCCAACATAGGCCCTCCAGCAGCGTCCTTCCCCTTCTAAAATGGTTGGCCGCCATTGAGTTGAGTATTCGCATAAACATCGGTGGTTACAGCGTCGCACCAGGAAAGAAACAAGGAATTTTAGGCTCTCCAGCCCAGAAGAAACAAGGAGATTTAAGCTCTCAGCTTTCTGAACTGGAGCGTCGCGATAAGCCTAATGTGGGCTGCGGGTGGTTTTAAGCTCGTAGCAGTATTTCATCTAATCCAGTAGGGATTGTGAATCTGTGAAATTCCAGTAGAATACTGATGCCACTAGACCATCAGCGCAGGTCATCGCTTGCGATAGTGGAAGAGGGCTATCGTCACTTCAATCACCATAGAAGAGACTATGCGCGCAAGCCAAGAGCGTTCAATCTGTCGAAAAAAAGTGGGTATGTTAAATTTTTCACTCCGGATGGAAAAGAGAATCCTGCTCATTCCCCTTCTTCCAGCATCTTCCGCGTCTCCTGCTCCGCCTCCAACTGGTCAACAGTCAACGGTACCCGACGGCCTTTCCATTTCTCTTTCTCAGCGGTCGCAAAATTCTCCATGCTTCTCATCCCAACAACCAGAAAACCTAACTCCTCCCTATCCACGTCGAAAACTTCCCACCACTCGTCATCCACTAGTTTCACGCCCTCCTCTCTAGCTGCCAGATATATTGCTGACACTGCTAATGCATTTGGCTGGTGCGTCAAATATAACAGTTGTGGAGAGAGCAACGCTGCATTTAAATGTTCAAAAACTCTTTTTGACACTGCCGCTGAGGATGCTCCAAGTGTTTGTAGATATGTAAGGGCAATGGTATGGGGCAGGGTGACGTGCGTGTTGAAGGCCAGAGTGCGCAGAACGGTAGCTTCCATCTTCATTAAAGCTAGCCGCTCTGCCTGGTAGCTCCCTTCTGATACGTAGTATGCTTCCGGGATCGGCTTTCCCGAGGGCGGATGTGGGTTGGTAAAATCCAACGGAGAAGCTTCTGGGGAGAGAAGGAACGCGAAAACATTGATAATTGAGCGTGGAGAAATTGGTGTAAAGGAAAGTTTCGCCATCAGATAGAGCGATGCGGCAGATATATCCTAGGTAGACGATGCGCAAAAATGGTTAGCTTTAGTTCATTCTTTCAGCTCCTGGGGGGGAAATATTTGTATTGTTTATTCCACAGGACGAGTACACAAAGAGCATCCAACCTTTGCAGAATAAACAGCAAGGCTGCCTCCTTCAGGGCCAACCCAAAATCTTGTGAAAACCACAATAGCTTTAGCGATCACATCCTGCGGAAGCTGTAAAAGGATTCCAGCCGCCTGGGTAAGTCGAACACCTGCATACCGAACGGATGTCTCCAAATCTATGGTAACACCGTCAAGTGAGGAGGATGAGGTCGCCAGTTGGGCAGCAGTCACAAGAGGATTTGATAGATTGTCCAATGAAGCCGCGGGAGCCATTGTGGCTTCTTGCGGTGAAAGTAGCTGCTGTCAATGACGATGGACGTCGTCGTTGTCGTCGTCGCTGCCGGACCTTGCTAACGCAGAGCTACAAAGGCAAGGAAGTCCGCGACGGAGTTGCTAGAGTTAGGGCTTAGGGCTTAATTTCCTGATTTGGGGCATCCGACTTCCTCGTCACAGATTGGGTACTTTATATGTCTATGGAGCATAACTAACTGACTATTTATAAGTTAGTTATTTATTTTCAATCCTCCACCCAGTCCAGATTAGGGTAGAACAGATATAGGAAAGCCATGGTTTGCACCAGATGCAAGCAACGAGCTCGGCGTTTCTATACGGCCCAGACTCAAACGTACTACGGATTGAGTAACTAGCATCAAGCTGAAACAGCGAAGGCTGGCAGCTCAGTTTGAACGATCATCAAAACCCGGGTTTCGAATCTTGAGAACGTGGGAGAGGCGGTCCTTCATTCAACTGTATGACGGATGGAATATCCGCTTTCCCTGTCTTGGTTGGAGCGGTATTCACCCCAGCCTCTCGATTAATCGCCAACGCGGCGAATTAGATGAGAGGGGAAACAGTCAGACCATGAGGGGTTAAAAGAACAAAGACATTGTTCCTTCATTTTACTTCTTCTCATATTATTTATTTCAACCTCAAACATTAATCGCAGTTGAATTTGACTCCCCCGTTGCGTCGTGCAAGCGGTATCTGCGAAGATCTGAATAGCCACTATCGCTTCTCGCGTACCTTGGCAGCGTGATCTAACTAACTACTCACCGACACCCTCAAGGACACTCAGGCAATTTTCTATCCTCACGATAGGTGAGCACGTTTTCCAGGTCGTCGCCTATCCCGCCCTTGGAGACCTCAACCTGCCTCGCGAGAAGGTTCTGGATTTCACCACCAGCTAGTTGTACTGTAACTACTTGTTAAGCCTGAAGCACCGGCCAATTGAGTTGAAGGCTTACGGCCCAATACGTGGTGATTGCAGGTTGGCAAATAAACAAACAACTAGTCTCGGTTTTCAAAGGTCGCTGGAATCATATTATCATTCCTCGTTCCCGCCCCTTTACCCAATGCTCAGCTCTGAATCGAAATTATCCCAAGCTTCTACAACAATCCGCAACCTGACATATTTCCACAACCGCTCCCCGAGCCAACTCCCACATTGTGAACTACCCTTTGACTCAACATATGGAGATAGTAGGAGTTCAATAGATGCTCCTCCCACAATTTCCACATTTAGGCCATCCCTCAATACCACAACGCACCCGAAAATAGAAGCAAACACAGCTGCGCACCGCCGAGCGAAAACCGAAACTTTTTCTCTCCCAGGTACCAGGCCTCATACCAACGGTAACGCGCACCTAAATCGCCTAGATGAGGTTAATCTAGAGCCAAATACCGAGCAAAAGATTACGTCGCCTAAATCAAGTCGCCCAGCGACGCTATTTACGGGTCTCTTCCAAGGGGAATCCGCACCGATTCGCTTCGGCCTGGTACGCTCGTACGCCGAGGAAGCCACAACCAACAACACGGACCGGCCCAATACAGCAATGGAAATGACAGAATCACTCCCGCCGCGAGCTCAAAGAAATTTCACGAAAAGGGTGAGCATGCCTTCCCCACTAAAACAAGTGAGCTCCTCAGCTCGGTTTTCTTTTTTCGGGCCCAGACCTCAATCCCAAGACTCGACTCGAGGCCAACTGCCTGAACCTGCAGACGACGAATTTCTAAACCTCGATGTGAGCTCAGTACTTTTCCCTTCTGGCTCGACGGATCTTCCAGCACCCGAAGCCCTCAAGAGTCTCCAATACAACGCGGAGCGTGTTATTGGTCAGCTCCAAGCTGCATATAAATTACGGACGTTTGCACTCCATGAAGCACTAGCAGAAAAATCATCACTGGGGGAAGAGCTGGAAGAGACGCAATCACGCCTGCTAAATATCAAAAATCAACTGAACGGGATGGCAGAGAAGGTGGACGAACAGGACAAAGCCATGAAAGCCATGGCAGAGGAACTTAAACTCGAGCGCCAGAAGCGCCAAGAAAATGAAGAAGAAGAGGCGCGGAAACGAAGTATTGTCCTTGTCAGAGAACCCGAACCAGCCCATTATCAGGATCACAGCCACCATCGCAGGTGCAGCTGCGCTGCCAAGGACGGAAGCAGAGACGGCCCTGAGACCATGTCTACAAAACGCCACAGCAAACGCTCCAGCTGTGGCACCTTCTACAGTGACTCAGGCTTCGAATCCGGCGATGAGAGCACTACCGAAAGTATATTCTCTCGAAAGTATGAAAATCTAGGCTCCCCCTCGACATTAGCGACAAGGGCCTCCGGCGCGTCGTCGCCAGATATCGGCTTCTCTATTACACCCCTCCCATCGCTTTCAGAGGACCAACTGGCACCACCACGGCCACAGCCACAACCACAGCAATCGACAGTGCAATCCAAACCCACAGCCCCGGCAACAAAACCCTCCGCTTACGACAGAGTGCTCAGGGGTATATCGTCAGCTAACCTTGGAGCTTCGTTTATGAGTTCAAGCCCATTTTCTACTTCCCGATGCTCCAACTGCCATGGAGCCACTGCGTCAGATGCGTGGGGGGTAGTCTCTGTACTTAAGGAGGAGAATCGGGGACTTAAGAATAGAATTGGGGAATTGGAGGCTGCAGTTGATGAGTGTATTACGTTGGTCGGGGGATGAGTAAAAGTGAATATTTTGTTCATGATGCTAAGAAGTTTTTGTTCATTATTATTTTCTTTTTTTCTTTTTTCTTTTTTTTTTTTTCGCATTTATTGGGAATGAGATATTTTAAGAATGAGAGTTGACGATGATATGGCGATATGTGGTAGGTATTATACATATATACGTTGTTTTATTTATGAGAACAGGACTGGATAATTATAGTGGTTTTTCCCTGTCTTGATAGCGTTGTGGAGATTGTGACTTTTTTATGCTACGGTTTATTATTTTCCTCTCGATAAATATTATTTGCCTTTCTTCTCTACTGTGTTTTGGATTATGTTCGCTGCGAGCAGCGAGCGAGGTTGGATTTGATTCTTTCAGTGATCACGAGAAGTTTTAACTAACTGGTTTTAATATTAGACAGCCTTCTCTACATTGTTTTATTTTTTTTATTTTTATTTTCTGTTTGTTTGAAGAGAGGATAGATCTTGATGCATTCTCTAAGAAGTTAACCCCTTGTATTTCCCCAAGATCTCCCCCCACTCGAAGACCTTCATTCACAAGATAAAACATAGTTATAACTCCTTGTCTACCAACACCCGATTACCCACCCACCCATATCTTTTTAGCACAGTGGTTCTTAACACCCCTTACATTAACGAAAACAACGATATATATCAACATAAACGCCCGAAAACTCCGTATCGGAATCACCTTCCCTCAGCCCCGGGTCCTCCGCGCCGCTCAATCCCCGGCCTCAACTCCAAAATCCCGTTGCACTTCCACATATCTAACTCCTCTCGCTTCCGCAATCAGGCCCATCAGCCCCTGCCCAATATCCTTGATCTCATTGTACTCATGTAACAGACGGATATGTCGCTGGACAATGGCGGCGGCGTCCTTATCTGTACCCGTGCCTTGGGTATTCGGGGGACTGCTGTGGGTTAGTGAATCGGGATTGTCACATTGGATAGCTGGGGTCGGTAGAGCTGATAGCTAGATTACACACTTTAGTTTGACCTGAGCTTCGGAGAGGAGAGCTTCAGTCTTTGAGATTTCGGAGTGGAGGGTAGAAATTTTGGAGGTGAGTGATTTCTGAGGAGCAGTATTAGAAATGTGCCGATATGGGATTTATATAGCATGCGTTAATAGTAGTTGGGGGGTTGCTAACAATCATTTTTTCATGCTTGTCACTGTACCGACTGGGAGTGGGACTCCCCAGGAGAGATGGATCAGGCTCCGGTCTAGATAAGGAGCTCGCTGGTGATGCTGTTGGCCGTGGGCTTGAGGTTGCTTGCTCTGTGTTTGCCACTGGAATGTGATCCAGGGGATGAGCCATTATTTGTTTTGGTCGGCTCAATTAAATAATCAGGTTAGGTTCCTCCGTTTTGTTCGAAGATATTTCGTACTTTGCTCTGGGATTTCAAACTTATCAATATAAAATTCCTTGAACAATCCCGATAGCCCAACTAGGAGAGAGGGACAGCAAAGGGGTGCAATGTAGATCACGGTACTCATAACATCTCTAGGAATTGGAGGTAGCAAGCAAAGTCGCGGGAAGGCAAAATGATTTTTTATAGGAGTGAAGAGTTCAAATGCGGACACTCTCATCTGCTAATGTGAGATGCGATTTCGGAGGTTCTGCAACAAACAAGCACTTGGACAAAAACGGCCTCTGTTCATGATAGCTTATATAGCAGTACATACATGGAAATGAAAATTATAACACGATTTGGTCGTGATTTCCCTTCACCAACGAAAGTGTAGTGAACCGATTCAGAAACTACCAATTGTTTTCACATTTTGTGAAGCCTAGATCAATGATGAAAGATCCTGGATGCGGATGCAGTGGTAAAACCGCTGAGGATTATGGGATGGAGGTTCCAGAGTTCCAGAGCTGATATTCTGATATTCTCAGGAAACTTTGGAAGGCGCTAGAATCACGTGTGCGTTCCCTGGCTAAAGGCCCTGACCTGATCTGATGGAATGACGGAACTTCGAGCCGCGTTTCCGTGCAAAGAAACAAGAAGTATTCACAACTTCCAACGATAAAACGTCGACAACTCTACGATGCCTGGTCCCGGTTCAATTTGCACTTAATCACCCGGGGTCACACCGCAATGAGGCCTCGAAGTTCCACACCTTCATTTCTTTCCGTGGCTGTATCGGGAGTGGAATGACCCACCTCACCTGCGGACACTTAAATATCCCTAATCGGTGTTCGTGATAAGATACATCGACCTTATTCTTTCAAGATATTGGATTTTCATTTATGATTGTTTTGCTTCCGTTAAGCTAGACTTTGTTGGGTCACATTTCTTACCGACAATGTTGAAGTTGATGGTTTCTGTGCCAGTTCTGCTCTGGCACTTCGCGAGACATACACTTGCCCATGGAGACCATTCCCAACTCCCGGAAGGCCAGGTCATTTCAGGGGATCCGCTCGTGCGTTGGCAGTGCCCAATTGTTTGTACCTAGATGTAGAATTTTCCTTCTAACTCATACTTTTCCCTCAGGATTCGATATTATGGATACATATCATCCTAATGACCGTTGCGTTCGGACTGATATTTCCCACTGGGATGGTACTTGGGGTGAGTGTTGTCAGTTCCCAAACACTGCGATATTGGATCTAACATCATCTCGTCTTTCTTAGATCACCCGGTCACGCTGGCATGTTCCTGTACAGATCGTTGGCAGTATCATAGCGATTCTGGCGTACTTTATGGGCCATTTACACAAGGGACGGCAGTTTTCCAAAAATATCCACGCCTCGTTCGCGAATGTGTTAATGATCATGCTTGTTGCGCAAGTTGTCCTGGGAATCTATCTCAAACTTCACTTATCGCGAGGCATTCATGGCAGAATACGGCAGTATGTTGTTGGAACTCATGGCGTGGTGGGCAAGGTGATGCCTGTGGTGAGCTGGGTGCAAATGATATTCGGCGGGATAACGGCTCTAGGATTCTGCCGTAAAGACCACCTTGGACAATGTCTTGCGCATTTTATCATGGGCAGTGCGTTTATCGCGTACGGAATACTTCTCACAATCCTTCTCCTTGTCGGGCAATACTGGCTTCGCCGAACTGGCCGGAGCCAAGAGTTCTTCGATTCCGTGGTTATTGCGGTTTGGGGATGCATAAACACCTTTACGGAACACCGCTGGGGACAGCCCTGGGCTCACAACGATATCGAACACACAAGCATGGGCATTGTTTGGTGGTGTGCCGGGTTGCTTGGTATCTGGTTGAGCAGAAAGAGAAATGGCCAACCCAAAAGAAATTTGATCCCGGGCGTAGTTATTCTGCTTACAGGATATTCCATGTCTTCCCATCAGCAACATCTGATGCTTAGCACCATGGTTCACGCATTCTTCGGCTATACGTTGATGGGTGCAGGGGCAGCAAGAATCATAGAAATTGCCTTTGTCTTGAAAGACCGGAGCACCCTGAGCCTTGATGGAACTGATCCCAACAGCTTTCAATATATCACTCCATTCGTAAGTTCTTGACGAGGCACTGCACTTCACTCGCGGGAAGCTAACACAGTGTAGCTTCTATATGCCTCTGGCTTCCTTTTTATGGGCGCCACGGAGGAGCAAATGGAGCTTATATCAAATGCGGGTATATCTCACGTTGCCTATGTCCTTGTTTTCTACAGCATCGCATTCATCCTATTCCTATGTAAGTCAACACTCGTCAAAACGACCCGTTTAGCCTCAAATTTGTATATTTTACTCATCTAGCCTGTTAGTCGTCAACGTCCTCATTCACGTGTATGCGGTCCACGCGTGGCCTGAGACTGCAAAATACAACGGCAGTAGGCCGTCGTCCCGTTCTCGCCGGCTACGTGGCCATCCTCCTACCTCTACCCCTCACGGTAATGGCCGCATGGGCCCGAACGGCCATATTCGTCGCCAATCTCAAATTCAACATATTCACGATGCAGAGGAATTTGAGCTAGAAGGCCTGATAGGCGGGGCTGATAAAGACCAGGACGATGATAGTCCCATCAGCACGCCGCTCGATAATGGGGCCAAAAACCTAGAACGGGCGCCCTAATTAAGGAAATATGTGATTTTAGCCGTTATCAAAATGAGCTTCTTTCCCTTCCCGACAAAACGAACATGACTTAAAACATCATGACGTCCATGTGCGTTTTGCAATGTCGGCTTTATGTAGCTTGGTTTCCCCGCCAATATATGCATATCGTTTTATTATTCTCCGAGCCTACGCCTAGTCTGTGTTTTGTATATATGTAAGTTTCTTCATTTAGATAGCTGAGAGATGGAAGCTCAAGGTGGAATAGGTAACCAACCTTGCAATATACTGGGCTTTGTCTATCGCTGCAGCAACGATATAAGTCTTGGAAATATTGTTACTAGCCAAATGAGAGTGGTGAACAGTGCCCACTTAATTACTGATCTTCTCATCCAAGCATGCACTTCGTCCTTTTTTTTTGTCTTTCCTTGTTAATCAGCTGCTTCTTCTGTACATAACTTTCCGTACTTCCTTTGCCTTTGTAGGACATGTTTTTCAGCAAATGAGTTTGATTGTTCTCTACTTCTTTGCCCTCGTCGAGTTTTGTCTTATTTTTTATTTCTAGCTTTTGAATCGTATTTCTATGTAAATAACCATTAGACATAGCCTAGAAAGGGAATATGAGGGTGAGGATTTCTCCATATATATTAAAAATTATATTTTCTTCTTTGTTGAAGCAGACATCTTGTACATTGTTGAACCCCCTACTATGGGTTTTGGATCTCTCAATTATCTTCTAAGAAGGATGGAGAATGCCAACACAACGAGCATATCCCCACCCGTATTCTATTATATATAGCTTTGGCTTCTATCTTCTTCGCAAGCTGCTTACCCGCTTCCCTTTCGATTTTACCCCATTCAGCTAGATCTCTTCAGAGAGTTTACAAACAGATTCGCCTCCCGAAGCGATAAGCAATCAGATAATATTTTCCACTGAAAGTCTAAACGCCAAGGGATGGTTCCATGTGGAAAACGGGAGGAAAAGATAGTAAAAACATAAGTTATCTGATCGGCGGCGCGATTTGTGCAAAAGAAGTATGTTTCGAGCCGCATTGTACCGTCCGCACCAAGATCTGTCCCATTTCTATTTGGGATGAGAGACAGATCCATCGTGAGTTTCAATATGGTAGATGCATAGAATGCCCTCTTCGTTTGACACTCGCGAGAAGTGGACATTTAAAAAAAAAAAAAAAAAAAAAAAACAATGGATGGACTTTCGCAAGATTGCTAAAAGTGTAAGGGAGCAACCTGACTTTAGCCCAACCAAACGAAATGCGGGATAGAATTTGGCTCCATCAATAGGCCTATTCTTTTCAGCTGTTGTCAAAACGGCGGGGGGCTGGTGCGTTCATAGGGTGACGCTGCTGATTCAATCCTCGGGGAAAATCGGATGAAGGGAGTAAATGGGAGCAACGCTCCGTTCGCCATCAAACAATAGCAGATTTTGCAATGGTTGTTCCCTCGCACCTAACACATTGATGACGTCTTGAGCAAGCGAGCCACCCAAGAATGCGGACACAGGACTCAATTCACTTCCTAGATTGTCAAGGAAGCTTCGTATGAATTCCGCTGTGAGTGTGGATATGTCCAGGCGTAGTTCTAAATGGCGATCATTGGTGAGGCGAATAAATGTCTCCAAATCATCCTTTGCTGGCAATCTCCCGTTGTTTTCTCGTTGAAATTCCCAGAGCGCTCGTAGGCAGGTGAGAAGTGGTGTTACCTGCAAGCGCTTGCGGCGGACTTTGGTAAATTCTTGAGGTAGAGGAGAGGTGTTTGAAAGCATGAGTGGGCAGTAGACTTCGCGCTTTGTTATCATTTCAATCATCTTGTCGTTTTCTTTCTTGGTTTTAACATCTAGGACGGTCCTCGTCGGTGTCTCGATAGCTGCGGCGGCGACATTTGATTTTTCTCGTTCGATCACGAAGTCATGGGTGATGAGATCTGAGAAGATGTAGCCGTAAAAGCCGTGGACTCCTGCCGCATAGAAACGACAGTTGGCGACCCGACAGGCATTGTTTATGAAGCAGATAGTGCCGTAGTCGAGATCTGCTGCAATGGTCACATCGTACGACGCAAAGAATGCCGGTGGTTTTGATCTGATATCGATTGTTTCAACAACCACATCTACCCTTGGGTTCATCTGTATAATTTGAGGGGCAGCCGCTTCTGCTCGCTACGCACATGTATTAGCTCTGTTTTAAATTCATTAGGAATTGAAAGGAGCAACATTTTGGTTGATATGTTCATCTGATAGAAAGAACTGAACCCCTATATCTTCCTCTTTGACGATAGCGTTATCCACGATCGTGAGAGATCCAATACCGGCCAGTACAAGGTTTTTGGCGATTTCCGCCCCAAGTGACTTGATGGTTACCAGAAGGATTTTCGAAGTTCGGAGCCTGTTCCAATATCCCAAGTCAGAAAGAACAGGCTTATATTTAAGCTACGGGGATGTAACGCACTTTTCCTGTGCCTTGACGCCCCAGAGCCGAATTTGGCGGTCATAGAGAGCAATTTCATCTTGATTAAGTCGTTAGCAACTCTGCCCCGGTTCCAGGAACAAGTTAGAAAACTCACCAGCTGTTATCTGGTTATTCGTATTATTTGACGCCATACTGGCAAGGAAATAATTTCAAATGTAGATATTGCAGCACAACTACTCCGTATAACTATAAGAAATTGATGGAGCCTATGTTATTCACTGAAGAACGAGCAAGGAGCAAATCAAAGATCTCAATGTTCAGTGTAAAAAGCTGGGGCTTTGTTCCAGTCGAATTTTTTTTTCTGTCGCGCCAGCAATGGAAACCACCAGCAAACGCATTGGCCCGCAAGCTTGAAGCTGTGTTATGGCTGTTTGTTGAAATCTCTCAAGATGCCAAACCCGTCAATGTTGAGGCCGGTCACGTGGACCTCTTGCGGGCGGCGGCACGGGGCAGGGCTAAGGCGCTTACCTCAGCCGCCCGCTTGGCCTGTGCGCCAAAGACGCCTATACCTGCCTAATCGGCTCGCGGCTTGAGGCCGATCTGACCTTCTTCCATCAACAACACCAAGTTTCCTCTGTCAGCGCTCACCATCCCATCAGAGTCTGACAAACCTGCTGTGACTTTGAAGCAGGTTTTATCGTCATACACATCCTGAAGACACAGTATGCGTGATCCTGGGCCTCTTATCTAATCGGGATTTTGGGCTCACCCGCCGCATGTTTCGTTACCAGCGAATTTACGCCCTGATCTTTCATTAACTATCACAGCGCCTCTCGTTCACCCCAAAACGCGCTATTCCGCGTTCGATTTTCAGTTAGAACAGTGATCCGTGTTCTCACCGGACGACTTCACTCACAATGGTATGTGCGCTACGATGACCCGCCGCAAACACTTACAGTTTAGTTTCTATTGATATCACGAAAACTTAAAACGATTCTTACTCAAATATCCTTTGATCGAACTATTAATTCATTGTATAGTCCGGCAACTTCGATTTTCCCACTGCCTCTGATGGCAATAATCGGCCGGAAACCCCCGCTGATCGAACACAGTATCGCATGCGTCTAAACACACGACTCCAGCATTTGCAAGGCCTACTTGATGCTCGAATGTCCCGCTGGAGCGATCCCGTCCGCGAATACACCTATAACGTTCTTCGGCGTGAATTACAAGTCTTAGATGACAGGGTTGATCGTCGTTCAGAGGTTGATACCGAGGACACGGAAGAACGAATTGCACTTCAGAGTGCTATAGAGCCAGACCGACGCTCCCCTATAACCGGGCAACGACGTCCACGGATTGATATAGTAGATCGCCTAAGCATGCTAATGGGCGCGACGGATGCCGATAGCCGGGGAAACTCGTACCACGGCGAACTAGATAACCTTAGACGAGCCGCGGCGCGTATTTCGGGGCCAGAACTCTCTATAGGGTCTAGTTTTGACAACACTATTTCGCCAGCTAGACTTTCAACCATGGCTGCCAGGGACTGTCCCACTGAAGGCCATGGCGATCGATGGAGACCTAAACGACGTAAACTAGACTCCAATGATGAGCGGGAGGGAATCCGTGGGTTTAGATACGGGCACTACGGTGAAGTTGTTCCCGGTGCTTTGGAGATGGAGATTGTCAGCTGTGACGGAGGAACGTACGAAGCGAATGGGGAAAATTCATCTCCAGAAAATGTTCTGCTCAATGACTCCTCGGTATACTGCACGAGAAGCGACCGCTGCAACTTGATTCTTCGCCATCAAGGGGAGACCCCATTTTGTTTAAGGAAGATTGTCATTAAGGCTCCCAAATCGGGGTTTGATGCTCCGTAAGTGATTATTACCCAATCTAGCAAAACTGACTGCAAAATATTTACTAGAATACACATCTATTGTAGTATCCAAGAAGGGATGATTTTTGTCTCCATGACGTTGGATGAACTCCTGGAGCGCACCGCCCAGTATCAAATCGTTTACTCCCCATCACCCCTCCGACCTCGTCGGCGACGACATCTGAGGGGTAATTTTTCCCATCGATATCTTTCTTCAACAAGATCACCGTTACGATCTCTGGAAAGGACCACATTAGGAGGGCCAGGAAACTGGTCCGACTCTGAGAATGAGCCCACGCCTCCGCCGTCCTTCGATTCTGGACCTATTGTTTATCGCAGCTCCTCCTCTGATTTCCGTATTACAACCCATTTTGATGATAAGTCCGATGATGATATCAATGACGAATATCCTGAAGAGATCCCTTCGTCAACCGACATTGACAGAATGCTCATGGAACAAATCGAATCTGAAATGCGTTGTCCTGATTTAGACGTTGATAGCGATGAGACTTCTGGGTGGATCAGTGGCTCGCTAATTCGAGAACAACGTCGATTTCGACGTCGAATGAGGCAGGCTATTAGTGATGTAGATGCAACCGGCACGCTTAATAGCAGGGGTAGACGGCGGCTAGTCCCTAGTCTAATTGAACCTTCATCAACACTCCGGAACAGAGACACCTTGACTAGTGGGAGCAAGCCAGCCGCTTCTGATCCGGAAGTCATGAAACCGCATGCACGTTTCTTTATTGAGAAGGAGAAGAGTATGGTTAGCATCAAGTTTGACCCATCTGTGTAAGTAAAACTTTCCTGCCCAGTCCTTATGCCCGTCACTTGCCATCCCGCCGCATTTGATGTTAATAACCTTGAAACACAGATCCGGAAAATTCATTCTCATCAAGCTGTGGAGTCCATTTAGCGGAGGTAATATCGACATTCAAAGTGTAGTTGCCCACGGCTTTGCCGGCCCCAGATTTTTCCCTTCTATGAAATTCAGATAGCTAGATCTTCCTGTCTCTTCTCATCCACCCCTTTTCCTTGTACGCCCATTTGTTTTCCGCCTCATTATTTCTTTTCTTCATCTTGGTATCGCCCCAATTATCGGTATTACTGTTTAATTGGGTATAGGAGTCCCGACGAGTGTGCTTTATTTTGCTATATGTTGATAACACAATCATACCGATTGTACGGCAGTTGAAGTCGCTCTAATCCCGATCCTAACATCGGGAGACGCTTTTTGTGGCGTTGATTAGCCGCAGCTGGATCGTTTAAATCTTGGCGTGTGTACAGGGATAATTTTAAGCATAAAACCTTGTTTACGCCTCCGTAATACTCGACGTTCAGTGTGATGAAGGCGTATCCAAACCCATTATTTTGTAGTCTTTATTAATAATTATTAATTACAATGTGTTGGCCCTCTCAGAAGTTGGAAGGATCATAACCCCACAGTTTTCCTCCCCCAGTTACATCCTGGACAGGAAAATTCTCCACATTTTCTCGTACACGTTTTTCTTCTCAGGTCAGGCCAGGGGCCAGGATTCCACCGGCTGATGTTGTCGGCAGGGACCTAGAAGTACCCGCCTTCCTGCCTGGTCGGCGAAGGAAGGGCCAGCAAAAGGGAAAATAATATGTCCCAAGGTTCTGGGTGTTTGGCGGCTGGGTTGCGCGAAATCTAAAACGCCGCTCTTTCTAGATTCATGACGTCTTTAATGTATGTACTGTACTACTTATTGTACCTCATTTTTCCAGCCATGTGATGTGGAAAATATCAACGAAAGTTGATCTTCCCCGTCCCGGCAATCCCCGCATATCTGTGGTGGGGATCTCGCTTCGTTTCTGGATGCGGCACCGAAGGAGAAAATATTACCAATCTTCTACCACCCGCCTAGGACGCCCAGCCTACCTGGGCGAAGCGGTGGCTACTTAGTTTGTCATATGTCGGTCTGGGGAAGGCGGATATGGGGGTTAGATTCATTGGCCTGGACCAGATAGAGCCGACCGCCAGTAATATGAGTTGCTGTAGGCAAGGGTTTCGGGGAAAGGGATGACTATATAGACGTATCCTTAATATAAAATTTAGGTAAAATTCGTTGCTCTGCCGCAGAACAAAAACAATGGGCTACCAAACAAGGCAAAAGTTTCAGCTTGCGTCGGAGCGAGGATACTTTGGTTGTATCACAACACAAGCCCGTGAGAAGGTGAGAAGGTTGAACCAGGGTACAAGGTAGGAGTCCTCACTCATCCCACAAACTCGGCCTGTACAAGGTTCTCCTCATGGGGTACACAAAACTTCCCTCGGCCTCCTTCCGCCGAATCAGCTTTGCGTCTTGCTCGCCATCCGTGGCACAAGCTTCTTTAGCGGCATAGGTGGTATGTTTTTCGGCTCTCAAAGCTTGGATTGTTGAACTTAATAAAGTTCTACTTCCCCCATTCTTTCCAGCTTCGATTTTCTCCCTCTCCTTTTTCTTCATGTTCGTTGGTTTGTCTCTTATCGCTTCTTCGTTTCTATGCCCAGGGACAACCCACTTCACCTAGCTAAGGCGCGGTGAAATACACCCCCTCACATTCTTCCCGTCGGATTCCTGCATCTGGACCGGATCGACAGCTAAAGGCACATGGAAATGGAGGTAGATCAGGAGCGGAAAGGTACGTTCCAGGCGTCTGTTATTCCATTTCGATGATGTTAATTCTGGTGTATAGGAGATGCGGAGTCCGGAAGTTCTTGCGTTGTCGTCCAGGACTTGGACCTCGATGCCACCCTCGTAAACACCACGGAGAGAAGGTTGATGACCAAAATCGACTTGCACCTGCTCCCCGTGCTATGTGTACTCTATCTGCTTGCATTCTTGGACCGGTAAGCCCAACAGGCGAGCTACAAATCTTGGATGATGGCGTATAAACGTTCTATCATTGGGGGGGAGGAGAGCAAGCTAACGGCGGCTTGGTGGCATACAGTGTCAACATCAGCAATGCTGTCATCTTTGGGCTGAAGGAGGAACTTGGTATTAAGTCAGGCAACAGATATAATGCCGCTCTGACTATTTTTTTCTTACCCTACATTCTACTTGAGGTATGGATCAAATACTACATTCGCTGCTGTGGAAAATGGGTTAGCCCGTTATTCTTTTCTACGAAATCAAGCTAATTGTGGTATGGCTTTAGATTCCATCAAATGTTCTACTAAAGAAACTGAAGCCTCACCTATGGCGTAAGTTCCTATGCACGATCAAAATTTCATACACATCTGAAAGGATGAGTCTCATAATTGACTAATTCCCTACATTATAGTTTCGGGATGCATGTTTGGCTTCGGACTCACCACTCTTTGCCAGGGCTTGGTACAGAACTATGCAGCCCTCCTAGTAACGCGCTTCCTACTTGGTGTCTTCGAAACTGGCATGTTTCCAGGATGTATGTCATTTGAGTTCCAGTTGAAGATGGCCACCCACTTTCGTTTCCGGAGACCCTCATAGAGCATAACGATACTAATATATCAACAGGCTTCTACCTCCTTGGAATGTGGTATCAGCGCACTGAAGCACAGAAACGGTTCAGCTTCTTCTTCAGTTCCACTACTCTCGCCGGTGCCTTTGGAGGCATGCTCGCAAGCGCCATCGGAAAGATGCACGGTACGCGCGGTTATCTTGGATGGCGATGGATTTTCATCTTGGAAGGGCTGTTGACATGCCTCGTCTCCTTTGCGTTTTTCTTCGTGATCCCTGACTTCCCCGAAGACGTGAAATGGCTGAATGAAGAAGAACGGTCTTTCATTCGGGCTAAACTTGCCAAGGATGTTGGCGCTGCAGGACACGAGATGTCGGTGGGTGTGAAGGACGTTCTTGATGTCTTCAAAGACCGTAAGTATTCATCGGACCAGAGAAGGGAAACCTCCTGACAAAACCTTAAGACTAATGCACCCATAGTTAAGATTTTCGTTGGCGGGTTTATGTACTTAGGCCTGATTGTCCCTGCATATGGTAAATAACGCTCTCTTCTCCACCCCCTACTCAATCCTTCTACATAGTTACCCTAACCAATCTCTTGCATATAGGATACGCCTACTTCGCTCCGACCATTATAAAGACGTACGGCTATTCCCGTAAGTAACTCCACCCATTGCCCTCACACGAAGGATCGACCAAAATCTTCGTGCAATACATGCCCTCTAACATCTCCCCTCACAGCCATTCAAACCCAACTCTACTCTATCCCTCCCTGGGCCGCCGCCTTCTGCTTCTCCCTCGCTGTCGCATACCTATCTGACCGTCTGCGCAACCGCTTCGTCTTCACCGTCATCCCAACTTGCATCGCGATTGCGGGCTTCGCCATTCTCCTTAATGTGCACGGCAAAGAAAATCGCTCGGTCCAATATGGTGCCCTGTTCTTGGTTACTTGTGGCGTATTCAGCGCCATGCCAATCATCATTTGCTGGTACGCTATGAACCTTGGCGGTCATAAGCGCAGGTCTATCGGCATCGCATGGCAGATTGGATTTGGAAATAGTGAGTTGGCAACCTTCTTCTTCTTCTTCCCCCCTGCCTGTTATGCGTTAAGCGCTTCACAGCGTGCACTTTGAATTTTTCTTCACTTCTCTCTCTTTTCTTTTCTTTTCTTTTCTTTTTTTTTTTTCTTTTTTTTTTTTTTTGGGTAGGACAAGAATACTAATAACCCTGAAATAACAGTCGGTGGAATCATCGCAACCTTCGCGTTCCTCGAGAAGGATAGGCCCGAGTTCAGAAATGGGCACACAATCAGTGTATCATTCATCTGTCTCTCCTCTGTCAGCTGTATCGCTTATTTCTTCCTCCTGCTACACCGTAACCGTAGCCGCGACAAGCTGGCTGCAGTTGATACTGCAGGAGTTCCCGATCAAGCAGCTATCGATCCTCATCTAGGTGATTTGAGTCCCTCGTATAGATATCAGTTGTAAATTGCGGTCCTTTTTTTTTTTTTTTTTTTTTTTTTTTTTTTTTTTTTTTCTTTTTTTCAGTCACACTAGTGATTTGGTTTTTTGTGGATTTGGCAGTTGGATGATGATATGTATAATATACACAAGGCAACCAATATATTCCATGCAACCGCGCCCTAGAAAGAAAGAAACCAATGTCACTTTATCTGGGAAATCTCGCTCAATCAGAAATATTGCGCTAAACACTAGTTAACTAGTTGTTCGGAGGCTTTGGTGTTTCCCCAGATATGAAAAATAGAAGAAAGAAGCACATTTCAATCATGCGTCAAATACGCTCTAAAATTCCGATGAGCGCGCTTGCTGATATACGTAGATGTACATACATGGACATCCATACATCTGTAGAGATCCTCCAAATCCTCGCCGGTAAGATGTTCGTTCGTGAGTATACCACGTTGTTGCCTCCCTCTCAAAGCCAAATATCCGCCATAACTTTGAGGGGTTAAGGGGTGTTGTTCTAGCCCCCCGAAAAAACGCTTGGGTTAGAAAACCTTGCGTGTACAGGATCCAACAATCAACAATCCGACATAATTTGCTCATGGCATTCTCCCGAAAAGGGAGAACAAAACTAGGGCACCAAAGAGATGAGATACTAGTCATTGTTATGTAGAAAGGATCTAGGAGACGGAATTCATAGATTAATGGCATGCCACTGCTCAAAACCACCTAGGATGTTGACGGGCGAGGTGATGAAAAAGGAGCTAAATTGTTTTGATACTATGTCCAGTACATCGTCTTTGGGATTTCCTTTCCTGGCGATACATATATCCGGTTGTCATGAAGGTAGCAGGGGCTGTTGAGCTGGTAACGTACGTCCAGCATGAGAACAAGGCTAGTGCATGGAATGATAGTAAACTCTTAAGATGTCGAACGGGCGAAATAGAAAACATCCCTCTATCAGAAACTCAAATTCATATCCAGCCAAAATATCGCAGGAAAAATCCACCATCACCGTATATCACATTAATAATGACCCAAAAAGAATTCAACACAAATCGCTTCAAAATGTACGGCATAACACGTCCATGAAATCCGAGTAACCCAAAGAAAGGTCATAAGCATATCAAGATGTTGGCTCCGTGCATATAAGACCACCATCAGAAACGACAAGGCATACATTTACTTATACGTTCGGACCAGCCTGCACCACAAGCACACTCGCTTGAACCGCATTCGAAGTAGCGGCCAAGGCTTCCCCAAGCGCACCAAGCGCCCGCTTTGCTTCCGAGCCCATCTCCCCTGAGGAGGACAGTCCTGCGGATGTGAGCGTGCTAGTAGCCACGTTGGTACGTCCAACGATGACAAGGTCGCCGGTATTTTCCTTCGATTTTCCAACATCGGCTTGTGCGGCATCTAAGACGGCGGTGACAATAGTTGTTGGTGTTGTTTTGAGATTTTGGAAAATTACACGGGAACTGAGTGCTTCAGGTACAGAGTCACGGAGAGCGTTAAAGAAGGAATTGTCGGCATCCTTATCCTGAGAGCTTGGCGTTGGTGGCACATTGGCATCTTCTTGGGTAGAAGATGCGGGGCTAACCTCGTCAGTCGTATCAACATGCATAATTGTGGCAGTTACGGTCGTGTTTTTGGCGAGCTGGAGGACGAGGCGGAGGGCCACTTTATCATCAGCACCTCCAAAGTAAGGAAAGAAGATATGGTGTCCTTGGTTCAGTGCTGGAGACAATGTAATATCAGCCGATTTGTAGACACTAGTGCCGCTGACGGAACGGCTCAAATGTCCTGGCTGTGGCCTGGTTAACTGTGGTCCGCCGAAGCCTTTGTTAACGAAAACTCCGACAGGGCATTTAGCATTCTTTAGAATATTAGACACAAATGCAGTGTGAGGGCCAGTCGAGAATTTCTCTGTTTTATCGTCGAAAAGGAGAATCTGGTGCTCGCTCATGCCTCCGGTTTCGCTCCAAGGGAGTAGAATAAAGTCCGATGAGAGATCACGGGCCTTGTTGACAATCGTCTCGGCATACGCGTGCTCAGGAGAAATGACGACAGCACCGGACACAGTAAGTGTGTTCAGCTGGCTAAAGGTTCTAAATGTATTCAAAATTGGGTCGCTGAAGCTATAATCACGGGCTTCTGATACCTTCATTACGCTAGAATCACGGTCGGTAAGTTCAATTAAACGAAGGCCATGAACTTCCACAGGGCGTTCTTTCTTGGAGAACAAATCGATTTTCTTGTCTTCATGGCGATGGTGGACCTTACTACTAGGAGTTTTTGAACCATCCCCGAGACCCAAGAGAGAGACAAAGGTAAAAAGCCCTGCCAAGTTGTCGAGTCGCAAATAAACGAGGAACTTCTGGGTTGATGAACCTCGTGCTTTCCGTTGCGCGATATCTGAACTGTTGGATGGATCACTTTCCGATGAGATTTCATTTCCGTCCCAATCGACTTCTCCACGCCTCCACCTCTCCATTCTATCCCGATACGATTCCGGATAAAGGTAGAGAGTAAGTGGTGTCGTAGCAAATGTAGTAGCAAGTGCCATGACAACAAAAATCGTAAAAGTTCTGCCGCTGAGAATCCTGGCTTGGAGACCGATATTCTATACAGTTCGTAAGCCAACGACTTTTGAGTAAACAGAGTGATGACTGTGGCGCGAAGCTTGCTTACCAGGACAATAAGTTCAACCAACCCCTTACAGCTCATTAGCACACCGATGGCAGCACTTTCCCTCCAAACCAGCCCATTCAGTCGAGATGCAAACATCCCTCCAGCAACTTTTGCTGCAAACGCGATGACTATAACGGCGATCACGTAACCCCATGTCATTGCCGTGTCAAGTAGACCAATATTTGTGTTCAGCCCTGAAAGCGCGAAGTATAGCGGGAGGAAAACGGCTCCTATCAAATCCTCGATCTTTTCTGTGGTTTTGATGGCGAACCCTCCTTCATGAGGACAGATGAGTCCAACTAAGAACCCACCAAAAATTGCGTGCACACCTATAACTTGAGTAAAGAATGCAGCACCCAGGGCGAGAAGTAAAGTCAACGCGACGACAGACTGATCAGGGCCATTATGTAAACTGCCAGTGCGTTTCAGGTACCAGATGAACACCGGCCGCACAGCGAAAGTCAAGAATAGGACGAATGCAACACAGGTCAGCAAGACCCATAAGGCAGTCAATCCAGTGCTTGCGTTGACGAGGGCAACGCAGAGAGCAAGAAGGATCCAGCCAACAACGTCATTGCCGACTCCGGCAGAAAGCACGATCTCGCCTACTGTCGTGTTTAGGAGTTCAAGCTCCGTCAAAATACGACAAAGGACAGGAAAAGCCTAAGAAGAAAAGAGGGTTACACCTGCGAACGAACCTAAGCAGCATTTGGAAAGGGAATAAACTTACAGTAATAGCCATCGCGATACCTATGAAAAGCATGTAGGTTCCAAAATTAATTGGAGCCAGAGCCGGGTCTCCTCTGAATTCGTTGTACAAACCATAGGCAATTGCACAACCGAGTCCGAATGGTAGGATCATACCAGCGGCAGACACGCTTACAGCAACCCTCCAATTGCTCAACATAGAGCGCATATTGGTTTCGACTCCGATCATAAACAGATAGAGCACCAGGCCGAGGTTGGCAACCAGATTGAGGTTTGGAATTGATTCTTCGGGGAAAATGGCATCGCGGAATCCAGGTATTCTACCCATGACAGATGGGCCTAATATGATGCCGCCAACGACCTCAGATATGACTCGGGGCTGGCGAATTTTTGACAGAGGGTAGTGAAGGGCACGGCATATGAGAATGATAAGGCCGGCCTTGGTGGATCGGGGTAGTATTATTAGCACAGCATCCTCCAAGAAGCATAGAATCCTAGATAGTAAATAAACGTATTATTGGCGACTCACTTGAATAATGAAGAGGGTAATGGGGTTCTTGGGATCATATTTCGACGGATTAGAATGATCAAAAATTCCTCCCTGAGGGGTTGCTCTGGTCGTAGGTGTTGGGGAGGCCATCACCGTCATGTTTCCAGCTGAAGATGCCATGAGTGCCCGCAAAGAACCTGGTTCGAATGAACCCTAGGCAGCTTCAGACAGAAAACAAATGACTGAAGAAATATGAATATAGGAAGAGGAGAGAGAATAAATAGAACTCTTCTTTCCAGCCTCCCTTTTTAAGGAGCTCTGCTGGCAGCAGAGGAAGGGGGGAGTAGGAGATTGGAAGACGACGTCAACAACAACTCCATGTCGAGCTTTCTCACCACCCACCACAGCTCAGCGGGCATGCTTGCTTTGAGTGAGCTTATCGTTCTCGTTCGGTGGCGGGTTGGTTAGTTAGTTAGCTAGCTCGGAGCTAGTTACAGAATGATGCCATTTTCTGGGTTGGCATAATGAAAGGACCAGACAGAATCCCGCGCTTAAAAAATATCTGTGAGCTAAACTAAAACTCCCCCCCTAGTGGCCATTCAGAGTAGTTAAGAGTACGGAGTACGCGAGTATAATTATTAATAATACTTGCATGTGGTGTGGTGTGGGTGGGTGGCCTCCGCAGCCAAGAATGCAAATGCCTGCCTTACGGAGCTCCCCCCTCTAACCACCGCCTATAACGTTAGTTAAGTACCCCCCCCCATATATCAGGCTCAGGCGGGCTCTCGGGGCGTCTTCCCGCTAGTGGGTCCGGGGGTTAGTTTCGGGCATTCCTACCGACATACATGATCACGCGCCAACTCAGTCCCCCCAAGAAGAAGCAACGAGGGATTTACGGATATATCGATGCTGATCATTCCCGCCCCATCTCTAAATGGCGCTGATTCTGAATTTGCCATTGCTCCTGTGCTAACTACTCAGCTTCTTTGCAATTGTCCATGAAGAAATGCCTGGCAATGACATGCGAATCGCATTACTTATAATGTTAACACAATCTCGTGATGCATATACACGGAGTAGAAGTATGAGAAATACCAAACCAACCGGCCAGAAAAGGATCGTGATCCTCACCTCCGACTCTCACTTCCCTCTCTAGACCACCCCACCCCCATACGCCGATACAAAGTCACTATACACACGGTATATTTCCACCAAAGTCAGGTATCCCGAACGTGAACCTCTCACGTTAAAATGCACTCTGTACGCTTAAGAAGAAGAGGGACAACACTCCGAGGATTAGTCGTTCCAATATGTACAGTATTTATTCTGAGCTTGTGCAAGCCAAGTCTCCTAGAAGGGGGTTTTAGACCTTGCTCGGGTGCGTTCAGTGCAGGGAGAGTCGTAGCCCGGTTCACACTAGGTACAAGAAAAAACAAAATCACACACACACATACCTTAAGGTTGTCTATAGGGTATGAGCAGTGGATGAGAAACAAGTGCATATGCAGCACACACAATAAAAGCATAAAAGCACATGGCGAAATCTAATAGATTTACTATTAATCCGGGGGTTGTGAATGATCAAGCTAAAAGCGCGAAAAAAAAAAGAAAGAAAGAAAGAAAGAAAGAAAATCCAAGATATGTAGTAGAAAAAAGAATGATAGAATTGTACCCAATAATATAAAGTAGAAATAGATAATAATAATAATAATAATAATACTGGATAAATATAACATAGCATGTCACGAAGAACACTCCTCCTCCTGCTGTTGCTGCTGTTGCTGCTGTTGCTGTTGCTGCTGCTGCTGCTGCTCCTCAACTGCTTTCCCCCAAACCTTCTCAAAACTCGGGGTAGTAGCACCATGATCGCCTGAAGGCTGGGCTCCCAGGTCAACGATACTCTCCTCGGCCCCTACCTCCATCACCTCCTCCTTGCCTTCACCCAACCCGCCCACCTCAGCTGTCGCAGCGAAACCAGGCGAATTACGCCACGACGGCGCATCGTCATTGGTGGCATTAGTAATGTGAGTCGTAGCCATCGACGACGGTTCATCAGGGCACGCCCCACCCTCCGGGTTCGAGCCGGGGATAGGTAGTTTCGCGTCAAAGAAGTTGCTGCTGTATACGACTGCGGCGAAGGCTTCGAGTTCGCGTACGCCTTGTTCCATGGCTGTGATGTAGTCGTTGGGGGGCTCGGTACCGTTTCCGATGACGTGTGCTTGGCGGGCGATTACCGCTAGGATGGTTGCGAGTTTGGCTTTGGAGACGGGGGTAGATGTGGAGTCGTATGTGGTTTGGGTGAGGGTTACGGATGAGGAGAAGTTTTGTGGTTCTTGTTGTTGGCCTTCTTGGGCAGTTGGGGTCTGATGGGCAGGGGTGGTGCTTTTGAAGGCTTCGATGGCACATTTGTTATCGATTAATGCGGAGAAGGCTTCGTTGTTGAGGAGGGTAAGGATTTGGGTGAATTGCGGGGAGTCGATGAGGTCGGAGGTCTCGTCTAGGAGATGGCGGAGGCTGGAAGGATTTTGGAGAGATGAGGTTTCTGAGGCAGAGAGGACGCCAGATTCCTTGAGAACGTAATCTTCCTGGTCCCGCGAGGGGAGAAGGTATGATAGCCATTTCGTCGATCTGTGAATAGGGTTCCTTATTAGTATGTTACCAACCAGAGAGAAGTATAAAAAATGTGGACAGGACGGAGTGGGTGGGCTTACCTCCGCTCTTCTTCCGTGGCACCTTCAACCTTCTTCCGCACAGCGAGCGTCAATTCGGACAGCCTTTCTTGCGTGATATCCACTCGTGGATTTACTGGTCCAAACACCTCCTCTACAGCTTCCTTGACCTTTTCCATCAGCTGTCGCCAGCCGCGATGTAGCAACCACCAGCTGAATGTAAGATAACGACGGTTGGTTTCAAAGTCATTGCCAAATGCATGTCCAATACCTTCATCGTCGTGGTCCTCAAGATTGATTGTTGACTGATTCTGCGGAGGAGAGGCAAGCGATACCACGCTCGAGAGGTAATTTCGTCTGCCGAGGAGGTTGAGTTGGATGCGCGTGAGGAGGGTGAGGAGGGAAAGTGTGTATATCAGAGTAAAGGATCTCGTCAAAGCTACCTCATCCGTTAGAAAAAATAAAGGGACAACCGGAGCCTTGATTTCTCTTCTTTTATACGGGTTCAAACTCACAATTTATCTTCAGATCATTCCACAACTGTGTCCTGCTCTTCGATTTAGGAGTCTCCAGTCCCGAAGAGCTATCCGCAACCTGGCTGGTATGCACGTACCCCTCACTCCGTAAGCTCGAAAGGCTCCGCCCATCGTCCTCCGTCGCACTCTGGGCACCTAAGCTACTAATATCTGAGCCCGTAATCTCGCCAGCATTTAGTTTTGCAAGCCGTTCAGCCTTCTTCTGTTGCAACTCCTTTGTCAACTCCTCCACGGGTAGAGCTTCAAGAATATTCTCCGCCGCCGTCGGGAGCAAGGCAAGCACTGTAAAAGTGCAGTCCGTCTGGTTTTGTTCAAATCTCCTTCGCAGACTGCAGTGGCAGAATGAAAGGGAATGTCAGACCATGTAAAATATAGAAGCATTTGTAAAGATGTCCAGATTCTTTTGGGAGGGTTGGAGTTGTCCTCGCTGGGATAAGTACTTCTCTCGGGCAATCCGCTCACTACTCATGCGCTCCCTGCTCTCCGAGATCTTCGATAGAACATATTGGCCGGCCAGATATCCCGCTCCAACAACGCCAACTCCAATAGCTATACCATTGCGATGGCGGCGAAACCAGCGTCTCGTCGCGCCTATCATTTCGAAAAAAGATCGGGGTTGGGCTGAGATCGGGTCTTCAAGAATATGAAGGATCGCAATTCAATTTACAGCCAGGTGGTTAAGTTATCTCATGGCTCAAGTCTGTTAGTAAAGACGTAGACCTGCAGACTCTCAGAAACTGCAAAGAAGAGCGTAAAAGAGCCGCGTTTGGGTTGTCTCTTGCCCAGCACGGTGATTACCTAGGTATAGCTCCGTCCGCCAGCTGCAACCAGCCAACCGCGCCGGAGCCGACATGGAAAGATCCTCGGCTAAGTTATCATGTGTTTGTCTTGACTTACGTCATCAACCTTGTACCTAGTTGTTGGAGCTACTACACAAGCCCTAACCCACGTGACCCACACACATATATTTAGCTTTCACTAGCTACTAGTTAGATAACAACAACAAACAAACCATGTTCAACCTCTCTCACAGGTTATGAAGCCCTTGCACTTCTACAAAGTGTTATAACCATGCAATAATCATACAATAAGCTTTTCAAATAGCTGCTTTTTTCATTCAAATACCCCATACCAAATGCCTGTCAATACGAGATCGATCAACCGCGAAGAGACTCCAGAGAATCAGATAGCTGGATTCTTTCCAACACCAATAACCGCGCGAAGACGACGCAATAATCAAGCCCAAGATAATCCTCCAGAACGCGAAGATATGACAGACTGCAATGAAACCGCCAATATCGACGCCAAAATGATGGAGATACCGATAACCATGATACCGATAACCATGATACCGATAACCATGATACCCGGGCTGTTGAATGCCCATATGATAACCCAGGATAAAGATGATACCCCACGATAACCAGGCCACCGAGTGCCTATATGATAACCACGATAACCCATGATAACCAGGCCACCGAGTGCCTATATGATAACCACGATAACCCACGATAACCAGGCCACCGAGTGTGCCTATATGATAACCATGATAACCCACGATAACCAGGCCACCGAGTGTGCCTATATGATAACCACGATAACCCATGATAACCAGGCCACCGAGTGTGCCTATATGATAACCACGATAACCCATGATAACCAGGCCACCGAGTGTGCCTATATGATAACCACGATAACAATAACAATAAAATGACAAAAATATGAGAAGTGAGACCCTGCAGTGTTCGGATGACTGGGGGGGTAATACAGATACAGGAAGGACGGATTTGAGCGTTTTTTCTTGCATGTTTTTTATGTTTTTTCATGTATGGAGCTAGTCCTTATGAGGAAACTAGACTCTACATTTTGTAATTAATTTTTATTGCATATTTGAATGATTTGGGTACTTTTGGCTGCGTGGGTTAACTGGCCTGCGTAGCATGGGGGGGTGTTGGAGCTACTACACAAGCCCTAACCCACGTGACCCACACACATATATTTAGCTTTCACTAGCTACTAGTTAGATAACAACAACAAACAAACCATGTTCAACCTCTCTCACACTAGTAACTACCGCCACACCAAAATTTATATGTAGCGCTAAGTTACCTTGATTTGTTTGTTATATTTGTTTCAAAAGTAACACTACATACAAATTTTGGTGTGGCGGTACAAGGTTATCGGGAAGGGTATTTGATCAGGAAGGTTATTGCTATGTTTATAAAAGTTAACTACGGAGTACTTAGAGGTTAAATAGTTATAACCTGGCCAACTTCCTTGTCAATACCACTGATTTGCCAGGGCTTTGATTTATCACATGATTACCACATGATCCGCAGAGGTGATCCCCTTTATCCCTTCTGCTTTTCTGATATCTAGTTCTTACTTCTTACGCCTCTAACAGTATACGCCCATGATGGATGGTTACGAAAAACTTAGTTTGGCAAAATCCGACTGGGCCCCTGAAGAAATCTTCAAAAGACGCAGGTGTGAGACACTGTATCGTCGGTGATCTCATTCTCGTTGCCGTTGGGTAACTATCCACCGATCCCCTTCGGTTTCCAATTCGCAATTGCAGATGAGCAACTGGAAACTGCCCGTTCAGCTCTCGCTTCGAGGGGTTACGAAGAAGTTCCGCAAACTCATGAGATATTCTTTGACGAAACTGCAGTCAAGGAGAGCACAACAAAATAGACAAGCCTCCGCAAGGAAGGGGTATTTTGAAAGAGAAAGATGTCTCTACTCTAGGCATCGCGACTCAAATCGAGATTCCAGAATTTTGCAGGCACGATAATGATGCTTGTCGTCCAATCATCAGCACCATTAGGTAAAAATTAATAACCGAGCCAGCCTGTCGAAGTGAGCTCGGTTCTTCGAAATGTTATGACATTAAACATGACTATCTATATGTTAGCCATAATTGATATAGTCGCCGACCGCTATTCGGCTAAAGGCTTAAATTATACCATTACCTCTTACTTTGGATGTCACTATGTATACCTACTGAGTTTTGTCAAAGATATAATCGCATACCTTCCTAGTGAGGATCAATTCTTTATCGAGCTATTCCTCAAAGTCATAATGCGCCCCGTGCGGCAGAAGGTCTGTTATCAGAGGCAGCAGATCCGCGCGGGGATTGTAACTCCTGAAGAAGCAGGAGCTCTGATTCCGAGGAGGGACCTGAAGCTTGCGGCTATATTTAAAACAGAAGTACCGAGATCGTGCAAATAGCAAGCTTCAAGAGGAGCGCGACATAGAACATCCGAAGAGTATTGATCTGTCTACCACTAGTTAAACGGATAACCCTGCAAAATGCATTCAGGATGACATCTGACATGGTGAAGGTATACTATATTCTGGATTGGCTGAGAAAATTGAGCTGCTGGCTAGGTCCTGGGCATTGATACGCAGAACCCCTTTCAATCTTGCGGCACCGCCAGCGAATGCTAAGTTTCCCTGCCTTCGTGGGGATCTCTTTCCTCTTTGTAGCTCTACCTAAGTTTACTCGTATTCTCGTCCCTTCTCCTTCCTCGCCCTGCTCACATTCATATTGCGACTTCTCTATCCTATTTAGCTCTAGCAGGCCCCGACAAAAAAGTGCCTCGTTCTTTGCCCCTATCCTCCCCGTGCCTGATATAATTTGCAGGAGGTCTTCATGGCACCATAACAATAAGAGTCTGTTGGTGGACAAACAGACAGCTAGCTACCTTGCAGTGTTACGTGTGAATTCAGAGGCATCACCCAATCGAGCGTTCATTTAGAGCGATGTCCACCAAAGCTGAAAATGCCCGAGCCTACATTCAGGCAGTTGAGAAGTGCCTCGGGAATTGTTTTGTGTTGATCGGCGGGGCGGCGATGCAGCTGCTTGGGAGCAACAGAACAACAAATGATGTCGACATTCTCGTTTCTGCCAAAGAAAACATATCCACGCTGATCAGTGTGCTGGCCGACCAGCCCGGCTTTTCCAACATCGGAGGGGGACTTCGTTTTGGTGGTGGTGAAGCTGTCACTATTGACATCCTTACGAAACTGTGACATTGGAGAATCTGGGGTATCACCTACTCTCATTTCGCCGAATTCGTGTTCCGAACCTTGAGTACGCGTTAGCGATGAAAATAAAATGCTTCTATCTTCGACAAGATGATGAGAACGGACAAAAGAAGCGGCGGAGTGATGCCTTTGACGTGGAATTTTTATGTCGCAGGATGGCCCTGGATGGATGCGCAGACTATTAACCGACCAGTGCGCTGAGAAATTCCAGTTCGGATTTTACCATATTTTAGAGCTTCGTCAGGAGCTCAGCGATCAGGCTATCAGCGACTTCATCTCCATCGGAGGAAGAAAACTGATACTCCCTTGGGAAAGAAACGCCCCAGACAAGTGGGAGGACTTCGAATGCTTCGCCGACCCTGGAGCAGATCCGTTATCTATTAAACTGGAGGAATGATGGCTGGGTGGACTGTCTTCTCATTGTTTTACTTCTTCATTTTATGGTATACTGCTAACAATTGGACCCTCTGAATGTTCATCCTTGTTTACTTTTCAAAATCCTTTGCTGATCCCAGAACAGATTCATGAACTGTTGTGAACTGTTGAACAAAGAAATGATATTGATGGCTAGATGAGCTGTGTCTTTTTTTTTCTCTTTCTGCTTCTATGGTGTGCTGCGCTGGTTTGAAAACCCCATGAAGTGCTCATTCTTGTTTGTTTTTTGAATGCAGAGTGCCAAGTCCAGTTAGCAGTTCAGCTTTGAGATTTATTTCAAGCACTGAAAAGTGATGCTGAGGAGAGTGTGTAGTGAATGTGTACTTCAGATGGGAGGTTCTTTGATATTTATCAGGGTTAATGTCAAGCTGTTGTATGTACACGGGGAAGAAAACGAAAAAGAAAAATTGTTGACTACGACAGGTGCAGTAAATGCCATATACATAATATTTGTGATATTGGTTAATCGTGTTAGAAAGACAGCTCTGGTTATGGTTGTACAGGTACTGGTCTGAACAATGACATAATTTCAAGTATGGAGAGGATCTTTGCGTGGATAAACGCTCCTCTGGTTGTTTAAATAAATGTATACTATATGTATAATGTATGCCTCCCAATCTCATAGCAATATCAAAATATCAATCAGCTAGCCCTGGGGAAGGGACGGGTGCTAAATGTCCAATTTCTTATGATCTATTTAGGAGAATCGGCGGCGTCTTCGAGATGTTCCAACCCACTCACCTATTTATATTGATTATTGATATTTGCTTTCATCTGTCTCCAATGAAAAAAACCGGTGGAAGCCGAGAGAGAGGAGAGAGTGGCGACCAGTTTCTAAACGACGGACTTATTAATAAGTCACCAACCAACTTATTTAAAAGCCAGATTCTGGATATGATCTTGTTAAAGTCAATCAAGACAAGGAATTATCCAGCCACAAAGCACTAAACAAGAACCCGGCAATCCCGTCATGGAGGGGTAGGTAGTGTGTGCTATAAGTTACTATACTAAAACTGCTTTTCTATGCTGAGCACAACGCACACACATGAAAAAGAATGAGCGGTCTCTTGTCCATCTTCTTCCACTGTTCGCTTTCTTCCGCTCCTCCGCCCTCCGCCCTGGTAACTGGCATGATTCTCCAGCAGCTCTTCTGCTAATAAGGCGTCTGCCCATTGATCATTACCTACTTACTACTACGATCAATGTCCTCCCGTTGCTTCACGGTGCGTCTCGTACCAGCGTTCAGTGTTAACTAAGTTTCGAGTCCTAACTCGTACAAGCTGCATGCAGGAGCTTAAATAACTACTTTTCAGCTGAGCTGATTGAGCCGTAACTAGTTAAGTTACACCAAAAAAAAAAAAAAAAAAAAAAAAAAAAAAAAAAAAAAAAAAAAAAAAAAAAAACGAACAAAAAGAAAAGAAAAGAAAAGAAAAAAAGCTGCGGGCGCAAAAATAAACCCCGCTTTATAATCGAAAAATCTGGCTTCTACATTGTCTCCCCCTCCAACACTCTCCCCGCCTCCCCGCCTCCCCGTCTGTTCGTCCCGTTGTTGCACAGAGATATCAATTCTGCTCCAACTTGAAACCTCCACAATCGCACACCTACCTTCTACCTGCAAAAGAAAGAGAAGATAGGAAAAAAAGGGGAGGAGAACGAAAAAGAAAAAAAAAAAAACCCCTTCCGCAGTCTGTGCTTCACACTAATGACATCCTCGTTTTCCCCGCTCCACCTCCCACAATCGCATTTCTGTCTTCCGCACATGGACATCTATTAACATTCGCGGACAATCGTTCGAAAGGAAGAAAAGCACCCCTACGCAAAACGCACGGAGAAGAGCGAAAAAAAAGAATAAAAAAGGGGGGAGAACCAAAATATATATTAGATTGTATATAACAAGGATCGAGTGGGAGAAAGAAGGAAAACGGAAAACGGAAAGAAAACAAATAGTTAACCATGTTGTCGCCAAAGACGGATCCTCGCAAGCCTCCAGAGTATATCCTCGAGGTCTTCGCTGATCCCACTTCCGTTAAGGATATTGTGAAAGGTGCGTATATATACCCGTCTGAATACCACAGCACAGCACACAGAATATGTTCTTCATCCTCCTCCTACAACTCCTTCCCCCTAACAAACCCCCCACTTAAATATATATATATATATATATATATAAAACCTCACTAACAAACTAACAACAAACAACAAACAACAGGCATCCTCCACACAATCTTCTTCCACCGCTACTTCCCCTGCATCCGCCCCACCTCCTTCGACGTCCTAAACCTCACCCTCCCCGCCATCAGCGACGTCGAGCTCGAAACCCTCATCGACGCCCGCGTCAACTCCCTGATCCGCCAGCATCTATCGTCGTCGGCCAATTCGCCCAATGGCGGCGTGCGAGGGCGCATTGCTGTGCAGTTTTTCGAGAAGAGGAGGAGGAAGGCTAGTGCGGGGCCGTTGGGGTTTGGGGCCGGGCTTGTTGGGGGAGGGAGGTGGCTTGTGGGCGGGTTGGCGGGGAGGGGGGGTGCTGGGGGGAGCGGTGGTGGTGGTGGTGGTAGGGAAGGTGGGGGAATGAATGAGGAGGAGGTATGTTGGGAGATTTGGACGGTTGATGTTACGATTGCGACGCCGCGGACGGAGTCGGGTATGTGCTACTTTCTTCTTGGTCCCCCCTTTGTTTACAAACGCTTGGAAAACTAATATATATACTCAACTCAATTCTTCCCCCGGTTAACTAGATCGCGCAAAAGTCCGCAAAGCCATGGAGAAAATGCTGCAAAAGGCCGCATTTAAAATCGTTGCTATCGTCAATAAAGACAAAGATCACATCCCGCCTATTACCACGAGCGACTCGAATCCGTTCCCGTATCAGATCGTGCTGAATCCCAAGTTGGACAGTTGGGGCAATAAGTTTGGGCTCTATTGAGTCCCTCAATCCCCCCCCCCCCTGCCTTCCAAGGTTTCTGCGGATCCGATGTGCGAAGTGATCGGTGGCAGTCATTCCCACGTCAAAGATACACCAAATGTTTTTCCTCTACATTCCCGCCTCCCCAGGGTCGCGATTAAGCAAACAGACCCTACCTTACCCCCTATCATCTGTAACCGCCGGTTTTTGTCAAAGCGGGAAGCTGAGCGTTCAACACGCAACGGAGTTAAGAGGGGGTTCCTCCAGCTGAACAACCCCCGCCCAAGAAGGAAGAAGAGAGCGATGTCGTCCCACTCTCTCGCTCCCTGCTATTATTCTATCGTCCCAGGGGCAGCAGCCATAAAAACGGGAAACGATATTATTGAATCAGGGGCCAATAGTATATATCACAATTCAGGGAAAAGTACGGATCATAAAAGGAGAAGCGAAAGGATGGAAAAATATGAGCCTAAAGGAAAAAAGGGAACCGGAAGACAGAAGAAACAAAAAAAAATGAGTTACACGAGCCCCCCAGGATCCCCGATCCTTCTGCCCCTCACTCGCCACCCCATATTCCGTGACGTTCATACCGACGCTCCTCAAAAACAATCTAAACGAACAATAACAAAAATAACGAAAAAAAAGGAGGACCGAATTTTGCAGTTCTCAGTATATGGGGGAGGTTGCTACATATAGAGAACCGCATTGTGCACAAGAAACCCTTCCACTGATACAATTTTGTTGACAAAAACCTTATATATCATGTCTCATAAAACTAGCGGGTGTTGAAAGGAGACATAAAAAACTAGTCAAGCTGCTGGCGGCAGAAGTTCAGTCGCATGGGTACCGTAAACGAAGAGCCGAGAAATTTTTATGTCGCCTTTCAATTCCGGACCAACCGTTCTCTTTCTGTTTTCGACATGGTTTTAGGACGAGTGGGGCTTGGTGGCCTGGTCTGCCTGGGAGCGGAGGTTGGAGGCAGTAGATCCACTGGTGAAATACCGGGAAAAGACTGGCTGAAGGAAGGAATGGAAGACAAGTTGTGCGCCGCTAATTGGTTTTGATCGGTGTGAGTTAGAAGGATGGATGGGTATTCAACCTCGCAAGAAAGTATGGCATCATGTATGGGGTATTTCAGAAGCACTTGCTTACCTAGTCTGGGGAAGAGCCATCCACAGAATAAGAACAAATTTGAACATATAGTAGAATGCTACACGCAACTTGTTAGTATACATGTCATGAAGAGAGGCACCGAGAAACACCGAGAAACTAGAATTGTAAAGGACGTACGGAACCAATAGGCAGCACTGATAGCGCTCTCAACAACAGTCAGGCAGGCATAGACAACCCAGTACTATTTGCATGTGATTAGTATTACATCATGCGGGCGGGAGGGATTACACGGGGATGGGTGGCTTCATGACCCCTGGGAAGTCATTGGTACGAACCGTCAACCACTATAGGTAAATTCCGCGCATGTTAGCAAATCACGCTCATCAAAGACAACAGAAAGTGAGGAACAGTAGGCAGGGCAACAAGAACAATGAACCATACCTGAGTATCATCCGTCTTTGTGGTTGTAAACAAAGCCTGGAGAGAGTAGTATCCCGGAATGAGGAAGCCAGCGAAGTTAACCAGGAAAGCTCCGCCAATATTGAAGAACACCAGGAAAAAGTAGATGCCGACGAGTCCGAGGAAGGCATAGACCTTTGGAACAGAGGTCTGCCTTTCGAAGTTGTTCAGGATGGGGTATTTGGACAGCTATAGTTGATAGTAATCGAATTAATATCTGGGGTTTTTTGAGTAGAGGGAGAGTTGCCCTTTTTTGTGCGCTACGCAGAGAAGCCAGGAACGCACAGCCGTATTCAACGGAGATTTATTCATTTCATGACGAAATTGTGCTAGATAAGGGAACATGATAATAAATGAATGTACATACCTCCTTATCGATCTGAGCGATCTGGTGCTGGGCACGATCTTGGAAAGACATGGTGGATGCGGTGTGCGTGCGGACAGGCTACTAAATTGCTAGGACAGATAAATGCCAGCGGAGCCGTAGT